AACGCCACGACTTAAAAAAGCAAGCCTTAAAAAAGCAAGCTTTTAAACAGCTTTAAGTTTTCATCGATAAATCTAGAAAAAAAAATCGGAAAGTAAGTGAATTCTTCTAGAAGAAAGACAATTCCAAGCGCTAAAACGTTTACGTTTCAGCCATTTTTTGTGTTTCAGCTCGTCGGAATCTTGGCAACGGGTTGGGAGAAGGGAGAGGAGCGGTGTGGCTGAGCAAAGGCAATTAGCCCCCTTGCCTTTCCCTCCTTTCCTCATTCCTTTCACTCACCAACACCACTATTGGACATGTGTTTTTTGTTTGAAATAACATGAAAAGAACAACGGAGATGAGATTTTTCGAATTTTCGTCAATTTTCTTGTTTTCTGTGGGCAATTGGTGATTTTGGTGATTAGAGAATGGGAGAAAAAGTGACTTAAACCACAAATCTAGGCAAATTTCAATCGAGAGACTTTACCAACTTTCAATCGACGGGCTTTACCGCTTTTTCTCGGTGATAAGCTACCAAATTTGAGATTGATTGCTGATTTGATGATTTTAACTTGGTTTAGGCCTTCAAAACTTCGAAAAAGACCAAGACTTTCAAGAAAAAGTCTTGATTCAGGTTCAAGATCCAATTGACATCAAAGACACTAGCATAGCATCAAAGACACTAGGATAAGCATCAAAGACACTAGCATAGCATCAAAGACACTAGGATAAGCATCAAAGACACTAGCTAGCATGCTAAAGTTCTTTTAAACCCAATGCCTGTGCTGGGATTGGTTCGCATTGAGTCTTGAGAACAAAAATTGTCCAGTTGATATCTAATTGATATCTAATTGATATCTAATTGATATCTAATTGCAAAACCTAATTGCAAATCTTCTAAAAGCATCAAAATCAAAGCTAAAGGAAACCTAGGTTGGTTTGTTTTAGCAATGGATTATCAGATTTTAAGATTCTGAAGTCCTAAAGTCATTCGAATGATTTAAAAGGCCGATGAATAGGTCAAATTTCAGCTTCAAAGAGTTGGTTCTATCATGAGCGGACATCTGGATGGATCCTTTTCCCTTCTCTTTCCTTCACTTTTCACCCATCAACCCGTCAACCCATTTCGTCGAATCCATCGAAACTTTGCCTTTTTTTCCTCAAAATGGGTTAAAAAGTAGGTTTTTGTTTGAAGTTTGAAGTGAAATGATCAATGCTGACAGCTGTTCGAAAAAAAAGCTGAAAAGGAAAGCTGAAAAGGAGGACCGTTTGGTTAAATGAGCAAGAGTTTTGACATGGATGATGATGTGAAATCTGGCTAAAAATTTCGATAAAAGAAGTATTCGGATTGATTAGAAGAAAAAGAAAAAAGTAGGAAAAAGTAGAAAAAGTAGAAAAAGTAGAAAAAAGATCGATTAATCATTTTGGTCGATTAATCATTGATCAAACTTCTATCTATTAGGTTGTTCGGATATAAATGAGTGCTTGCACTGCTTAACTTGTAAGGAAGCCATTTCCCATATCTGATCGCCTTTCCAATGGCGTGGAGATGCTCATCAATAGTAGAATTTGAACATAGAAACTGTTGAGCAAGTTCACGCGTCGTTTGACATGGGTCCGATTCGATTACAGCCCTCAAAATATCGTTGTCTACCGCTTGAGGTAGACACGATATTCTTGACGAGAGTGTTCATCATCCTCGACACTTTCATCACCATTCCGAAAGCGTTAGAACCAGGCTCGGCATCAGCTTTCGAACAATACATCATTCCCAAATGCTTTGACCAAATCTCGATGGGATTCCGCGACTGTTTGGCCCAATTTGAAGTCGTAAAGTAGGCAGACGCGAACTTGATGTTTGAAGTCGATCATCTAAAGCAAGAAAGAAGATCTTAAAAATAAGAAATTATCCGCTTAGAAAGATTCCAAATATACACAAGATAACGTACATTTAAATACAGAAAGACATATTTTAAAAGCTTCCCTCACAACAATAAGTTTAGTAACGCTTGTTTATATCCGAATAACCTAATAAGATCCTAAATCTTTACATGATCCCTTTCCGGGTTCGACAAAAGTGCTTGGGGATCTCGCTTCATTTCTTGACAAGATCTCGTTTCAAAAAATAAACTCTAGCGACTTAATATAAACAAAAAAACAAAATACAATTGTTTTTGCACAATTAATTTGATTTTTAGCTCATTTTGCTGTCATAAAAAGTTCTATAAATCTATATGAGTAAAATAGAAAATATGAAACAATTTAAACAACAAAAATACTTGAAAAATCTAATTTTGTAGGTCTCGAGTCTTGGAAATTTCAAAAAAACTTTCAAAAAGTGGTCTTTTTGGAGGGGACAGAACTTTGCACGCACTGCAAGGCTGCAGCAAAGAGCAAGGTTAAAAACAGCAACGTTAAAAATGGCATTGTAGAACTGCTGTGAACTGCTAAAACCTCAAAAATCATCGAGTGAACACACTTTCTTAGACAAGCCGTCGCCTCGATCGGTTTTCGACTTCTCTGCTTCTTTCCCATATGTCCCCTTACGGATGGATGAGTCCCAGCATTTTCCCTCCTTTCCCCCATCACAATGTCACTTTGCTTGAATTTGCCACACACACCCTTTTACGTTTTTTTTGTGCTCTTTCCGTTGGAACACATAGAATAAAATGAGAGGGCAAATTTGCGATGCAGAAAAAAGGAGAGAAGTTCTGGAAAAAAAAAGACAATAGGTCTGGAATAAGGTCGACGAGGGCTCAGAAATCGTTTCCGGAGAGTGATTTTGAAGAAATAAGTGAAAAGGGGAAAAGTTTTGAAGAAATAAGTGAAAAGGGAAAAAAAAACTGAGCCACAGTGCTAAGAAATCTTGAAAAAAATTGGTTGGTAACAATTTTAGAATGAAAAATAAAGCAACAAGAACAAGCAAAGCTCGCCGAAAACTTCATCTATGCACAGCTTCATTCCAACAACAATAAAACAAGTATTGCGCTTAAAAAAAGGCAATTTTGTGACGAATTTACAAGCGAACCCATGCTTTGGAACATTCATGGGTTCTCCGGAATGGGAAATGGGTAAAAGAAAGATGCTGAGATGAGAAAAAAAGATGGAAAAGGACAACCATGTGACCACATCCCCCTTGAGAATGAGAGAAAGCTTTGCTCTGAAAAAGGATGGAATTCGAAGGTCTCCCTTGTGCCCCAATGTCTCCTTTTTTGAAAGGGATGAAAAAAACTTGTGCTTTCATCCATCATTTCTTATCCATCACTTGGAAAATCATGAAAAAAACAACAAGTTTTGACAAGTGTTCAGTTTTACAAGTTGTACGAGTATTTCTAACATTAGAAAACTTTTAGAACAAAGCTTTTCTTCACAGTTGCATTGTGAAAAACTTGAAATGAAGGTAACTTCGGACGTTTAGCACTTGGGAAACTTGGAGCTTGAATGTATTTGCTGGGTTTATTCCCATTTGAAAGTTTGAATGTAAATGTGCCTAAATTGGTGATAAAAGCTTCTGATTAGTGGTCTGGAGATTATGCAATTCACACTAGACCCGTTTTTCTATGGGTTGATTAGAAAGATACCATATTCTATGATCTTTTAGCAATGGATTAGCAGATTGTCATTCCAATGATGTCCTAAAGTCCTAAAATCATTCCAATGATGTGCCTGAATTGATGAATTGATAAAAGCTTCTGATTAGTGGTCCAAAGATTATGCAATTCACACTGTAGAGTTGGGTAGTTTTTCTATGGGTTGAATAGAAATATACCATATTCTATGGTCTAAAGTGGTAAAAAATTTTATCCGAGATTCGAACCCGCGACCTCCCGCTTGCCAAGGTGGACGCCCTACCACTGAGCTACACCGACACGTAATCCCATGCCGTCAAGGCTTGGCCTTATGCCTGATTGTAGAATAGTTTTCGAGATGATTCTCAATAGGAAGAGGGACTCAAACTCATGGTCTTTTGGTCAACTCATGGTCTTTTGGGGCGTCTACAAACCTGGCAGCAAAAGGCCGACGTGGTGTAGTGGATAAGAGGCTTGTATCAAGAGCGTACGGGCTAGGGACTTGCTCGGGTTCAATACCTTCCGCAGCTAAATCTTTTACTTTTTGTTTATTTAGGTACTTCTACGCTTAATTTTGTTTTGTTTTTATTGTTTATCGTACATTTGATCAAATCAAGTTATTATTTTTGAGTTTATGCCTCTCCCTAGTCAGAGATTCAAGAAAGCAATTAAGATTGCGAAACACAATCAGGTAAACAATCAATCAACATTTAAAATCTAGTAAACAAGAAGAAAAACAAAAGGCACCCATTCTTCACAAAAGCAATAACTCATAAAAGCAATAATAACTCACAAAAAGCGCACGAGTAATCGCAATTTTTATGGAACCATGCCGCATTTCTCAGAATCAGATGACTCTCTCCATTTTCGGCGCTGTTTACTCTCAATTCTCACTCTTTCTTTTCCCCAGTCTAGACATCACATGCGCTGCTCTCTTTTCCCGACAAATAGCCTGCCTACTCGAGTTGAGACTCTTACTTTTCACAGAAGAACTTACTCTCGTCGAATGGCACTACCCCTTTTTCTTTACTCTTGCAATTCACTACTCATACTTGTCCATTCGAATTTACGAGTCTCTTGAGGTTCTCCTTTTTAGAAAGTTCCTAGTTTTAGGTCCTCTTGAACTGGAAAAAAGTTTAAAGATTCAAAAATCGCTCAAAATCGCTCAAAATCGGTTTTCCTTGAGATTTCCCAGACAATAAATGAACGTTTAAAGCGGTGAAAAACAAATTCGATATTACAAAGCTGATCAAATGACATTGTTGCTTTGATTTATCAACCAACTTTTCAACAACACTTGTGGGACAATTTGGAGACTATTTGGAGACCACTCGCCAATGATAAGCTGCTTTCAAATTATGCAAAACGTTTGCTGAACACAAGCGTTTTGCAACTTCGTTCAACAAGTTTAAATATTTATTCAAATCTCAAGTTCAAGTAAAAGTTCACGTTTAGCGACTGAAGAACAAAATGATCAACAACAAAATCATTGGCGTTCCCAATTGACTACCAATCTTTGTCGTTGTGGATTGTCGTCTAGTGGTTCTTGTTGTGGTACTTGTGGTAGTAGTTGGCGTTGACGTTGTCGTCCTGGTGGTTGTCGGAGTTGTAGTAGTAATTGTAGTGGTAGTAGTTGTATCTGGCACTACTTCACCGTCTTCCTGAACACACAATAAGCCAAGACAGGGTAGGGCTCAAGAATTCTTTCATAATAGATTCCTAGGTCGTAGCCGATTTGCTATGGTTTTGGATTTCAGTGGTCTTCTGACAAACTTCTGACAACAATGACAAACTTCGTTAAGTGATCCTGATATACAGTCGATTCCCTCTATAACAGAATGGAAGGGACCAGAAAATGTTTCCGTTATATAAAGTGTCGTTTTATATAGCTTAGCGTCGACCTAGACCAAAATCCCACTCCGTTATATAGAGTTCTCATTGATCTAGAACCTGTTCCCGATGGTAATTGCAAGTTTCTTATGGTACAGTCGACTGTCTCTATAACGGAACTCTATATAACGGAATGGAATTTTGGTCCCGGCCGATGCTAACTAGGTAAAGGCACGAACTTTACTAATTAACTAGGTAAAGACACGAACACGAATCACCATCGGGAACAGATTCTAGATCAATGAGAACTCTATATAACGGACTATATAACGGAGTGGGATTTTGGTTTCGGACATCGCTCATTCTGCTCCTGTATGACAATCGGCTTGATGACAATTCCCTTCTTTGATGTCCCCAGCTTCTTGCAATTGGTACAATTTAACAAAGAACTTAAAAGTAGATCCTAAAAATTGAAACAAACTTGGAGAAAATCCAATTGGCAAATTGACTAGCCGATATGCTTTCATAGCAAAACGGCTAGCGAAATAGCAAATTGGCTAGGGAAAATTTTTCAAAGCAAATCAACTAGCCGATATTTTTTCATAATAAATCGACTAAAATAGCAAATCGGCTACGACACTTAGATTAGATCAGTTACCAGTTAGATTAGATCGGTTACCACTTAGATTAGATCAGTTACCACTTAGATTAGATCAGTTACCACTTAGATTAGACCAGTTACCACTTAGATTAGATCAGTTACCGTATACTGCTTGAACATTGATATCCGAGTTGTGATCCAATTGTACTCGGTGAGATAAGTGTAATTCCATTTGTTGACAAAGTTTGTGATGGCAAACAGAGTCGGACCAGGACGATCGCGAGCTGGATGTGGGCCGGCTCCCTAAAAATAGACTCAAGATGGAACTCGGATGGCTAAAGTTTGCGACTAGGTGATCAAAACACAAATTTGTTAGGCTAAGTTCGACCAGGCTAGGAGCCCGAACCAGAATCCAGAACAGTACATGAACAGCACATGATTTTCCATGCTTGACTAGAGTGTGTTTCACGTGCTTAAATAATCAATTGAATAAATTTGCATAAACAAACCGATTCTTTAATCAATTTGTTTATGCAAATCGTCAATTAATCAAGGCTTTTCTTAATTAAGGCGTCAATTAAACAAATCGGTCAAACAAACAAATATGCAAATTAAATGAGCTGAATATCTTTTACGTGTCTTTATATAATAAGCGAGCTCCTTAGACATAGAAGCTTTCAGAAGCTCTAACTTGTTTGTGATTTGTTCCCATGCTTGCTTTACGCTACGCAACGTTTCTTGGCGGTCATTATCCTCTTACGCATATTAGCTGCAATCAAAAATACCGTATTTTCTCTAATAGTAGTGCATCATGAGCGTCGCCTAAATTGCTCGAAATCTCGAGAACCGCTTATCAGAACCTATCGATGTGGGGTCGGAAAATGTAGCTGATGATGAGATCTTGTGGGGGATTAGAGTGTTGAGCTTCTAAAGTAGAAGTAGAAGAGACGTCTAGACGTCTCTTCTGCTTTATATTTACTCAAGAACTAACCCTGATAATAATAAAGCTATAATAATATAAGATAATATAATCTATTATATATATAAAGCAGAAGAGACGTCTGTCCGTCTGTGCGCAGTCATTGGCAAAAAGAGGTGGGGCTTAGAATGCGTGAAAAACGCGAACGTAAGCGAACGTAAGCGTTCTCATCTATTTTATTATAAATAAGATTTACCTAAGCCATTATACAGACTGTAAATAGGTTATCCCGCGGATTTTCTCGAGTCTAAATCTAAATTCGAATAAATATTTAGCAAGAATGCTAGAAAAAGACGCGGATACTTGAGAAAACACTTGCAAATGATGAATGAAAAGTTTAAGTTTGTGCATAAACAAGTTTACATAACTACAATAGCCTCTTTGAAGCGCACAAAGAACACACTCAATTCTTGACCCACCTTGACCGTCACAAAATCGACTTGACTTGGATATCCGTTAACTCTTTTATAGCTCGTCACATCTCCATTATTGCCCAACTCATTCACATACCAGCTCGTCCGATTCGTCGTTTGCACCTAAATTTTTAAAACATAAAATCCATCCCCGACCACTTTACCAAAGCATTCGCATCTATGAGATCCTGAATGAATCCTTCGGTTTGTCTGTGATGATGGATGAAATCGGCATCTCCATTCAGGAAGAGAATTCTGTAATTGCCAAAACACTCAGTGCTCTGTTGGCAATTCTAACAAACCGAAGTGGATGCTGAGATTGGAGTAAGGAGTAGAATTTCACATACAAACTAGTGGATTGTCGAGTGTATTGAGGATTTGGGACACTAAATTTGCTATAGTCTTGCTTTTTTGCGGTGATAGAATGTTTGTTTTGAATTTTGAAACATTTGAATGTTCTTGAAAAGCAGAAATATCTCTGATCTCATCTCAGAAACAATCAACTTACTCAGTGAAACAGTTGTCATCCCATTTTTGAACAAACGACGGTACATGAATTGATTCTCTCACATATTCTCGATTCAAATAGTTTCTCATTGCGTCCAGCATGTAGCAGGGGAAACCACCATTTGCGTCGGTTGAGAGGGGAATGAAGTCAAACTGAAATCAAACTATTGAACAAACTATCAAACCAAGGACAATTGACAATTGGACGAATCAGCAAGGAAGCAAGGACACTTTGTTAGAGTCTACAGGGTGAATTTGTTCAATCTGTTCTGTTCTGTTCAAGCCCCATCTGTTCAATTATTGAGTTGATGGCTATTTTACGGTTTCCAAGCTGAATGCGCGTTTTTTACTATTTTGTAAATTTCTCAAGATGCCAAAATCAAGAAAAAGATATATATGAGTACTATTCGAAAGCTGAAGATCTCCTCTACAGTTTGATATAAAAAGTTTTTGAATTTGTTCAGCTTTTGGGCAAATTGACTGCACAGAAGAAGAGGTGGCCAAAAAATGGAAGGGTGCCTTTGGATCAAGTTTTGGCTCCGCTCAAATTGAGTTAACCGTTTGATGTTTGGCCAATAGATATATCAATACAACTTTTTTTTAAATATAACAATTTCAGAGCATCTTTGCTTCTCTTCTCTTTTCTGAGCGGTTATTTTACACCATAAAACTTGAGGAATAGCTAAGCGGGAATGGGTTTTTTCGAAAAACGACCTCTCCCTTTGTGCAGTCAATTCCCCAAAAAGTTGAATGAATTCAAAAACTTTTTTATTCCAAAATGTAGAGGAGATCTTCAGCTTTCGAATGATATATAACACTCATATCTGCTCTGTTAGATATCTTGAGAAATTTACAAAATAGTAAAAACGCGCATTCATAACTGGACAACCCAATAGAATTATGGAAACAGTTATTGACCGTTATTGAGCCTAACTCAGCTCTATATCAAAAGTACCGGTGATCCGCGCGACTTTTCTGCTTCCGTTTTTGGCTTCTTGAACGTCGATGCATAACAATCTTGGTACAACCCAGAAACCTTTCGATAATTACTAGAATTTGTCTAGATTAAGAACACTTTATTGTACCAACAGATTCTTCATGGCAATCGCTAAAACATCTGAGCAATCCTGGAAGTCTTGGTCTTGGAATTGGAGGAGAATTGGTATGCCTAAATTTGTGTATCATCGCTCGTTAGAGAAACTTTCTTTACCAGTTGAAAAATCAAAGAAATAGGCTAAATCACAACTTTTTTTGTCAAGAGCACAGCATTTTTGAAGAGTTTGCCAGTGACTAAATTCTAGAAAGTCGAATATTTTTGGTTTAAAAACGCACGCATTCGTCGTAAAGCCTCTGAAATGGAGATCGGCGCCAAGGCTTTGAACCTAACAAGAACAAAATTGTTTATTTTAGGTACATGCATAAGAAATGCGGATTTCAACATTTTCGGATTTCGGAAATACGGATTTCAACATTAAATTTCGAACGATAGAAAGCTGATATCGATGAAAGTTATAAACTATTTGAAAGTTGTAAATCTCCTCTACAAAATAGGCTAAAACGTGTTTCAATTGATCGAAGAAATTGAAGAGATTTCGAAATGCGAGTGACCAAAAAAGTGCACTTTTTGACCGCCCCTTTTGCTCAAATATCTGAGCTCAAATATCTTAGTGTTCGGCTGTTCAATTAAAATAGTTTTTCTACCAATCGATAGAGAAAGACTTGACGCATCTAATGATACCAAGAATATTTCAATTGAACAGCCTAACACCAAGAAATTTGAGCTCAAAGTTGGATCTGACCAAAAAAGGAATCGAGTCACTTTAGGGACAAGTTTAGTGTGATCAAAATAGAGTTAGCTTCCCAAAATTGAAGATTTAAAAGGAAAAGGATAACTATATATCAATTCATTAAAAAAGAAATGCATTTACAGAAATTTAGATAGAGTGTAAATTCAAAACCCTCAAAATTGTCAAAAAACTGGCTTTTTCACCAAAAAAGAAAAATTATTGTAAAAACAAAGTTTTCCCATGAAATGTTCCCAACTCTTAATTATTTTGAATGATATTTTTAGGATAATGATTTCAGGGCCGTCTTTTTTGGTGCACTTCCGTTAGACTTTTTTAATGAATTGATATATAATTATCCTTCTTTTTTTAAAATCTTCAATTTTGGAAAGCTAACTCTATTTTGACCACACTAAACTTGTCCCTAAAGTGACTCGATTCCTTTTTTGGTCACATCCAACTTTGAGCTCAAATTTCTTGGTGTTAGGCTGTTCAATTGAAATATTCTTGGTATCATTAGATGCGTCAAGTCTTTCTCTATCCATTGGTAGAAAAACTATTTCAATTGAACAGCCGAACACTAAGAGTTGGATTGTCAATGGCAAAAGGGGCGGTCAAAAAGTGCGCTTTTTTGGTCACTCGCATTTCGCCCTCGAAATTCCTTCAATGGTTCGATGAATTGAAACACGTTTTAGCCTATTTTGAAGAGGAGATTTACAACTTTCAAATAGTTTATAACATTCATCGATATCAGCTTTCTATCGTTGGAAATTTATGAAAATGTTGAAATCCGCATTTCTTATGCATGTACCTAATATTTTAAGTTTATAGACATTTACAGTTCCATAGCTAGTTCAGGGTTAAACTAGCTATAAACTGTAAATGTCTATAAACTGTAAATATCAATAAACTAAAGTTACGATCAACTGGCTCAAGAGCTTACTTGTCTAGCCAAATCCAGTTGTCCATTAACAATGATGAGTCCCTCAAGTTGAATCGTGGTTTGACCAGTCTAAAATTTGTTATAAATTGTTTTATCTAGGTCTTTATCTAAGTCTTGTCTTTTCTAAATCTTGTCCTGTCTGAATTTACGATAGTTTTCTTTATTTTTAAAACCAACCACAATTTCATCCGTGATAAACGAGGCGAGATCAGATGCAATCACAGCTGAATACCCTTGGCCAGCGATGTGAATGGGTTGTTCGGCGAAATTTGGATACGATGCTCGGAATGCTTCCAGTGCTTTCAGAAGTTTTTTTGTGATCTGAAAGTGAACAGACTCTAATTAAAAGACTGTTAAAACATTAGGTAGAGGTTGAAAAAAGATAGCTTTTTCTCTTGAACTTTTGAGCTAAACTCTAGAGTGGTTTTAGAGTCCTCACAGCAAACGAATTCTAGATATTTCTAATCTGGCTTTTGACTGGCTGGTGCTTTTCTTCTTTACTTGACAGGAACTAACACGCTGACTTTTTAGGATAAGTCTAGCCTAGCCTAGTCTAAGCGTTCTTAACACATTCACGACAATATAGCCCATCGGTGGACTTAGCACCATGGGACTTAGCACTACGTGGATTTAGCACTATTTTGAGGTCGATTGAGCTGAAAATTTGCAATCGGGGGCTTTCGAGGGTGAGGAATTCGAATTCATGATTAGTTTTTGAAGAAAACTGCTCTATTTTTGGATATTTCATCCGGTATCCGGTTTAATTACCCAATTACAGCGACCCCAAATCCAGAGCAGTTTGCCAAAAGGCGCAATTATAAAAACATAAAAATTTTCATATTTGCGTAATCATTTTTAAAGATATTAGACAAAAATGCTACTCGGTTTCGTTTTTTTTTACTTCATTTTGGTTTAATTACTGAAGCTTTTAGAAAGCTTTGTGATGACCATATTGGCTTGGAAGTTGCCCAAAAACCAATAACGGATTCAGATTCTCTATCCCAGAATGTCCCCGGCTACAAATTTTCCAATCTACAGCTAACATAGATAGCTGTCGTCCGAAGCGGCAGCCAAGAAAAAATTATAATGAATCCCTTTTGGTTTAATTACTGAAACTTTTAGAGAGTATTGTGATGACCATATTGGCTCGGAAATTAAATTTCCTCAAAAAGTAACAACGTATTCGAATTTCGGATCCTCGAAAGGCTCTGATTGCAGAATTTTTAGGTTTACAGCTAGCACTCTAGTCCAAAACGGCAGCTAAGCCAAGCCAAAAAATGGTTTTATCGGTTTTATCGTGAATGTGTTAATAAATTGAATATTTAACCATCACCTCATCGTCATTTGTCGCATTCTTGACAGGTTGCCCATTTTGATATGCGAATCCTGATGGAGTGGGCACATCAATGAACAACAAGTTGGCCACCTTATTCCAAGAGAAACCATTCTCGAAAATTGTTGCCCCATCCTCGTTTGGATAGAATGGACCGATGTCAGAAAATAGACCTGGAATGGAAAAGACAGGATGGCGCGCAATTACGGAAATTAAGGAAACTTGTGTGGTTCTTAATGCTTCTTCTTATCAATTCTTCTTAATCGTTATGAGGCCGGGTACTCAAATTTTTGGCTCTTTTTTTATGTTTTTCTTGTCAATTAAGATTTTGGCAACATCGTATTTGCTTTTATTTTTGAGATTTCAGAATGACGAAGAAATCGGAGCACAGAAATTCGATCATCAACTTCTACAAATGGGGTATGAGGCAGAAAAGCATTGATGATGGTGGCTAGGTTTGTTGTTTCAAAGACAATTCAACGCTACAAAGTCTTGGGAACGAATTCCGATTGACCAGAACGAGGTCCATGGACGACAGTGACAACAAAGGAGACGGTGAAGAAAGTGCGCGAAAGCCTACGCTACAGTTCTTCTAGCCTTCTTCTAGGAGCCTTAGCCTTAGCCTTCTAGGAGCCTTAGCCTTCTAGGAGCCTTAGCCTTAGCCTTCTAGGAGCCTTAGCCTTCTAGGAGCCTTAGCCTTCTAGGAGCCTTCTAGGAGCCTAGGAGCCTCGTGCTTGACGCTCGTGCTTGACGCTCGTGCTTGACGCTCGTGCTTGACGCTCGTGCTTGACGCTCGTGCTTGACGCTCGTGCTTGACGCTCGTGCTTGACGCTCGTGCTTGACGCTCGTGCTTGACGCTCGTGCTTGACGCTCGTGCTTGAGGAAAATTAGCCTCAATTTTAGCCCGTTCTTTACGAAAATTGGCCTCAAAAATGAGTGTCTCAAGACGTTCGATGGGATTGGATTTCAGTGTTTGGAGCATCCTGGTCGATCGGAATTCGTTCTCAAGAGTTTGTAGCGTTGAATTGTTTTTGAAACAACAAACTTAGCCACCATCAATCGACTGGCAACGCCAAGCTCATTCAACCATTAATTCTTTGGAGAAATCTCTTCAAAAGAAATCTCTTCGCCTATCTTTCTGCCACCGTTGATGCCTTTCCGCGCCGTTTTCAAGCATGTATCGCTTGTTTTTCTTGGGATATAAAGAATAAATTTGTTACCGAAGATTATTGTTTACAAAAAAACAGTGGTTTTTAAATTAGAAATGTATTGGTTTCTGTAATTGCGGCATCCTGTATATTAGAAATTACCTGTAACACTTGAGCAACCAGGATCTCCATTTAACCAGACAATAATCGGATCATTGTAGGGCAAATTTTGAGACTCAAGGAACCTAGAACCGCTTAATTTTAGCGCAATTCTTGAAAATACCAATAGTGAGCAAAAGCATTATCCCCAATATCGAGAAATCCAGAATAGTGAGTGAAATTGAGAGGCCAAGTTAAACCAGGCATAAAATAGACTGTGTCCTGCTCGGGAATCGATACTAAAAAAGGCTAAATGCTAATTATTTTTATCATTTTACCATCAGGTTTCGGATTTTGATAATCAGCTTTAATCGGCTGTGGATCGATGCTTAATGGGAGTGGAAGACTCCAATCTTTGCGGTTTAACCAGTTGTAGATTAGTTGTTGGCCAGGACCAGGACGATCCAAGGGAACCATGTGGCCTGCGCCCTATAAAATCACTTATTACTAGGTAAAGTTGCTACCGTAAATACTGTAATAGTACCCCAGCCCCATAATGACGGTGCGGAGTGTTGCGTAGTCTAGCTTTGAACGAGTGTTTCTCGACACTGGTTTATGCTACAATGTTCGCTTAGGTATCAAAAAATAGCTGAAATTCAGGGCTATTTTTTGATATTAAAGACGCATTTTTTGAAAGTACGGGTGCTTTGAAAAAAATGAAAAACTAAAAAACTTTTGCGACTACGCGACTGTACGAGGGGGGTGGGGTACTATTACAGTATTTACGGTAATAAAAGAAGTAAATCAGCTCATAAAACCAACTTTAACGGTAATGTAGTCGATTGTCACTTGCTCACCAGAGAATTTCTTTGCGTAGCCGGCTTTGATCGTATTTGAGCTTAAGAAAGGCTTAGAGATTTCAGTTCATTGAGACAATGTGATTAGAATTTAGGTTTCAGATTAGAATTTAGGTTTTAGATTAGAGTTTAGCCAACTTCTAAACTCACTCGTTCTTCCCAGTCAACCAATAATACCAGGGATCACGGGAGGATCTCGAGAATTGGTGAGCTTCAGCCAAATCCTCGTCAAACCACTCAGCCATCAAATATTGACATCCCATATCAACATTGCCTTCAAAGTGCAGAATTCGCAATTCTTTCTTCAGCCGTTTTGCTAAATCGATCTCAATTTTAAACTCAAACTTTTCAAACCTTTGTCAAACAAAGCTCCATAAGTGGCTTCCATTTCGAAATGAGTTTGCACATATTGACGATCAAGATAGCGACTAGAAATTGTTATAAGAGTTGAAGCAAACTCAAATTAACTTAAAAACCATCGAAAATTGAACAATAAACACTTTTTATTTAAACTAAACCATACTTAATTAGTGAATTTTGTTATTTTTCAATCAAAGCACAGAGTAACCCAAAATCACCCGTCCTAATTCTAGTTCTAGGCTCAAATTTCTGTTATTTGTAGACCAAAACGATTACTTTCTTTTTTAAAATGAAAATCCACATCATTTTCTGTATACATTCAAGATTTCATGACCATAGCATCGATAGAAAATTTTTTATGTACGCTTAAAAATGGCTGGTAAAAAACCCCACAAAATCATTTTTTCTTTGCGTTTTTTGTTTGAAAGCCAAGTTTTTGTTATGTTTAAGTAGATTGTGTTTAAAAAAATATTAAATGCGTGAATATCTTTTACATGTGAATCGCACTATATAACGAGCGCGTTAACGTTTTTTTCAATTTAAGCTTTTCTCAACGCTACAGGGTCGACCAGAAATAGCCCGTCCTTTTTTTTCTAGCCTCATTTTTCTATTATTTCTAGACCAAAACGTTTCAATGCTTTTTTAAATGAAAATTCACATCATTTTCTGTATATCTTCATGATTTCATGACCATAGCATTGATAGAAAAATTTTTATGTACGCTTAAAAATGGCTGATCAAAAAATTGCCGGCCGCAACTCAAATTTGGGGATTTTTGACCCCATAAAATAATTTTTTCTTTGCATTTTTTTTTTAAAAGTTAGATTTTCTTATGTTTAACTAGATTCAGTTCAAAAAAAATATTAAATGCGTTAAAATTTTCTATAAGATCATCGATAAAGGTCTAAATTTGAGTTGCGGCTCGTTATTTTTTGATCAGCCATTTTTAAGCGTACATAAAAAATTTTCTATCAATGCTATGGTCATGAAATCTTGAAGATATACAGAAAATGATGTGAATTCTCATTTTAAAAAAGAAACTAATCGTTTTGGTTTACAAATGACAGAAATTTGAGCCTAGAAAGAAAGGACAGGTGGTTTCTGGTCACCCTAAAATGGAACGAAAAAACTTTCTGGACAGTTTAATAAGTTGAACTCACTAGCAAGAATGATAATCACGATTGTTAGGTCCGACATGGAAAGCTTGTCTTACTTCTGGTTGATTCAGGTAATCAGCCTGGTCTCCCCAGAAATAGAAACCCTTGAGGAAACCAGTGTAATCCTTGTCGATCTTTGACTGAAATTGGAAAATTTCTCAATCTTCATCAACTTCTTTTGATACAAAAATGCAAAGAAGCAAAGTTTTTGAGAGTTTGAAAAGGTTAAAGAAAAGAAGTTGATGAAGAATTGCAAGAATTTCAAACCGTTTGATCAACAAATCCCCGTTGTTCTCTGAGTGGCTGTGCTTCTCTTTTCTTTCTACCACTTGGCGGATGTTGTTGAACTTGTGGTGAATAATTGTCTTGATAGGTGTTGTAGTAATTGTTTCTGAAATAGATTTGAGGGTTTTGAACGGATTTGAGGTTTTGGACGGATTTCGAGATATTTAGATTAACCCATTCGAAACCGCAGCGTTTTTCTTTTCCGTCCCGGACCAAGCCCTTTTGACATTTTTGACCGAAGCAGTTTATCCAGAGGGTGGAAAGGTAAGAGAGTCTCCTACACCATTATTTTTGATGAAGAACGATTTGGATTTGACTTCAGTACTTTTCAAGATTCTATCGATTATTATTCTTATTTTATCGACGACAAATTAACAATATGTAGTAGGCGAACTAATAAACATGGAAAAGGAACAACTGGCAGGATTTCGATGCAAAATATTTCAAGCCTTCTTGGCTCTGTATCCAAATGGGAATCGTCAAATGACCGAGGATTCGTGACTACTGGAGAGCAGGCCTGGATTAGGAGGATTTTCCCACATGTCCCACATTATGTCAAGACAAAATTTGATCTATTCTTCGAAACCTGCGCTTTTGTGATAATGAACTGGATTCTACAGGAGATCGGCTTTATAAGATTAGAGCTACTATGGAACATTTCAATGCAAAAACCAGAGGCTGCATTGATTCCGTAAATATACACCTCTTTTGCCCACGATTGTAGATCTGTTACAATTGGACTGTACATGCAATGCCGAAAACCCGCAAAAACCAATAAAGAATGAAAATGGCTCAGCGCGGCGAATAATCGCTGCAGCGGTCCGTTCTAGTTTTTGCTGCAGCGATTATTTGCTGCAGAAGTTTCGAATGGGTTAAGATATGGTGCTTTAAACTGTTTTAATCATTACCCATTGTACCAAGTGTCCTCATATCCCTGCTGAATTGCCCATTTCCCGCAATTTGCCGATGTCGAATCGTCTACTCGCTAAAAAAAACAAGAAAAGTAAAATCTAGCTTAAAGTAAAAGCTTAAAACCTTTTGATATGGATATCCGGCTGTATCAATGTCGAAATACTCTCGATAGTCAAAGTAAGTCATCGGATTTGTGACATTACCCCAAGTGCAATCTTTCAAACGATCGTATTCTCTAAAAGAATGGATTCAGCTATTCAAGAATCAAGTTTTAAAAGTTTAAAAGTTAAAACAATAAGTTTTAAACTTTAAACTAATTCAACGCACGCTTTTCCTCGAAATCCTCTATAATATGACAGTGAAATTGCCGAGTTGATCTGTTTGTATTCATTGTGAATCCCGTTCCCAATAGCGAATCCTTTGAAGTTGATCTGGGTTAGATCGCCTTGCTAAAATAAGCATTTTATCAAATTTGTACTGGCTTGATAACAATTCCTATTTTTGATTAGCTCTACATTTACCGTCTTTCAAAACGAAATCATTTTCCCTAGTTATAACATCATTTTCTTACCAATTGCCTTGCCAAGAGCTCGTCGGCTGCGGTTGGCAAGTAAACGCCACAGTAAGATTCTCCTAAAAACAGTAAACTTTTTGTTTCTTAAATAACAATCATTGTTTTAAGTGGATTTTGAACGAATACATTTGTATATTTTACGCTCGATTAAGAATTTTCTCCGAATCGAACGTCCGATTTGAATTCTTCCGATTTGAATTCTGTATTCTTGACCGGTCGTCCGACTAAGAGTGGTCGTCCGACTAAGACTAAGAGCGTCCGACTAAGACTAAGAGCGTCCGACTAAGACTAAGAGCGTCCGACTAAGACTAAGAGCGTCCGACTAAGACTAAGAGCGTCCGACTAAGACTAAGAGCGTCCGACTAAGACTAAGAGCGTCCGACTAAGACTAAGAGCGTCCGACTAAGAGTGTCATCTGAATCGAACGTCCGATTTGAAAAATATTCTTAATCGGACGTCCAATTAAGAATTTCTCGAATCAATTGTGTAAAAATGTGAAATACTGTGGTGCACTACTATTAGAGAAAATACGGTAATCGAACGAAATGCTTAATCGGACGCAACATATACATGCCTATAACCCACCGGTAAAGTAGAACTCTCGCCCATTGTACTCTGGGAATCTCTGGTAGAAAGAATTGATGGCTAGTACGACATCAACTGCTGTCTAAACAAGACAAGAATCAACTGCTGCTGTCTACATGAGTTATTTCTAAATCAGTCATTTTTCTTTACAATTACCTTATTATCATTCCAAACTTGATCATCAAAAACATTATTGGCACGGTAGGAGAAGCCGACGTCTCGGGGCGATTCGATCCAGAGAATGTTGGCGAACTGAAGCGTTTATTATTGTGTTGTAGCTGGGAAAAGTTAAATTTAGCAGTTAATATCTATTATATATTGTATCCAAATTCAATTCATTTATATATTTTGATATTTAATAAAATTCTATCTTTGTAACAGCAATCATTCAATACTCACCTTGTTCCATGAGAAGACATTCTCGTACAAAGAAACCATGTCGAAGTTGATTCGGAATGGGCCTAAATAAATTAAAAATAGTTGTAATATATAAAATACATACTAAAATTTGCTATAATCACTAAATTTGACAAGCCCACCATTCTCCGTGAACAATCCGATCAATCCCGAACAGCCAGGCCCTCCATTCGACCACAAAAGCAATGGATCCTTTGCTGGATCATTCTGCGATTCGGTGAGCCTATAAAATGATGTAAAAGAAAGCAAAACTTTCGCGTACACATAGTAGATATAATTTCCATCTGATGCGTTCAGATATCCACCATAAGTGTTGAAATTTGGTTGGAACGAGGTGAAGGGCACGTCGATTCGATCCTGTTCTTTGGTGGTTGGGGTGGGTGGTGGAGGAGCTGGTTTTGGCTGAAATGTTTAGAGAAAAATTATATGAAATACAGTTGTTTTTATGCAGAAAGAGAGATGTTTGTATTCAATGAAGCTTTAAAATAAAGAGACTTGAGATTAAAGCTTCCAGAGATTAAAGAGATTAAAGCTTTCAAAACTGGGTTAAAATCGTTTCAAAAATGATCTCTCGAAGACGTTCGATTCAATTGTATCGTTATTGCTTTCAAAAATGTATTAGTCTTTTAGGCCTTTTGTCATAATCCTTGTGATTCCTGAGGTTTCTGACAAAGGATTATGTTTTGATTGAGGGCAAAAAGCTTGAAGAGCCGCACTAAATCTCAGCGCCAAGAGAATTTAATCTATTAGGTTGAGGAAAAAATAATGCGCGTTTTTTGGGCGTAACAATACAATTTATTGGCGTACAATTTATTGCATTCTACAAGAAATAGCAGGTTACTGATTTCAACTATCAATCAGTAAGGTATTCTCCATCTTTATCGACTTTTTCCTATCTTCGATGCTGTTTTTGATTTCATTTGTGAAAAATTAGGGCTTTTTGAAGCCAAAAAATAGTTGTCGACAGCTTTTTTTGACTTGAGCATGATCATCGAACTTTTCTCCCATGAGAAACTGTTTCAGGGACCGAAACAAAAAATAATCTAACGGGCTAAGTGAGAAATCAGCCAGTAAGGCGCATGAGGAAGCAACTTCCAGCTTAGCTCAATTTTTTTGTGAATGACTTTTGCGATGTGGGGTTTCGCCGTTGTCGTGGAAAAATCGAAGCTTTGATGGATTGGGCGCCAATTTCTTTAAACCATCGCCAACTTCTAGCCAATTGCTTTGAATAGAGATCAGCATCAATGTTTTCTCCTGGATTAGCTAATTCACCGTGCACCAAATCTTTTGATTTCCACCAGCAACAGAATGTTATTTTCTTTCCATGAATTGACAAAGTAGCATCGGCTTGGGAGTGGTTTGAGGAGTTTTGCCTGGTAGATAGCCAGGATTAGCTATGTCGAACATGACCGGGCGGTAATTTTTAATGCACAGCTCATAGTGCACCAAACCTTTTGAGTTTCACCAGCAACAGAGCATTATTTTCTTTCCATGAATATCAGGTTTGGGAGTTGGGCACGGTTTGAGGGATTTATCCGGTAGATTGGTTCTTCCTTTTGATATCCTTTTGACATTCACGTATTTCCTTTTGGCTCGACATCCCTTTTAATATTCTCGAAATTAATCCGAGTTTCATCAGATGTCAAAATCGAATCCCAAACACCACCAGCTTTGCAAATGAAGCAGAAATGAACAGACGTTGATATGAGTTGTTTTGTTGTCTTGAGTCAATTCGTGCATGATCCAGCGATCCAGCGAAGTTTTTCTGAGTTGGTGCAAATGGTTGTTGATTGTCTTCCGATCACGTCAAACATTTCTGTAAGCTCGCGAGTCGTGAATGTTGGATTGAAGTCAATTTCAATTCCCCAATGCGAAATTTAAAACGCGCATTATTTTGTCTTCAACCCAATACTTCAATTGGGTTTTAGGGATGAAGGATTGAAGGATGAAGGCTTGAAATTTCTCTTACCCAAGGCTGTTCGGGTGGAGAGCTTCGCTTTGAGCGTCGATGCTCCGCATCAGCACCTGCGTTCATTTGAGCCGCCTAAAAACGTTTTGTATTTGTAAGACTATTGATTGAAAGCTGAGCTCTGACTGAAATATTATACTATGGCTACATTGCATAACCACTATTGCATGAAACTATCTCAAACCTCAGACCTCAGATCTCAGCCCTCGGACCTCAGACCTCAGACCTCAGTTCTCAGACCTCAGACCTCAGATCTCAGATCTCAGACCTCAGCCCTCAGACCTCAGACCTCAGATCTCAGATCTCAGGTCTCAGATCTCAGATCTCAGATCTCAGCCCTCAGAACTCAGACCTCAGACCAATAGACTAACCTTGAGACTCTTATTCAGGATAGTGTACTCATTTCCAAGAGTTTACAGTAATCTCACCTTTTTCTTCACTTGATATTCCTGGCTGACTGGTACATCAGCATCATTGATCAAGAAAGGAGTGCTCAAATCTTTTCCACCCAGAAAGTTCGAGAACATTTGCAGAGCGGGACCTGCCCTGTCCAATGGGACCAAGTGACCTGCTCCCTAAAGGTTTATGTTTTAATTCTCAAGCCAGCCAAAGTTTATTTTAAACATCCCATACCTTTACAGTAGCATATTCTACAGTAATCTTGTTATCCATCGTTCCAAAACGTTTATTGTAACCACCATTGCGATTACGGTAGCTAGAAATCGAATAGATGTGTTCAAATAAGTTACTCACTTCCAAATACCATAATCCTTCTTGACGCTCAAGTTGTTTCTTGTCACAAGAGCTTCCACAAACCATTGAACTCCCATAAAGATTGAAGAGAAATCGATGTCTCCATTGTAGAAAAGGAAACGAAGCGGAGATTTGGTGGAACTGAAAATATTTAAGAGTTTCTCTATAGCATGCTTTCAATTTTCGTTTAAACTCTAATATACCAACTTGATTATTGCATCGATTTCAGCATCAAGTGTCGGATGTGTTCGGCGGAACTGATTTTGAACTTTTGAACTAAAAGTAAATAAAGCTTTTATCAAGATACACTACTGGACAATGAAATATCATATTTGAAAAAAGATCATCACTTTCGCGCGTCTGTAACTCCCTTGTCTTTACCGTATTTCTAAATATTAATAATACCATTGTGTAGCCATTGAAAAGAGCTTTCAGAAAATGTATAACACTAATAGTTTAAACTTAAAGTTACAGAGTTACAGACGCGCGAAAGTGACGATCATTTTTCAAAAATCATATTTCATTGTCCATTACTGTAACTTTCGATGAAGCTGAACTAAAAGTAAATAAAGCTTTTATCTATTTCTCCATTACCTGCATTCAGTCCATTCTAGATTCACATGAAGAGCTTCTTGAACCTCAGGCTTATTCAGCCATTTTGCTGTGGCATTGTTGGCATAACAAGGAAAGCCACCCAAATTGTCGGTGATGTCAATTGGAGCCATCAACTAAACGAATTCAAAAGGTTACAAGATTCACTTTTGTTGTTTCAGTACCTATACGTTATGTACCATATCTGGACTTGAAATTTCTAGGTAAGAAGTACAAATCTGATACCCGGCACTATACAGGGTGACCAAGAATTACCGCAACAACGTCGTATCATAATACGACGTCGTTGTGGTAATTCGTGCGGTTATGAGCCCCATTTCACTTTTTGCTTACCTGTTTTTATGGTTTTTTTGTATTTTTCTTATTTTATGGTATGATTACTAACTTTCAATAGATTAGTATCGTTGTTTTCAGGAATGGTGAAAGCGTCTCCACATCGACAATCGATCCTTGAGCTCAAGCGGCAGTGTGTTCAGGCAAGGCTTAGGCTTAGGCTTAGGCTTAGGCTCATCTCAAAGCGCCTGAACGTCCCCAGAAGCCTCGTTTCTCGAACCATTCAACGTTATGAAACTCTGGGCACAGCTTTTGATCGCCCTGGAAGAAGTGCAAAACGAGCAGCGGTTACTCCGGCTAATGTCAAGAAAGTGCGCGATCGTCTAAGATTAAACCCTAACCAATCGAGGAATGGCAGAGAAAGTTGGTCTGAAGAGAAGCTCCATCTGTATATTAGGAACTGATTGCTTCGGTCCAGTGCTCCGACTCCAGAACTCACCGCAAGATTCGAATAGAAACGGCTCTTGAGGTGCTCGTTGATCTTATTCGAGAATCCACTCCATAACTGTGACCCATAAACAGCTGCAGTCTGTGTGTAACAATCCTCGTACATATTCATTGCATGATTACTAAAATCAATGAACGAAAATCAACGAGAGATCTTTCGGAAAACTTACATTGGCAGATCAATACGATCTTGGATGAAACCAATAATTTTCGACGGGCAAGTCGAGTTGTCAATCGGAGAGATCACGCCATTTGACCAGGTTAAGTAAACGGAGAAATCGCAATACTCAAACCATGCTGGATCACTGTTTGATTGATTGCAACAGGGGATCAGGCTTTCCCATTCTCTGAAACGTTTAACTAAAGCTTTTAGCAAGATTTTGGCGTTCTGTTTTGTTTGATTTATTGTATTGTGTACATAAAATGGCTAAATTTTTCCAAACGGTGGCTGTTGACGCTCTTTGATTGTGAACCCTAAGCGCTATTGGGGTTGTTTCCACCAAAGCTCCTACACCAAAGTGTTCCCATGCTCCTAGATCAAAGTGCTCTCACACTGCTACACCAAAGGGCTCCCATGCTACTACACCAAAGTGCACCCATGCTCCTACACGAAAGTGCTCTCATGCTCCTACACCAAAGTGCTCTCACGTTGCTACACCAAAGTGCTCCCATGCTACTACACCAAAGGGCTCCCATGCGCCTACACGAAAGTGCTCTCATGCTCCTACACCAAAGTGCTCTCACGCTGCTACACCAAAGTGCTCCCATGCTACTACACCAAAGTGCACCCATGCTCCTACACGAAAGTGCTCTCATGCTCCTACACCAAAGTGCTCTCACGCTGCTACACCAAAGGGCTCCCATGCGCCAAAGTGCTCTCATGTTCTTACACCAAAGGAGTGCTGGGAGTTGGTGAATAGTAAGCCGACACTTAACTCTGCTAAATACATCGATAACCTCGAAAAACTATCCACAGCTTTGACAAATGGCGGCCCAAAAAGGGCCAAAAGTCATCCTCCTCTATGATCACGCCCGCCGTCATTTTTTTCCATGACTCGGGACAAACTGGAGAGCCTTGGCTTGGCAAGTGATGGCCTATGATGGCAAGTGATGGCCTATTTTGGCAAGTGATGGCCTAGGCGCCTATCCCCCATACAGCCCGGACCCCAAGTGCTTATCATTACCGGTCGATAAGCAACGAGCTGCTTGGGCAGCATTTCGATTTCAACGATGACGTTAAAAAGTGCCTGACAAAGCGGAGATTTGGTCGATTTGGTTTGGGAAAATCGAAGACTTTTTATGAGAAGGGCATCCGAAGACTGCCAACAAAAATGAAAAAACATTATTAAAAATAATGGAAAATATTTGGATTGATTTGATAAAGAATAAATGCTTTTTTGAACATTTAGCCATTTTATATGCATTGGCCCAATAGCTTTAAAACTAGTCTTGGCCTAAGTCTTGTCCTTGTCTTGGTCCTTGTCCAAGTTAAAGTAGAATCAATCTTACTTCTTTCCGATCTCTCCATGAAAGTACAAGAAGTGCATCGCTGAGTTGACCTGTTGTTTCCAGCTCAAATGTCCGTTCCCAAAAGCGATTCCTTGCAAGTTAAAGTTTGTCTGAAATTTGATTCTTTATTAGCCCCAAATCATCAATTACCGAATTGTCGTCAAGAAACTTTTTAGCTGCTAGTGCTGCGAAGATTGCTCCGTACGATTCACCAAAGATGAACAATGGTCGCCCCTTTTGCTCAGGGAAAACGGTGAAGAAATCTTGTAAAGCTGTATAGATTTCAAGAGTTGTCTGGAATAGGTTTTTGTATAAAAAGCAAAATGGTACTGACGGATTCATCTGATGGCGCTACTTCGATCTGACTGTTCCCAGTTCGCACTGAGAAACCTGTTCCTCGAGGAGCATCCAGGTAGAGAACGTTAGCCATCTAAAAACACTTTGTGCAAGATTTTAAGTTAATAAGTTAATAAGTAAACCTAAGTTAATACCTACTACTCTTTAAGAATAGTAGGTATTAACCACCAAGTAGGTATTAACCTAAGCCTAAGCCTAAGCCTAAGCCTAAGCCTAAGCCTAAGCCTAAGCCTAAGCCTAAGCCTAAGCCTAAGCCTAAGCCCAGGCCCAAGCCTAAGCCTAAGCCCAAGCCTAAGCCTAAGCCTATAAGCTAACCTTATTCCAAGAGTACGAATTCTCGAACAGCGTTTTCCCATCAGGGTTCACTCTGAAGGGTCCATTCTCGGTCAAGAGTGCACCTCAAATTGTTTTTGATAGATAAAGACCAACTTTAATTCACCAAGAATCAAATCTTTGCTTTCAAAGAGAAGAGTCAAAGAATCAAGTTAAGACAGAGCTAAGAATCAAAGAATCAAGATAAGCTATGTGAAAAAGTTATGAAAAATAACGGAAAGATAACGAAAAGATAACGGATCTAGATATTAGGTTATAGTTTTTTATCTATTTTTCAATTTCTTGCTCTAGCGATACAGCGGCCCACCCGTTCTCAATCCCGAGTCTAGATTAATCGATGGTTTAAAAGTAGATCGAATTGTACACGGTAGCTTGGTCTGTTAGCTATCAGAGTACATTAGCTCACTAAAGTACAGCGTCTAGAGTACACCAACAACCAGATTAAGCAGATTAAGCAAGTCTTACCCATCGCGCTGCAACCCGGACCACCAGTCAACCAGAGCACGAGAGGATCAGCAGCCGGATTGCCTTGTGACTCAAGGAACCTAGAACAATGTCAATATGGCGATTTGTTATTGCGCTATTTAAAAAGACTTTCTGGACAGCCTAAGGGTTAATCAACCAGTAATGAATAGCAGAGGTGATGCCAGAAGCGGATGCTTGTAGATAACCAGAATAGTGATTGAAGTTGATGGGCACTGTTGTGGCGGGTAGCCACCAGATTCGGTCAGCTTGCTTGCGACTCCCTAAAGAGGTTTCTTACAAGTTTGTAAATGATTTGAAGCAAAGTACAATTGCTGTAGTTCTAATGAATCTTTAAAGAAACAATGTAAGAAAAAGAAACAATGTAACAATTTCAAACTGTCCAAGGCAAATGCGAACTCAAGGTTGCGTCTGCGTCTGTGATTATTTTGATGTAGCTCATTGTCAGTTTTGTTAATCTTGAGCTGAGTAGACTTTGCAGGAGACTTTTGTTTAACACTCACATTTCCGATTAGGATAATTTCCGGGTATTTTGTATGGCATTGGATTGGTCGAGTAGCTGGCTGGTGGTTGATCAAAGAGAAATTGCAGAAGCTGTTGTTGGACACCTTCCGGTCGATCGTAGGAAATCAAGTGGCCAGCACCCTGAGAAATTTTTGTTGCTTTAGTATTGTAACAAAGCTATTTAATAGTCAAACAAACCTTGACTACAACCAATTTTAGGAAAGATCCATTCGAGATGTTGAACTGTCTTGTCGTACCACCGTTCACTGGGTAAAGGGCTTCAGTGATGTATTCCCATTCGGTGCGATCAGATAGATTTGTCTAAATTGAAAAAAGTCTACAGTTAGTCTACAGTTAGTCTACAGTAAGTTAAAAGTCTAGATTAGGATCTTCAGTCCAGATTAGCTGGATTAGGGTATTTAGTATAGAATTTAGTCTAGAATAGGGTATTCAGTCTAGATTAAGGTATTCAGTCATGATTAGCTGGATTACGGCATTCAGTCTAGATTAGGATCTTCAGTCCAGATTATGCTGGATTAGGATATTTAGTATAGAATTTAGTCTAGAATAGACTATAGGGTATTCAGTCTAGATTAAGGTATTCAGTTAAGTTAGTCTACAGTTAGTCTACAGTAAGTTAAAAGTCTATAGTTAGTTTTAGGTTTGACTTTGGTTAGATTTGACTTGGTTTGACTAGGATTTTGATTTGACTAGGATTTGACTAACATTCAACGTTTTTGCGAAATTCTCCAAGAAGCGCTCGCTGCCCAATGGAGTGAAACCAGCATCCAAACCTCCGTGAAAGACAAGGATTTTCTTGTTTCTAAAGATTTTAGATTGATTAAAGAAGAGCTAGTTAAATCTAGAATGAACTGAATGCAGGTAATGGAGACATAGATACCGTATTCTCTCTAATAGTAGTGCACTCTCTAATAGTATTTTTAATATTGGGTTGTCCAGTTATGAATGCGCGTTTTTTACTATTTTGTAAATTTCTCAAGATACCGAAATCAAGAAAAAGATATATATGAGTATTATTCGAAAGCTGAAGATCTCCTCTACATTTTGATATAAAAAGTTTTTGAACTTGTTCAGCTTTTGGGCAAATTAACTGCACAGAAGAAGAGGTGGCCAAAAAATGGAAGGGTGCCTTTGGATCAAGTTTTGGCTCCGCTCAAATTGAGTTAACCGTTTGATGTTTGGCCAATAGATATATCAATAAAACTTTTTTTAAATATAACAATTTCAGAGCATCTTTACTTTTCTTTTCTTTTCTGGGTGGTTATTTTACACCATAAAACTTGAGGAATAGCTAAGCTGAAATGGGTTTTTTCGGAAACGACCTCTCCTTTTGTGCAGTCAATTTCCCAAAAAGTTGAATGAATTTAAAAACTTTTTTATTCCAAAATGTAGAGGAGATCTTCAGCTTTCGAATGATACATAACACTCATATACATCTGTTCGATATCTTGAGAAATTTACAAAATAGTAAAAACGCGCATTCATAACTGGACAACCCAATAGTAGTGCACTCTCTAATAGTATTGCGGTCCGAGAGGGGGTTGAAAAATAGCTTTAAAGCTTTAAAAGAAAGCTTTAAACTGAGGCCAAAACGTGAATCGATGCATTGAACATTTCAAAAAAAGAAGCTTTAAAAAGTGCTCAAAGATTCTCCGTTCAACCTAATATAGGTATTTAGAAATATAGAAATATAGAAATCCTAATATAGAAATCCTAAAATAGAAATTCTAATATAGAAATTTAAAATACTAGTTAGGTTTTTCAAAACAAACCCCAAATTCAGCAGCTTTGTCAAGTCATCACTGACATCAGCGCTGAGAGGACCTTCAATTGGCCACTCAGCAAATCTAAAGCAGAAAAAGATAGAAGACACAAAAACAAGCACAGTTAATAATAATAATAATAATAATAATAATAATAATAATAATGTTAATAATGCAAAACTTGAATATCCAAGCCTTAAAACTTTTCAAAATACCAACGAGCCACAAAAGAATGGACTATTCTGGAGAAGTCTTTGATATCCTCGAAAAGCCGCCTCGAAAGTACAAGTATAACCATTGTGAAGACCCGATGAATGACGATTGATACGAGACTGAAAACAATCAGCAATCGGGACACAATTGAGACACAATCGAGACACAATCAAAACCAAAAAACTCGTTTAAGGTCTATTTCAGTTCAAAGTCTAGTTCAGTTCAAAGTCTATTTCAGTTCAAAGTCTAGTTCAGCTCAAAGTCTATTTCAAATCTTGATCACTTACACCTGAATCAAAAAAGGCGTTTGTTCCATTGTTGATCAGATTTCCATCAGCTCCGGGCGAAGAATCGAAATCGGCTTCTCTTTTGGAACGGTGAGACTACAAATGCGCATAAGTTTGCAACTTTTTAAGTTAACTTTTTAATAGTTAACTTTTTAATAGTTAACTGTTTAAAATCCGTACAAAACATACTCTATCAAAAAATTATAAAAGCATCCTGTTTTTTGCTAGTTTTGAGCGTGCCATAACCCAATGAAAAGTATTTTTTGATTTCTTTAACGTTAAAAAAACATCCCATGCAAAATTTCAAAACATTTCACTCATCCAAAGTACTGTATCGTACAAAAAACGTTTTACGTATCATTATCAGTACCCCACTATTCACTGCACCACAAGCTCACATTTGAGAAACGATAAAGAATATAAACCGTCAAAGTTGATCGACTTCTGTAGGTAAGTAGGTCAACTTTGACGCCATTTTTCTCTATCTTCTTACAGGTGAGTGTACAAAACAACTTTTTTACTTTTTTCTATAGGCAATTTTGATGAGGGTTCTTTTAAAATCAGCCGTAAGTCGATCCAATTGCTGGAAGTCGAGATATAGACAGTTACAACGACATGTCTAAACTCCAAGGATTCTTTGAAATTTCAACATGTCGATGAAACTGTAAAAATTCTTTTGTTGCAATCTTGTATCGAATTTAATTTTGCATTTTATTGCAAAGTTTCATGGCAAAAAACTCAATTATAAACCTAATCCCGAACTTGACTAGTCAGAGAAACGGAGAAGTCAGAGAAACGTTGGCGATTCTTTTTTCCGTTGGCAATTAATTACAATTAATTGCCATTATTAATTAATTGCATTAATTGCATCAACCCAATACTGCTAACTATAAGTTTATGACAATTTGATGTATCTCATGTTTAAGACTTTTTAAATTGATTACCTTTTGCGATCCTCTCGAATACAGGCTGTAGCAATCGTCATACAAATTTTCTGGATACGAGCCATCACTTCTACAAAAGAGAAATCAGTTCTGAATATACGTTTTGCTAACTCAACGTCTCCCAAAAATTGAAAAGTCAAATCAACGATCGTGGCTGCGCACGCATCTTTCACTGGATCCGAGAAATTCTTTGGAATTGGGTAACCTGAAAGGCTTTTAAAGTTTTCATAGTTTGATCAAAGAAAAGAGTTTTGTTTTTGATCAAAGAAAATTGCCATTTTAAATCAAATCAAATCAAAACAAATACCAAATGGTCCGACATCGATGTATTGACTGAAATCACAGTCCTCAAGAGACGCAACTCCTGGACAACAAGCACCCATTTTTGCCCAGTCACTAAATGTTTATTGGTCACTTTTTCAGCGCTTATATTGTTTTGTTTTAAACCTTTTCGAGATCAATCCATCATAGTAGTTCATGATAATATCAGAGTTGACACTGGTTGCTGTGCTGAGCATTGGGCCGGTCAAGATCACTCCTTTGATGTTTGTCTGAAAGAAAATACGTATTCTTTGAAGCTTTTATTTTAGTTAAGTTAACTTAGTTAAATTTTAATCAAATTTTAGTTAAATTTTAATTAAATTTTTAATCGATTAAGTGATTCAATCGATCAACTAAAGTCGTTGACTGGACAAACTTACCATTCTGGTATCCAGAGAAGCTCGAAGTGCCACCGGTGTGGCAAAGCCAGAAGCTAAAAAGCATATCAGTATAAGTTTTAAACTTTCCAAAGCTTTTTATTGGGTTGGTGAATTGAAAACTGCAGGCTATTGTCATATGTGCCAGTTTGAGCACTTTCTTCAAAAGAAACCCATTTTGGTGTCAATGGAAAAGTTGTAGAGAATCAAAAATCAAGCTTATATCCAAATTTTCAGAAAGATTCAAAAACTGGTTTTCAAGAAATGCCAAATTTACGAATTTTCACAAAAATTGCATTTTAAGGGAAACTACTAAGTGTATCTTTTTGGAAATTTGGCTATAAGCCTAATTTTCGATTCTCTACAACTTTTCTATTGATACCAAAATGGGTTTCTTTTGAAGAAAGTGCTCAAACTGGGAGCCCAGTCCTCCATTCTCAAAGTTCTCCATTTTGGAGTCTCACACTTGTCTCACACACAAACCAAAACCCTACTACGAAAGAGGAATCCGCAAATTGCCTGTAAAATGGGCAGAAGTCGTCAATAATAATGGAAATTATTTGGAATGAATTTATGGTTTTATGTTGAATAAACTTTAGTTCAAAGTCCCGCAGTTTTCAATTCACCAACCCAATGTATGCATCTTTTTATATTTTAAACTTTTCTTTCTAGATTCATCAAGCTGAATCTAACAGAAGTCAGATCATTCTTGTAATATTGCTTATCTTACCGGCAAAATAGAGCTCATTCTGCGCATAGTCGGTGTTATTCATCCGAAACGCGACCACGAAATCCGTGATCAAATTGGTGAACTAAATTCTCTTTGAAAAGAAGCAATCTTAGCTCAAAACTTTTTGAAAAGTGTCGATGTACTGCATTGATAGATCCATGACGATTACATTTGAGAACTGAAAAAAGTTCACGATTTATTGAGCCCATCTAAAACCTTATTCCAAGAGTAGACGTTCTCCAAAATCGTGGTGTGAGTTGGGCCGATTCGATAAGGACCAATGTCAGCGAACATCGATTTTGCTGGCCCACAAGCGGACATATCACCAAGGTAAACGATCAATGGATCGCTTTTCGCGTTTTGTGAGCCGATGAACCTGAGTAAAGTTATAATACAAGGCTTCTTTTTATATTCATCAAGCTACAGGATTCATGCAACCGCCCCAAGGCTGTTAGTTAGTTAGTTAGTTTCATAGTTTCATAGTTTCATAGATGTTAGTTTCAAAAACTATTTCCACATACTTAAGAAAGATTTTCTTCCGTAAGCCAAAAATCACTTTGGAAACAGGACTTGGTGTTTTATTTAGGATGCTGCTTATGCTCAAAAGGCTCGAGTGGTTCAGGACTGGCGCAAGCAGCATTTTCCCCATTTGGCCACCTTTATTGGCCCTCAAATCCCGATCTTAATCCGATAGATTTCAGTGTTTAGAATGTTCTTGAAGCAAAAACGTGCTCAAAACCGCATTCCACCATCAATTCGCTTAAGAAATCTCTTGCAAAAGCTCGATAAACTCGATCTTAACCATTTGGATGCTAGACTTGTAACGAAAAAAATCAGGTGATTCTTTTTTGGTAATTCCAGGTTTTTCGTCTTTTTCTCACCACCAACCCTTCGATTTTGACTATTATGACTATCATTTGATGCAGAACATAATTCCGCGTCGAATGATAACAAAATTAACTCAAATTATAATATTCACGCAAAGTTAAGAGGCAAAAGGTTAAGTCCCGACTGTAATGGGCGAGGTTTAGGCTTTTAGCCAACAACTTTGCGTGGATATTAGATTTTGAGTTAATTTTGGTATCATTTGACGCGCAATTTTGCTCTGCATCGAATGATAGTCAAAATAGTCAAAATAGAAGGGTTGGTGTTGAGAAAAACACGAAAGACCAACGGCAAAAAAGAACCGACAGATGTTTTTGTTACAAGTCTAGTGAATGCATTTCCCAAATGTCACCAGGCCTGCATTTCTGCCCATAGAGATCTTTTTAAAAGAAAGTATCTTTTCTTGTTTAATATATCTTGTTTCTATATCTTTAATCTATACTAATATATCTTTAAAAATCGATTGTTAAAGTTTTTGAGTTGATTTCTCTTTTATCGGTGTCTATCCTTGAAAAATATTGGTTGCAATAATCCTGTTGCACTCTGTATAAAGCCAAATCCTTATAAATATGCCTATCAGAATCAAAAGTTAAAATTCTGAGCAAATAGCAAAGCAAATACAGTTTTTAAACCAAAACCGGAGAACCGGAGATCCTTGACTTTTTGAGAAAAGGAAATTCAACGAAAATTTCTCCTAGCCTTACTTCGCTTGATAGCATTTTTCGTTTTAATTATCCCAAGAGTAGATAATCTTATCTTTCTTTCAGTTCCTACATCAAATTCCCTACAGTTCTTCAAATTCTTACATATAATTGACATCATTCCTTCCACCAGTACACATCGGAAAATTCGCGGTCCATGTCTGACCACCGATTGGGCTCACCGGGCATTGAGCCGAGATTTGATGAACAACAAATAGTAATAGCAAAACTAGCCGAGTTTCAGCACCCATCTTTCAAAAATCGAACACAAAGCTACCGAATCCGAAGATTTTCCCGCTTCTGATTTTTTACGGAAAAAATATGGGTCGTAAAAGGTTTTGGTCGGTCTTTGACTCGGCGTGGCGTGTCCACTCCCACTTTTCCATAGATAAGAAAGCTATTCAGAGTGAAAATTCTACATCTGGATATAAAATTTGATGCGTAAATGTTGTCATGAATTGTACGGGTGACACAAAATACAATCGAATGCGTTTTTGTGTTCTGGAAGAAAATTGTAAGCAGGACCAAATCCGAGTTCTGCTTTGTCACCCCCGACAAAGTTCGTTCGTTAATGACAAATTCGAAAAATCACTCAGCTTACTCATTAGATCAAGGATCAAGGATGAAAAAGTTAACACGGCATGGAAATCACCTAAGAAATCACTTAAAATTCGTTTTACTGTCAAGAAAGAAGGAAGACTAAGGGATGGGGAGGGAAGCAGTCTTTTTCTCTCAAGTCATTACTCAGTTCTTTGTCTGCCTATCTTTTGAAAGTTGACACTTTTTGAAAAGTATTTTTTGAAGTTCAGTGGTCGGGCTGTAAAGAGAATTAAACATTCTACCTTTGACCAATTAAACATTCTACCTTCTAGCAAAACGCAAAAGTCAAGCCAAAGTCTTGCCCTTGGCTTACAATTTATGATTACATTGCCAGATTTAGAGTTATTAGCCTGGAAATTTTATTGAAGAAAAATTAATGTCGTTGAAGAAAAATTAATGTCGGTTTTGAATTCCCGTTGTTGGCAATTTTCCATTTCTTTGCTTATGCGATTTTTTTTTTCAAATTCAATCACCTAGACACTTCTATACTTTCATATTATATTTGATTTTTATAAATTTAACAATATTTTCAGGTACAAAATGCAAGACGAAAAGTTTTCGGGCCACTTTGTGGTATGATTTTAAATAAGGGAAATCGACGAGCTTAGTTGGAAACTTCTGCCCCGCGCCCGAGACCTTATAGTCCGGACCTGACCCCATCAGATTATTTTTTGTTTCGGTCGTTGAAGAGTTTTCTTATGGGAGAAAAGTTCGAGAATCATGCACAGATCAAAAAAGCAGTTGACACTTATTTTGGCTCGAAAACTCCCCATTTTTTTTGAGGATGGGATCAGGGACTTGCGACAAAGATGGAAACAAATCATCAATAATAATTGAGAATATCTCATTGATTGATGTCTATGTTTTTAGCAATAAACAGTTTTACGACAGAAACCGACATTACTTTTTCCTCAACCTAATAGCTTATAAAAGCCTAAGCTTAAAAATTTTAACACATTCCCGAAGATATGGCCCACCGGTGGGCCGTACGTGGATTTAGCACTATTTTGAGGCCGATTGGGCTGGAAATTTGCACCAGGTGGTTTTCGGGGCTAAGGAATTCGAGTCCGTTATTAGTTTTTAGAAAAATTGCTCTATTTTTGGATCTTTCATTCGGTGTAATTACCCAAGTTTTAGAGAGTTTTGTGATGACCGTATTGGCTTGGAAGTTGCCCAAAAACCAATAACGGATTCAGATTCTCTATCCCAGAATGCCCCCGGCTACAAATTTTCCAATCTACAGCTAACATAGATAGCTGTCGTCCGAAACGGCAGCCAAGAAAAAAGATGGTTCTTTCGTGAATGTGTTAAATTATAATGAATCCATTTTGGTTTAATTACTGAAGCTTTTAGAGAGTTTTGTGATGACCATATTGATTCCAGAATTAAAGTTGCTCAAAAAGTAACAACGTATTCGAATTTTTGATCCTCGAAAGCCACCGATTGCAAAATTTTCAAGTTTACAGCTAGCACAGGTCGCTATCGTCCAAAGCGGTAGCCAAGCCAAAAATGGTTTTGTCATGAGTGTGTTAATAACTTGAATATCTATCAATCACCTTATCGTCATTTATCGCATTCTTCACAGGTTGTCTCTTTTGAATGGCCTTTGCCGTGAATTTGTTAAATTACAATAAATCAATGATAAACAATGATGGGAGTGGGACAAATGCGACTTTTTTTTGCGAACCCAAGACATTTGCGCACCTTTTTTCGCGTTGTTTTGCGTTTAAAAGTTCTAAAAAGCTAATATTAACCAATTTCCATTCAAAAAGTTGTTTTTCTAAGTAATTTTAGGGAGTAGAATTCAAATTTTGACAGATCAGAGCTTGTGGAACCAATTTGAAAGATAAAAAAAGGGGTAGGTCAAATTCAAGAAAATTCTCGATCTTTCCCTACGTATAACTCCGTCCGTTCAAGCTCTGATACCGTAAATGCTGTATTAGAATGACACCCAACGAAATCTTGATTTTAGATTCACCTTATGGGGGTTCTATGGATAGACCTGGACTTAAAACCTATTAAAATTTTATCTGCAGTAAAATTTGAAACACTATTTTTGAAAAAAAATCATAAGGGTCCCACATGGATTTTTTTTTGGAGATTCAAAGGGAGTCGCGGGGTTACATTAATTTCACTTTTAAACGTGTTTTTGCACGTTTTGGACCAAGGGCCATCATTTAAAATAGTTTTTAACGAATTCTAAATTTTGATTCATGTGTTTCCCCATACCTACTTTTTGGATCTGTCCATTTTGAAGAGTTGAAAAATTGAATGACATATCATTCTATTGACATATCATGACATATCATTCTAATACAGCATTTACGGTATGTCAAAATTTGGATTCTACGCCCTAAAATTACCCAGAAAAGCAAATTTTGGAGTGGAAATTGGTAAATATTAGCTTTTTAGAGCTTTTTTAAAATGCGAAAAAAGGTGCGCAAATTTCCCGAGTGTGCAAAAAAAAGGTCGCATTTGTTCCACTCTCACAATGATAATTGATATGCAAAAGACATGGTAGAGCAGATGCGACTTCTGCCTTTCTTTTGGCCTTTGCATTAATTTTTTCTGAGAGCTCTAAAGTTTAAATTTGAAGCTGACTATTTCTTTGGACACTTTATTTTTGCAAAAGCGCTACTTCAATACTGTGCCAATTTTTACTAGGATTTCCCCAGGCAACGTCTTATTCCAAATAACACCCATGCGTTGTGCTCCCCTTTGCAAACGGCTGTCTTTTCAAAAGGCAACAATTGATTTTTTGCAAGCAACTGTCTTTCTGACTGAGTTTTTTTGTTGATTTTCTAGTTTATGTTATTTTGTTTCTAATTTATGTTATTTCAGAACCGAAAATGCCGAGTTTTCTGCCGGACAACTTGCTGGCGTTGTTCGTGTCTCGACCACCATTCCCATATTTGTAAGTTTTTTTCAAACACACTATAAAAAGTCAGCTAAAAGTCTTAGTTTTTAGTATTAAACTTAAAGTTAAACGCTTGTTATATTTAGACCACCAGTCGATGAACTACTCGTGGATCGTAATGAGAAACGACCAAAGATGGGTGGAATGGCTCAGCATATCGGAGAATTTGAGGTATTACTTTGTTCTTGTTTCAATATTTCTAAAAGTACCCGACATTCAAATAGCGTAGTAATAGATAATTGAACTACCGTAAATACTCGAATAGAAGCCCCCCGTAAGAGCGTCGCGTAGTCTAAGTTTACACTCAAAGAACCGCTCATATCTCAACACCAGTACATTTGTTTCTGCGAGCTTGGGTATCAAATTAAAGTCGAGAGGGGGCGATTTTTTAAGGTATAGCACATATTTTTAGCATTAACCAGCGCTTAGAACAAAATGATTGAAAATTATAAAAATCGGCTTTTTTTCCACCTTTCAATCATTTTGTTCTAAGCGATGGTTAATGCTAAAAATATGTGTTATACCTTAAAAAATCGCCCATCCTCTTGACTTTAATTTGATACCCAAGCCCGCAGAAACAAATGTACTGGTGTTGAGATATGAACGTTTGTTTGAGAATAAACTTAGACTAAGCGACGTTCTTCTAAGGGGCTTCTATTAGAACTTTTACGGTATAAAAACTAGGTTTAGCTAACTGAATGTTCTACTTACAATTATTAAATGCTTTTCAAATCAACTTTCAGGACCCAGTCGACACTCCGCCAAAGCCCGAGGTTGAGACAAACGCTCAAAAAAAGGCTCGCATACGAAAGCAAAAAGAAGAGCTGATGTCATTCAAATTGGAACAAGGAATCGCTCTATGGAATCCAGCTGAGAATGAGAAGGCCACAAAAGATCCATACAAGACACTCTTTGTCTCGAGAATTGTGGGTTAAAGCACATAAAAAATTTGGTAAATAGACTGGCTCTGGGTAACTAGAACTGGTTCATAGCGGTCTTTTGACTCCTTTAATGCCGCTGGTTTACTAATTGTACGACTCCTTAACGGTCCAAATGTTTTACTTAAAGCTAAAGGTACCAAGATCGGTACGGTTAAGGAGATGGTACAGTTTGAACAATTATGGCTGTCGTAGTGGACTGTTTCGTTAACCGTTGGTGAACTAACTAGGGAATGTTGCCATGTCACATGAGTCTTGGCCCATCTAATCGAGTTTTCATCGGGATTCTGAATCTGCTTTTAGCTTTTTTGGAATGCTTCTGTAACGCGAGATTTTTGGTAATTAAACAAAAAAAAGTAAAAAGAGTGAGCAGTGGAGAGATTCGAAACAGGATCGAAAAGTTTCGAACGCAGCCACACTAACCACTAGGCCGTCAGAAAACATTTTAGAAATGATGATAAAAGCTTGTAAACCAGCCGAAAAAGGCCAAATATCTCGCATTACAGAAGCGCTCCGGAAAAACTAAAAGCAGATTCAGAATCCCGACGAAAACTATCACATGGGCCAGAGCTCATGCGAAAACGTGAGCTTGACTTGGCAACATTCCCTAGTAAGCTTCAATGCTCAAATTTCTATTTGAAAACCAAAATACCGTGGTTCTATTGAAAAAAAGCCATTTTCTAAGAGGCTTTTCAAGGGATCATTTTTTCATTTTCTAATGCCAAACCACAAATCTTATTGTTAGATCTCAATCAGGTCAATCGATTTTATCAGACTCAAAAGTTAAATTTTGTATTTTTTATAAGTAGTTTATCCAGTGAGCAACAGTTCCGTAAATTGCACGTCCCGAATCTGAAATTTGTGGTGGGATGTAGGGGTAATACTTTCATGAAACATTGTATTCTCAAAGCATCAAATCTAAAGTCTGCTTTTCAGAACTACGAAACCTCTGAGTCAAAGCTGAAGCGAGAGTTCGAGCAATTCGGTCGAATCGAGCGACTCCAAATGGTTTACGATAAAAATGGAAAACCCCGTGGCTACGCTTTCATAGAGTATCGTGACAAAAACGATATGCACGGTAGGTGCTTTGAATTTGGAAACAAAGCTGATTTGTGCTCGAAATTCTAAACTCAAAGATTTTCGTCGAAATTTTGCACAAACGGGCTCCGTTTACGCTTGGTTACGGGCTTTGTGCCACTTCCAAACTTGTTTATTTATAGTGGACGCCATGAATCGTCCGATTCTCTTTGCCTCATTTGATAGGTTTGTTTATGATCGAGTTCATGCAAAGGTCAAAAATTTTCCAAAATCTCAACAAATTTCCGCATGAACTTGGTTAATAAACGAGAGCTGGGTGCGCGTAAGTTTGTAAAAAGAAAAGACGGTAACTTTTTTCTAAATTTAATTCAAAATTGCGGATCTCACGTAAGTGATTTCGTTTATCACACATTTTTGGCACTAACTTTGTGAAAAAAAGGTAAGCTGGGTAAGTTATGCCAGCAGAGCGCGCATCTCGAAAACGATTTATTTCGTGTAAGTTTGCCTACGGGTGAGCTTTTTGCAATTTACACATTTATCTAGGCTTTCTTCTTTTTGACAAATGCTTTTCTAAAAGAAGGAAAAATTGGCGTAACCCGTTACCTTAAGAGCCAAATAGACTTGCTTATAGATATTATCGATACAAACGGCAAGCTCATATTTCACCGTTCAGATCTCGGCTTCTAGAACAGCTATCAATCTGCAAATTTTTTCATTGGAAAGTCAAGAATATCAGCTTTTGATTGCTATTTTATACATAGCGACTTTTAATGAGTAAGCACCTCATAAACCCTATCGATATCGAAAATATCGATTAGCGATAAGTATTGATAAGCTTTTTAAGGCGCTCATTTATGAGAATTTGCTATGTATAAAATAGCAATCAAAAGCTGACATTTTTGGCTTTTTAATGAAACAATTTGCAGATTGATAGCTGTTCTAGAAGCCGAGATCTGAACGGTGAAATATTAGCTTGCCGTTCGTATCGATAATATTGATAAACAAGTCTAGAGCCGAGGCTTTGGCTGTCGCGTTACGGTAGTTTTACCATCTTTTAGGATCGTATTCTAAAGGTGAAAAACTACCGTAATCCGTTATCTTCAGAGCCAAAGCTTTATCTTAAACTGCGGGCCTACGGTAGCTTGGTCACCTTTTAGAGAACTCCTAACTCGTCTCCCAATAGCTTAGCGATTATCGATTCCAAAGAGATCACTATTTTACCCCACTGATCCAGTATATTTTAGCTTATCCTGAAAATTTTTAGCTGCTTACAAGAAAGCTGATGGAATGAAGATTGATGGAAGACGTGTTGTGGTGGATTATGAGAGAGGACGCACACAGAAGAGTTGGCTACCCCGGCGACTTGGTGGTGGAAAAGGGGACACACGAAAAACGAGAGAGTCTCGAGCTGAACTATTGGCGAAAGGAGTTCGAGTCGACGATCGAGACAACCGAGCTGGCAGTGGAGGAAGAGATCGCGATAGGGATCGTGGAGGGGATAGGGAGAGGTGAGCTGTTAGAAGCCTTGAGGTTGACAAAGGCTTACTTTATGTGTGCTTGTAACTCTGCGAATCTTAGTAGCTTTACACAAAATCTCATTTTTCGCATAAGCTAATAGACGTAAGACGTAGTTAATAAGCTATTAGAGATTTTGAACAATTCATAATGAATCATTTCCATCACCGTCTTCTCCCATCTCTAAATTAACAACATAGAAGCGAAAGAAAAACGAGTATAGAGGACGGAAAAGACTTTAACCACAATTACGCGGAACTTAAAATTGCCCAAAATGAAATTTTTGACAAAAATTTCATTTAAATTTAAGTTTAAACGGAGTTTAGGTTGGATTTTAGTGAAGGTCGGACTACGATAGTAGCACCACTAATATACGAAGAGTACCAATAAGATCCCTACCTTGACCTGATGCCTAGTTAGTAGACATGTTATCCGAAAAAATTTTTGCCGGTTCGGATTGAATCCGAAATCTCAACTTTTCGGATCGAAACAAAGCAACGTTTAGCCGTTTTTTTTATGGGGAACTCTAATGAAATGCACCTTTGCAACTGCAAGTTAGTTCATGGCATTTCTACGAGCTGAAACTAGTTTCAAAAGGGCAGATTGTACCCAGAAAGTTAAAAATATGGAAAAACCCTCAGCTCTAGTCATTACTCAGCGCAAAATCAATAACATCACTCAGAAAAAACAAAATAAAGTGCACAACTGAGTTACGCTATTCAGGTCGATAACTGAATTGCTTTAAATGTTTAAAAAGAATAAAAAGCTACAATACGCACAAAGCTCGTTGAACTATTTCGGATTGAATCCGAAGTCTCAATTTTTCAGATCGGATCGGATTGCGATCAAAAGGCCGATCCGATTTGATTCGTCGGATAGCATGTCTACTAGTTGGAATCATTATGATAGTGTGGCTTCTATCATAGAATAGACACGGAGCTCCCGAATCTGTAGAAAAGTTGAAATCACTTGAAATCCTTCTAGATACACTAAATTAGCGCCAACTTCAAGCTTTAGACCCAAAGTACGAAGTTGAACGATAATTAGTAACGAAACCGGATTAGAAGTTAAATAAAAGTTGATTGGTATTAATTAGTTCATTGAGTAACAAAATTCTATTTCAGACGTCACTCTCGTTCACGGGATCGCAATGGTGGTGACCGGGAACGTCGAGGCGGAGGAGATGAACGTCGAGGCGGTGGAGATGACCGTCGACGATCAGATCGCCGCTTTTAAATTTTCGATTATTTTCGACATCATGGTCTCTTTTGTCGCCTTGTTCAATTATTTGTGTGATTGACTAAATTATTACTTTTCTAAGTACATTTGTATTCTGTATCCGTAAAATGTTATAATTGTCATGTTTAAATAAATTTTCCTGATGTTCAAACAAAAAAATGCACGTGGTGAACTGCCAATGGTTATTTCCTTTTTGTTGCAATAGGTGTAATGAAAGGTTTGACAAAATACAACGCTACTGATTGAGATGGAATAGGTTTGGATATTTAGCTTTAGATCATCTGTTTAGACAGTTTAGCATGCCGTAAGTATAGCATATTGTGTTTAAATTTACAAAATTGCCTCGCTGATTCACTGATTAGATTTTGGTTAAAGGTTCGGAAAATGGAGGCTCCCGTGAGTGCAAGTGGATCCGATGTTGTCTGGACTTTATGTGAGAAACTCAGGTTTGAAATAAGATATTAAACATTACGAAATAAGATATTAAACATATGGTCAATTCAATCTAACAGAATTTAGGTCCGAACGCCTGTTGTTGTCAAGTGAAATGGAGACCGTCGTACAATTGCACACACAAATCGCCGATCGGATGATCGAGTTGGGAATAAATGAGTGGAGCTCACAACAGCATCAAGTAAGTTTATCAGTAAGGTTAGTATGGCATTTCTTACACAAAATAAAATAACTGACATGCTACCAACTATGTTTTCAGCTACAACAAAGATATTAGACTGTCCAGAAAGTCTTTTCGTTCCTTTTCGTACTCCCGTTTAGAATCAACAAATGCACCAATTGAACTACGGTTTATTTCATTAGAAAGGCAAATTATTTTTCTGCAAAATAACTAGGTTTTTTGGGAGCGTGAAGGCAAGTCAAAAAGGGTCACGATTCGATGATGCGGACACTTTAACTAAGGAAACCTATTTTGGTGTCTATAGATAAAAGCTAGAGCATAAACAGTTAGGTATATAGCCAAATTTTCAGAGAAATTGATTCGACCAATTTCTTCGTAGAGGTTTTATAGATTTCACTCTCGAATTTGCTTGAAAGTGAATCCAAATTGACTTAAAAAGATGGGAAATTGAACAATAAACACTTGTTATTAAGATTAAATCATAGATTAATTGATGAATTTGTTATTTTTCAACGGAAATGTAAAAAGGAACCAAAAAAACTTTCTGGACAGCATAATATGTGGCTAATAACACAAATCTGAAGGTTTTGTTACCATGAAAATTGTTTTAGATTATAACGAACACTAGCACAGCACTTAGTTGAGCTAATAAGCCAATGAATTAAGCTCTCTTTTAGGTAACATTCAATCGCCTGCTCAACTCGCACGAATTGGTCAAACCTGAAACGACTTGCAAGTTGATTGGACGAGTGAATGCGCCGAGATGGACAGAAGCCTATAAAAGGTTAAGATTTCCATCAAATCGTAAACGAAACGATTTAGACTTGAGTATCATTGCTCAAACTTCGAATCACTTCTGAGTTTATTTTTCAAATCACCCCGAGCCGCGGCTGAGTTTCTGAATGCCTGTGAAGCGTTGACACAGGTGAGGTGAATGGCCAAAATTGAGAAATAAGATTCCAGGACGAAAATGTGACAACAGAAGAAGTGATTCGATCGATTTTCTCGTTGATTTATGGTCATTGCCTCTTTCCGAGTGATGAACGACTGATACTTGATGTCCTTAAATATTTAATTGGTAAGTGGTACAATGTTACAATCAGAGTTGGCAAAAAAGCCAAATTTCCAGGCAAAGTCAAGCTTTTAGGCCGAATTTAGCCAAATCCAACGGCAAGACTGAAGTTCTAAGGCAACGTCAATTATCTTTGGCTTGACTTGGCTTAGTTAACTTTGGCTTTAGATTTTAACTTTAAAATTTTGCAATTAAAGGACTGCAAATTTAAATAACAGATTAACTTATCTATAAAGTTCGGTAAAAAAACTATTTTCAGATATGCAAGTTGTCCGCCATGTGAATCCTCGACTTTCCATTAGAAAAGGAACCTCCTCATTTTGTCGCCTCTACAAGCTTTTCACCGAGAATCTATTCCCAGCAAAGGTTCGGATTTGGATTTGCTTAGAATTGTCTAATTGGATTTGGGTTTGATTAGAATTTTCACAAGGATTTAGTTAGAATTTTCGAATTTCCAGATATTTCTAACATCCGCCTTACATGACCCAGTGATGCTTGTGCTTTGTCAGGAAGATATATTTCTTGACCTCGACCCTGCCAAATCTCCACTTCGTTTCCCAACCGCGGAACGAGCGAGGCGATTTGGTTGTGAAATGCGTTTGACTTTTGACTAAAATCTTTAGGAACTGATCCTCAAAATCCTCAATATCAGAAGAAAGTCGCTCAACATCGAAAGATAATTGTTGAAAAGATTGTTTTGCTTGCTCATGCTTTTGTTAAAGGTAAGCACAACTTTAACACATTCACGACAAAGCCATTTTTGGCTTGGCTGTCGTTTTGGACGACAGATCTATTTGAGACGTGAAAATTTGTAATCGGAGGCATTCCGGGATGGAGAATCTGAAGCCGTTATTATTGAATAACCTAATAAACTGATTGTCATTTTGAATTTATAGCTTTTGCAATCATTTACTTAGTAGCTATTAAAAACTGACCTTTTGAAGAAAGAAACTGAAGCCCAAACGAAACTGACATTCTTTCAGGAATCAGCGATTCATTGGTATGCTTCCCGGCAAGCTTAACATGGCTAGTTCAACAAATGTACAACTCACTCGTTGATTCGGGAGCAACAAAAGAGCATGCGATATTGATATGCACGGATCTTGTTGTCACCAATCTACTCTGTCCGGCTATCACAAACCCGGAAAGCCTGGGAATCATCAGTGATACACCCGTTGGACACATTACAAGGTTAGATTTCATTGTTGTAAGTTCGAGAACTTATTTAAGCTAATCGTAAAGTAACTTTTAGATTCAATCTGATGCAAATGGGTCAACTTGTTCAAATGTTGGCTTTACAAAAACACGAGCAACCACCACCGCACATGCAGTTTCTCTCATTACAATTTAAAGACGTATCAAAACTTTTTGTAACTTGAGTACCACTATTTTCAGAGTCCAATCTGTGATATCGTGGCAAGTCTGTTGAATCGACGATTACCTGAACTTGATACAATGTTCCCGCCTGTTGTTGCCGAATCGAATAGAGGCGATGAGTTGTTCAAAAGGACACACTTTCTTGGGTCACTTTACGAAGTAAGCTTTGAGATTTTGATTACCCTGTTGATTCTAGCGCATGCGCTTCTATTTTTCAATCATTCCACAAAATGCTTCTGGTGGAGGCTGCACTTTTTCAATAACTAAAAAATTGATGAAGTAGTTCGTAGAAAGAAAACCTTTAGGTAACAGCCAATTAAAAACAATTCAATCGTCAAAAAAAGCAAAAAAGGGATTTTATTACCGTTAGATTCGCCGACTTCAATCGAGATGTCACTATCCTTAAAGGCTCAAAATTCACTACATTCAGTCTACTAAGCTGAATCTCCATAGTTATTGCTTCTATTAGAATAAATACGATAATTACATGAAATTTTAGGTCAATTCCCTCCTATTCGCTGTTCGAAGTTCGGCAGTTGAGAAAATCGTGGATGCGAATCTGAGGAAGGATTTAAAAGTATGGACTTGGCTTGTGCTTTTTTGTTCAAAAACTAGAACCCATTCTTTTTGCAATACCATTGTTAAACTCAAAAGTTCAGAAGCAGAAAAACCAAATTCTAGAGACTTGAATCGAATCGAATTCCTGAAACTTCAAAAAATATGCCTTTGTTTTAGGAATACGTAAGACGAATGCCCGTTTCTTTCTCTACACCAATCGATCACACATCTCACCAAAACGCAAGCACCGAACCAAGAACGAAAATTCAACAGTTCACCGAGAAGGTAGAGATGTAAATGAGATCCTTGACTGTTGATTTTTATAGGTCCAAAGCGCAAGAAGTCTACTGGCGATGCAACAACCAACATCACCAACAGCTGAAACAGGGCCTCAAACGGTTGAGCTACCACCCGAGTACTTTGACATTGTTGTTTTCAGGTAAAGCGTTAGTTGATGCAAATTTTCAATGTGGTTTCAGATTGTTCAATGATGATGAACGACTCGGCTTACAACCCGAGGACAAATTTATGGACTCTATGAGGCACAAGAATTCGAGAACTCACAAGTTGAGCACTGGAGATCGAGAAAAGAAAACTCGATTTTTGGACAATGCTAGTACAGGTATTAAACTAGATTTTTTGCGAAATTAAGTTTGAATTTAGTTGGATCAGCAATATCCGAGGGTACTGATGCACCGGCTTCTGATATGGAGGATAATGATGGTGATGTCGGATCGTTGAGCAGCAGCATGGACCAACCGCATGAGGACAGGTGAGTTGGATGGAATTGGCAGCGATAAATCATAATAATGATAATAATAATCGTCATACTTTATTCATGGTACATTCGTGGTATTCATAGTACATAGTACATAGTACATAGTAAAAGTGAGCCCAATATGTAAATACACAGGAGGAGCCGTTTGTGGCTCAGAAAACATAAACGTACAGAAAAGAATAGAAATTTCATTTTTTATTTTAAACTTTTGTAATAAAAGCTTAAAAATTAAGTGAAATTCAAAGATCTAAGGGAAGGAAAGCAAATACGAATTAAATCTAAGAGGGAATTAAATTCAAATTTGCGGCACATCCCAATTGACTGAGCCTAAGAAACATGTATTAGGGTTTTCCATAAGTTCTTGCAGTTCTTAAATTTGTGATTTCTTAAAGAGCAGACAACAGTTTCATTTGAAATTTCTACTGAATAATCTATAAGTATATGCTAACTAGTAGCCAAAATTTGATGACGATTGCTTGGTTCAATCGAGAGCATGAGCCTCTAACGTTGCCGTGTGTGTTTCACTCTTTGTGAACTCGCTTACCTCTGTAGAAACACTAATGAGAAACACTAATGATAAACAGGATCCAGAGCATTTTTAGGAGGCTTAGTCATCATTCGGATACAATTGAACTTCAATTAGCTTTTTGATTTATCTTTTTTTTAGTAGAATTATGGAAACTTTCTCTCACATTAGCCCTCAAAATAAGGTCAAATACTTGGTTGAACAGGCGTATCACATTCTCTCAATTGAATCAAGCGATCGTCATCGAATTTTGTCTACTAATTAGCATATACTTATAGATTATTCAGTAGAAATTTCAGATGAAACTGTTGCCTGGTTTTTAAGATATCATAAATTTAAGAACCGCAAGAACTTATGGACAACCCTAATAGTAGACAGAAAGACTAAATAATCAGCTAGTCACAAGAAAGGGTTGGGAAAAACTGGCATTAACCCCCAAAATTAAAAGTTTAGGTTGGATAAATCTCTGAGTTAGAGATTAGTTAATGGTAGCTCAAAGCTCAAAGTTAATGCTAGCTCAAAAATAGAATTTAAGTCACGCAAAGAAACGGGGAAGATAATTCCAAGTGGATCGTTACTCTATAGGTAAAGAAATTTTTAGCGAATTTACAAGAAACAAAATTTTGAGTCAAAAGAAAAACACCTCGCCTTGTATTTAGTGTAAAAAAAGATTTGAGCAAAGGATTGGGATTGATGTTTTGGCTTTAACAGCCATGAAATTGGATATTAGATTCAGACTTCTACTACTTGACGAAGACGGAACATCAACCTTGCCAGATAATATGTCTGATGTTGGAGCGATGAGTGGTAGGGGAAGCCCGAGTTTGAGTGGACGAGGCTCGCCGTTGAGTCAAGTCGGGCAACGAGATCAACAAGGGGTTGTGGGTGAGTTGACAGAAGAATTTGAAAAGCTTGACCTTTGAAAAGCTTGACCAGAACAGAAACACTAATCAAATAGTTAAGTTTCAATAGGAAAATGTTTCTAAATAATATCAAAGCCAACTTTTCAGAAGAAAACGACGAAACTGAGGCTGAAGTAGCAGCCGCTTCGACAGCAGCCGGTGATATGGGAGATCCAGCAAGACACGCTTTACCGCCTCTACCTGTCACTGTTCGAAAACAAAACGCTGAGGGTTTAGAGGAGAAATTTGGAAAGTTCAGCCTTCCCTCGTCGCAATCGGGCAGAAGATATCGTATGTTTACAAAAGAAGATAAAGCTTAAAGGGATTAGGTGACGATCAAAGGTCTCTGCTTTCCGATTCTTGGTCTACGGATGTTGTGGCATCAGACAATGAAGGGCCTGGACCGTCATTGCCTTTACCGCCTGGCGATAACTTGGCTCCCGGTGGCCCACGGGTGGGAAGGCATGCAATTGGACGGTAGGTTTTGAGAAAAAAGTAACAGGCTCAAAACTATCTAAAATGATTTGCACGTTTGGGCAAACCCTATTAAGCTGTCCAGAAAGTTTTTTCGTTCCTTTTCATACTTGCGTTGAAAAATAACAAATTCATCAATGAACCTATGATTTGCTCTAAATAAAAAGTGTTTATTGTTCAATTTCCCGCCTTTTTAAGTCAATTTTGGTTCACTTTCAAGCAATGATGAGTCATTAGCAGGGGGTGGGACAAATGCGACCTTTTTTTGCGCACCTGGACATTTGCGCACCTTTTTTTTGCTGGAAAAGGCCTTAGGCAAGGCCGTAGAGCTTCGAAAATATTTCCACATAAGGGAATCGTATGCGTAGATTCCCTTCTATGAAAACATTTTTGAAGCTCTACGGCCTTTCCTAAGGCCTTTTCCAGCAAAAAAAGGTGCGCAAAAAAGGTCGCATTTGTCCCACCCCCATTAGCAGAAATGATTTTTCGAAAATGCGCTTTAACTGGTATTACAGAGTGCGTCATAATTATGGGCTCAGATAAATTCAATATTAATCGAAAAACAAGTCACCCAATGGTAAAAAGCTTTTATAAAAATCGTTTTTTATATGTTAACAAGTGGAAAACTCAAATTTCAAAAATTCTTCCGTTGGCGGTTAAGACGTGAGCGGAAGGCGTCAACTGTGGCGTGCAAATAGGCAACATCAAGCTCGTCCCATGCTTTGAGGAGCGCTTTCTTTAACGAGTTAACTGTTCGATGTGGTTTAGCACACGCCTTAGCATCTAGGATCAGAAATTCCCATTTGGTGGGACTGGTCGTTCCGGGTTACGACGCGACGTCTCTCGCACTTTTTTTGGTGTTGGACTGAATACACATCGCCGTTTTCCTCGACCAGCACTATCAGCATTTTTCCCAATTCCTTGAAGCGTTTAAACGTCTTGTTCACGAGCCGCGTAGAAACTCCTAATTTTTGAGAAATTGCACGTGTCAAAAGCCCCCTCGATGCAACGCTATGATCGAGTTGTATTTCCGTTTAAAATCAGCAAATGCACCATTTGAACTACGGTTTGTTTTACTAGAAAGATCAATTATTTTTCTACAAAATAACATTAAAATGGGTTAAAAATGTCTGGATTTTTTTGGGAGCGTAAAGGCGAGTCAAAAGGGGCGACGACTCGATGATGTGAACACTTTAACTAAGGAAACCTATCTTGGTGTCTATAGATAAAAGATAGCGCATAAACAGTTAGGTATATAGCCAAATTTTCAGAGAAATTGATTCGACCAATTTCTGCGTAGAGGTTTTATAGATTTTTCCGAAAAACATGTTTTCACTCTCGGATTTGCTTGAATTGCCCTCAATTACTTGAGCCAAATTGACTTAAAAAGATGGGAAATTGAATAATAAACACTTTTTATTTAGAGCAAACAAGATTGTTTAGTGAATTTGTTATCTTTTACGAAAGGATGGAAAGAAACAAAAAGACTTACTGGACAGCTTAATAGATCTAATATAGCAATACTTTTAAGCGGTACTAACAGTACTTCTAGATATCTATCTAGAAATATCAAGAATGGTACAAAATCTAAATCAGTCGCTAGCACTTCAGATCTGGCTCAATCGGTGGACAAAACCAGGGAGCAGGAAACGAAGATCGAAGTGACACCTGGAGTCTTGACGCTGTTGCAAGTGACAGTGAAGCTGATGGAGCTAGGGAAAGAGATCGAGAGGTCGATCGAGAAGTGCAACATAATCAACAAGTGAACGAGATTTTAGACAAAATGAACTTTTCTTTCAGCTAGAAGCCAACAATCCGGCTAACAAGCCAATCATTGTCAATGCTAATCCATCTGAAAATCTGATTTGCTTGGATCCATCACCGGCACCCAGAGAAACATCGAATGATGGCGAGAGAATGCGGCGACAAAGTAGCGGCAGCTCTTTCTTATCTCGTTCTGATTTGGATTCAGATGCAGGGTTGTAAGTGATTAATCGAGTACAAATGGTTTATGAGCTCTAGATTACGAGAAATTGATGACGTTCAACCAGCTTCAAAAGCCGCTTCAACTGCTCCACCAGCTCTTCCACCTCGGCCTTCAATGGGAACACCGACCCCACCAGAAATTCCACCGCGTCCAAATGTTGAAGATCGTCGATCATCTTCTGTTGCTCAACTCGGATCACCTTCCCAATCAGAGACCTCAGATTCGCGACCAGGTACAGTCAGGATAAGTTGGTCTGCTGATCTACTGGGTCTACTGATCTACTGGGTCTACTGATCTACTGGGTCTACTGATCTACTGGGTCTACTGAGTCTACTGGGTCTACTGATCTACTGGGTCTACTGGGTCTACTGATCTACTGGGTCTACTGACCTACTGGGTCTACTGATCCACTGGGTCTACTGATCTACTGGGTCTACTGGGTCCATGGAAAGTTCTGACCCTCTCCAAAGATTGTCGTTTCTTCAGAGAAAATAAAAAAATAGAATCAAAAGGACTTCAAATTTGAAATCTTTGACTATTTTTACCCTAAGAATGCTTTTTCTTAAAAAGGTCTTTTATTTCGAAAATCTTTTTTTGGCTCGATTATTTGCGGAATTCGGAACTGCGGATTATTTGCTTTTTTGCGTCGCGTTACCACCTTTGCTATTGATTTTAAAATGTGAAAAAGCCGAAATCAAATCAAATTTTTTAAATATTAGAAAAAAGAAACATTTTCCTTTAAAACTATCCGTTTTACGGTAGGATTAGTTAAGAGCTCACGATTTTTAAGCACCGTTAAAATTGGGCCAAAAGTCAAAGAAGCCGGTCGGTCGGGATTCAGCCAAAAAAACAGATTTTGAAAACGAAAATCTTTATATGAAGAAGCATTTCTAGGGTAAAAATAGTCAAAATTTTCAAATTTGAAGTCCGTTTTTCTTCTAAATTCCTTGGTTTGAGTCGTACAAATGATTCTTGGAGAGGGGACAGAACTTTTCACGCACCCTATCAGCTTTTCCCAATCAATAGCGACGTTTTTAGATAGAGAAATTTTAAAACACTCTTATTTAGCACTATGCATTGGCTTTTTAAGCAAAATATTACTAAAATATTGTCCCAGGTCCATCCGGAATCTCAACTTTCTCAAGTGCAAATCTGCGTGGAAAGAAGACGGCCCTGTTCCAAGGATTGCGAAATGTTGGTGACAAAATTGGAGACAGAATGCGCAAAGGAATGAATTCAACAACGTTACGACAGGTTTGCTAGGAAACAAACTCAACGATTCGAAAATCTAGATACCCCATTCTTCGACAATTTCTGACATTCTGGGATCATTCCCAGGCGAGTGGTCCGGCGAAAATCCACAGCGTCGAGGAAGCGAGCCAAAAATACCAGTGTCCGGCAGTCAACCAACAAATTTGCATAAAAGTAAGCTTGAATTTGGTTCAGTTTTTGAATTTCGCGTCATATTCAGTTGCGCAACAATCAGCTGATGACATTTTGAACAAGTACAAGACTCGTAAGCCATCAGTCGTGTTGGTGGATTCATCCGGAGAACCGCCAGAAATCGAAGCACCCGCTCCACCACCGAATGTAAGTATTTGGCATATCCGATTTAGACTCAACAATTGCTATGTTTTAACAATTGCTACTTGTTTTGTTGCCGCTAAATCATGTGTTTGACATCAAAAACAAGGTCAAAAGCAATAGCCGGATCAAAATCGCTTTTAACTAACTTTTGCCGAATTTAGCCATTTTGAAAGTAAAAATATACTGTTTTTGGTTTTATTTTGCCCCGTTTTTGCATTGTCAAAACGTTATACAGTTTAGTAATCGTTAATTTTCTGAAATAGAGGGTCGATTGAACGAAAATCTCCGCACTATCGGATATCCGATTTAGATTTTTTTGGAACCGTATTGGATCTAAAAAGAACCGTATTGGATCTAAAAAGAACCGTATTGGATCTAAAAAGAACCGTATTGGAACCGTATTGAAACCTTTTTAGATCCAATACGGGACCGTAAATCGAGTCTAAATCAGATAAAAATCTAAATCAGATATAACATATTGATCTAGAAATGCTGACTAAAACGTAGTTAATACTTTACATACGCAATTTTAGGCTCCATTGTACTATGATCCGGAAAATCTGTCTCAATGTCGAGCGTTCATCGATGCCAAAAGAAAACTTCGTCATGTTCTTAGCAACATCGGCACTTTACCGTCTCCTGTGCTGTTTTCTAGAAGGTAAAAGTTTAAAATTGAGTTAATAAGGTTATAGCTTCGAAATATAACATCTAATTTTATGATTTTTAACTCCAGAGAAGGACTTGTTGCTGCTGAGCCTTTGTCTGAGCGTCTTCAATTGCTAAGGCTTCTACGAGTGCTTCTCGCTGAGGCAATCAATACAAGAGAACAGGTAGAAATATCTAAACATATTCTAAACAATTCTAAACAATTCTAAAGATAAATATTCTAAACAACAAACAATTTCTTTAAATTTAAATAACTTTAACTTTAATTAGTTCTACCAGGTGCCAAGTCTAAAACATTTTTCAATTTAGGTCCTTTCCGCTCACATTCGTGAAGTAATACGAGTGCTGGCTTTCTTTGATGACAAAGGGTTTGTCTATTTAGATACTTAATAGCCAATTAGGAAAATAAATCTTTGATAATTTAGATAATAAAGAATATTTATTTAGAATCCAAATTTAGAATTCGAAAGCTTTTGCGGATCTTGCGAGACGAGCACCGTAAACGAACATCCTACGTGCTTTACTTGCAACAATCTCGCCTCACTCTTCTTCGCCTTTTAACCCATATTGGACGACTTGACCAAAGAGTGAACAAGTGGGTTAAATTTTCAATTTCACCAATCGATTTACCTTAATACATTCACGACAAAGCTATTTTTGTCCTTGGCTGCCGTGTCGGACGACAGCTGTTAGCTGTAGACGTGAAAATTTCTAACTGGAGGCATTCTGGGATGGAGAATCTGAATCCGTTATTAGTTTTTCAAGCAACTTTAATTTCCGAGCCAATACAGTTATCATAAAACGCTAAAAACTTGGGTAATTAAACCAAATTGGAGAAAAAAGAACGAAAACATTTTTAGGTTTTGTTCTATATCACTAGAGGCAATTACACATGTACGATTACGCTGTAGGGTTACGTGAACATAAAAATTTACACGTTTTCCTAATCACGGATCTTCTGATTACAGTAACTTTCAAAATTGGACACCATTTAGAGTAGAAACTGATTCATTTTTACACCGGGTACTAGACATGGGAAAAATTCAATCCGAACCTAATTCCACCTTCGTTTTCTTGGCTGATTCTTGACCGATTGCTCTGAAATTTTGTCTACAGATAGAAATCGACATTCTCAGCTTGTAGACAAAATTGCAAAGCAATCGGCCAAGAAGCGGCCAAAGCGGCCGTGAAAACAAAGGTGGAATTAGGATTTGGATGTGGGTTGTATTTGGGTAATTAAACCGAATGAAATATTCAAAAATAAAGCCGTTTTTTTAAACTAATAACGGATTCGAATTCCTTGACCCCGAAAACCCTTGATTGCATATTTTCAGCCGAATCGGCCTCAAAAAACTGTCAAATCTACGTACGGCCCATCAGTGGGCTGTCGCTAATGTGTTAAAGTTGTTTTTGTTGGATTTTTTCGCAGTTTTTTAGTCGTTCAATAGAACTAAAACTCAAAATTCTTCAAGTTTTGTCCCCTAAAACTAATAGTAATTTCAATCAGCATTATCAAGTCGATTAGTTGAATAAGTTGAATAAAAATGCCTGCTAGTGAGCTCAAAAATCAACCAGAAACCCATCGTTTATTGATGAATTTCTTGCCAACCTTCTTGACAAAGCCTTTTTTAGAGAGCGAACGTTGATTCGTGAGTGTGTTGTCGAATTCCTTGTCCGATTCTATCTGGACAACCATGATCACACACAGAAACGATTACTAAGTGAATTTAGTCAACTTCAACTACAGGTTTGTTTTACATTTTGTCAAGATCTTTCCTTCTCTTTCTTCCTTTCGCTTCCCTCTTGTATTTTCTCTTTCTCTGGTAAAAAGAGACCGGATAGCTCAGTGATTAGAGTATCTGCCCGAAAAGCTTCGAAACGGAAAAGGTCGAGGGTTCAATGCCCTCTCCGGAAATCTTTCTTTGCCATTCCTTACTTCAGTACGATCAGATTACGATCGTACGAGAGTACGATCAGATTGATTAGTACGAGAGTACGATCAGATTGATTAGTACGAGAGTACGATCAGATTTATCAATACGAGAATACGATCAGATTTATCAGTACGAGAGTACGATCAGATTTATCGATCCTATCTAGGATGAGCGTACCGACTTGCTTCACAAGACTTTAAAAGCAATGTCTCTACGGCTTGCTGAGAATCTCATGTGGAGAGATGGATCTCAGGATATGGTTAGTTTTTTGCGTCAAAACTTGAATTGAGCTAACATCGGGTGATTTAGTTGGATTTTGCGAACAAAACCGTTGAAAGGGTCATCATGGCGCAGATTCATAATATTGCCTTCTATCCGAATGTGGAAGCGGATATTTATCGGGATGAGTAAGTTTCTTACAATCGTTTCCGTTATTTTGTTGTTAAAGTTATTATCATAAATTAGTTATTATAAATTTGTGATACATAGCATAGAATTGAAAAGGAGAGAATTGAAGCTATGAGAGAATTGAAGCTATGAGAGAATTGAAGCTATGAGAGAATTGAAGCTATGAGAGAATTGAAGCTATGAGAGAATTGAAGCTATGAGAGAATTGAAGCTATGAGAGAATTGAAGCTATGAGAGACTCCATAAAGAGTGTTTATAGAAAAAACAAAAGGAAAAGTGAGCGGATTTGAACCCTTGAGTAGCTCCGAATCTACGTACTCCATATTTAAACCGATTATCCACGACACCACGCAACCATTGGCATGTAGTGCGCGCGTAAGCCTTATAAAGAGGCCAAAGAAGGCTAAAGGCTTATAAAGACTAAAGGCTAAAGGCTTATAAAGGCTAAAGGCTTTTGCCAAATTGCGCGTGATTCAGGATCACCTTTCAAAAACGAATCAGATATTCGGAATCAGCGTAAAATTCTGCGTTAGATCGGATATGGCTCATTTCATTTGGTGAGCTGGGTCTGTTGCTAGTCAATCGGGAATAGTCAATCGGAAATACCACATGGTCAATGTCCTACATTAATGCTTACATCAGTCTTCATTTTAACAAATATTCAGCGTTCTACATCGATCTCTGACTCGTCTAGCACGCACCATCACCCCCGATCATCCGATGCTCCACATTCCAAAGGTTTGGCCAAATTTCAAAAAATCCCAATTTTCAATTCTATCTAGGAACTGCAAGGCGAAGCACCATGGCCATCCGCTCAAGCTGATATAGAGATTTTGAACGCATACAAGAGTCCAAGGGACAAGCTACAGGTATTGGTATTTCAAAAACAACAAATCAAGAAAAAAACCTTGGTGAACTTGAATTTACAGGATACGGCATACTTACAGGGTGTTGCTCTTAAATCTTTTTGGCTTTCTAAGACAATACATTAACCTAAGCTGAAAAACAACAATCAATCATAAAATCTATGCCTAATTTTACATAGAATAGAGGAACCGGAACATTTTTTAGTAACTTTGACAACCCTAGGCGAGTAGTACAAAAAATGCTATGCGGCACGATGCTGGAAAGCAATTAAATTCGAGTTTACGGTATCTAAATCGTCTTTTTCCGCCTTTTTTTTCTGCAATAATACGTTTTTAGAGTTAATTACTATAAAAATAGTGCTTTTTGAGCTCCATTATTGCCAATTCGAGGTTATCTTGGCAAATTTCATTTTTTCGCAGTAATCACGTTTAAAGTCTTATCTAAAACAAATGAAGCTTTAAATTCTTATACAAACTTATGTATCTAGTGAAAAAATGTCCATAGATTTTAAATATCTAAACGAAAAAACTGTCAACTCTTTTAGTTTTTGAGAAAATTATTCTTTTGTAGAGCGCAGCACTATTTAAGCCGCACCCTGGATTTACAGACTTTGGCTTACAGGTGAATGGCCTCAGCTCAAAGTTTGGAATCGACTGGTGCATAATATAGAATAGAAACACAGTGCATAATATAGAATCGACAATGGCAAACAAAACGCCGCAAAAATTAGCCGCTAATAGCCACGGAAACGCGAGGAATCTGGCATGCAAAATCGGGATTCAAAACTGATTCCTTTATTTCCCTCGCTGGTGACCGGGTATTAGCTCGTAGTCTAGTGGATAAAACTTAGGTTTATGAAACGTCTGTCCTACCTTGGCCCTCGGGTTCAATTCTGCCCACATGCAAATCTTTTTTGGCGATTCCTGGAACTATTTGGTTTTTAAAACAAACTAAATTTTAATAAAATAAAATAAATTTAACATTTTTACCTATGGGACGCTCTGCGATACAAGTTTTCAACCGGGAAAACGAGAAAATAGATTAAAGTTGCTTTCAATCACTCGTAAACACTTTGGAGCGGATCAATTCCAGAAAATTCGTCAGTTTTCTTGGCATTCCAGTGGTTACGTCGATGCAAACCCAGGCAAAAAAAATATTTTGCCTCTAGGCGGAATTGAACCTGAGGGCAGAGATAGCACCACCGTTTCATAAATCTAAGCCTTTATCCACTAGACCACCAGCTCGTCGCTGCCCAGGCAGCGAGGGAAGCCTTATAAAGGAATCAGTTTGGAATTCCGATTTTGCATGCCAGATTCCTCGCGTTTCCGTGGCTGTTAGTGGCTAATTTTTGCGGCGTTTTGTTCGTCATTGTCGATTCTATGTTATGCACTGTGTTTCCAGTCGATTTCAAACTTTGAGCTGAGACCATTCCCTTGTTCGCATTGTGCAGGATTGTGTGGATCAAATTTCTTTAGTGTGTGGTTCGAGCGTGCAGCACCATCTCGAATTTGATTGCTTTGGCACCAGGTGCAGGTCCTGCAGCGGCTGATGATCTTACTCCAGTGCTTGTCTACGTTTTGATTCAAGTAAGATTTCAGCTAAAGAAGACTTTCAGCTTCAAAGCGAAAGCTAAAGAAGACTTTCCTAAAGAGCTATTACTTTATACCGTAGTACTATTGCAAACAAACTTTAGGCCAATCCACCAGCTCTCCTCTCAAATGTTCAATACGTGCAAAGCTTTTGTCTCTCCGATATGGAAGGATCGGATTTGTATTGGTGGACGCAATTCACTGCAGCAATCGAATTTATCAAGACACTTCTCTAACAAGTTCAATTTCAATTTCCATTTTTTGAGTACAACTAAAACTTTTGAGTAATATTTCCCCTTGATTCCAATGATTTGCGTTTCCCTAGTCTCATTTTCAGAGTGCTTCTTTGATTTGCATATTATATTTGCCAAGAGACTTTTGTATCTTGTGATTCTTTTAGATAGCGGGGCTTTGAACCGGTATTTTTGATAAATAATTTATGCTCATAAAAGGTACAAAGCAAGAAAAGACAAAGTAAAATTCTTTCCAGAAAGAGAAATTTTGGTGAAGATGTGATTGAGGTTTTTGTTTTTGTTTTTGTTTTTGTTTTCAGGGTCACAGTTCACTGAAGAAACTGCAACGTGATGCCCAAAGCCTTCAACGCAAACCACCGCGACCCTCTTACTCATTGCGACCAGGCGGGCATTGCGCTCAAGTCGGCGTCGGTCGGGTATAAGTGGTCCGCTCAAGTGCCATCCATTTTCAGGGCTAGTTGATTCGGCAGGTGAGTTGTTACACACTCCTTACCGACTTCCATGGCCACCGTCCTGCTGTCTATATCAACTAACGCCTTTCATGGGGTCTCATGAGTGGACACTTAGGCACTTTAACCCGACGTTTGGTTCATCCCACAGCGCCAGTTCTGCTTACCAAAAATGGCCCACTAGGAGCTCTCATTCAGGGTCACAGTTCACTGAAGAAACTACAACGTCATACCCATTGAAAGTTTGAGAATAGGTTGAGGGCATTTCGCCCCCAATTCCTCTAATCATTCGCTTTACCGAATATAACTGATACAAACTCCTGCTATCCTGAGGGAAACTTCAGAAGGAACCAGCTACTACAGATGGTTCGATCTACATCTACATCTACAGATGTAGATGGTTCGATTAGTCTTTCGCCTCTATACGCCAGTCAGACGATCGATTTGCACGTCAGAATCGTTACGAACCTCCACTGGAGTTTCCTCCGGCTTCATCCTGCTCACGTATAGTTCACCATCTTTTGGGTCCTTGCGTATCCGCTCTACCTCCGCCCCATGGCAAGCCATCGAGACGGGGCTATGGTGCGACGCACAGCGAGTGCACGTATCCCATTTCAACCGATCGAAAGCCGGTCTTTACTTTCATTGCACCTTTAGGTTTTCTGAGGTTTTTGGTGCGGAACTTGTCGGAATGGGAACGATGATTGGTTATGCTCGGAGAGTAAACGTCACCAATTGAAATTGGCAATTGAAATCTTCAATAAAAGAAACACTTTATGATTTGTTGTACATATTGAACTGTCCAGAAAGTCTTTTCATTCCTTTTCGTACTTCCGTTTAAAACCAAGAAACTGCTGAGAGATTCCAGGAGAATCAGCGATCAAATTTTGAAACGTATTGCTCGCCAAATATCGAAGCATCACAGTCACTCGAAATCATAGTGAAAGCGTCCTTGAATTCCTTTGTCGCATGAATGAATGTCGGAATTGTACAAGATGGAGAAATCCTTGATATGTTAAGTGATATCGGTGACGAAATGCCTCATGGAAAAGCCGGAATTTTGTGATCGGCTCGATTCAACGGTAGAAAATTCGCCGCCTCATTCTTAAAATTAAAAATTAAATCAAGAAAAAGAAAGATTCGAGTTGTAAAAGCAAAGACATTAAAAAAAAAACTACGGTTTGTTTCATTAAAAAGGCGAATTAGAAAGGTGTCTAAATATTTTGTTTCATCTGGGACTCTTTCAATGAACATCGATGGATCGTGTCAGGTGTCGGCCGAGGAGGCAATCCAGGTTGATGCTATTGATGAGTCTGCGGCAAGAACTGCATTGGAAGCCGCTCAACGTGCTCAAAATGAGGGAAATGAGAAAGATCGAGCTGAAGCAGGAATTCGTGCCGAGGTTGCTGATCCTCTTCACAAAGCCGTTGGCGGAGTTCATAGATAATTTTAAACATTTTTTTATGTGTTTTTACGTGTTTTTGTAGCCTTTGTGTTCTATTATTTAGATGTGGATTGTGTAGATGTTACGACAAGATAATTTCTATTAGAAAGGCGAATTATTTCCCTTCAAAATAACATTAAACCGAGCTTAAAATGTCTTATTTCTGGATTTTTTGAGAGCCTGAAGTCAGCTAGTCAAAAAGAACGACGACTCGATGATGCGCACACTTTAACTTTAGAAAGGACACACTTTAACTAAGGAAACCTATCTTCGTGTCTATAGATAAAAGATAGAGCATAAAAAGGTTTGTATGTAGCCAAATTCTCAGAGAATTTGATTCAATAAGTCAATTTGAATTTAATGAGTTTTAAAAGATGAGCTTTATGAGGCTGCCTAGAAAGTCTTTTCGTTCCTTTTCTTCTTTCCATTTAAAACCAACAAATGAACCAATTGAATTATGGTTTTTTTCATTTGAAAATCCAATTATTTCCCTTCAAAATAACATTAAAACGGGTTTAAAATGTCTTATTTCTGGTTTTTTTGAGAGCCTGAAGTCAGCTAGTCAAAAAGAACGACGACTCGATGATGCGCACACTTTAACTTTAGAAAAGACACACTTTAACTAAGGAAACCTATCTTCGTGTTTATAGATATAAGATAGAGCTTGGAAAGTTAGATATATAGCCAAATTTTCAAAGAAATTGATCCAACCAATAGACGCTTTTGGCAGCGTGAAGTTGGGTAAGCAAAAAGAGCGAATTAAGATTTAAGTTTCTTTTGAGTAAAGTGATCTTTTCTTTTTTTCGTTTATTAGCCGTTAGCCAATTAGTCGGAACTCAACTTTTGAGAAGCAAATGTGTGGTCAATCTGTCAAAACAAGAAAAGTGCAACAAAGAGCGATTTTGGTGTCAACGAGTAGAGAAGAAAAGAGAGCTAAAGCTCATCAAATGGCTTTTTTTTCCGATCGCTCATGACAACTCGGATCCCGAATGAGCAACTCTATTTTTGCACACCCAACAATCCACACAACAATACTTGAATTTGGCTATATTGGCTCAAAAAAATGCCACTGATCAATTTAAACAAGTTAGTTGAGTGGTTTAAACTATAAAACAAGTTACCGTAAATACTGTAATAGTACCCCACCCCCATAATGACGGTGCGGAGTGTTGCGTAGTCTAGCTTTGAACGAGTTTTTCTCGACACTGGTTTATGCTACAATATGCGCTTAAATATCAAAAAATAGCCCTGAATTTCAGCTATTTTTTGATACCAAAGACGCATTTTTTAAAAATACGGGCGCTTTGAAAAAATGAAATACCAAAAAACTTTTGCGACTACGCGACTGTACGAGGGAGGTGGGGTGCTATTACAGTATTTACGGTAGTTGAGTGATTTTTACTATGATTAGTAAGCACTTTTTACTGATTAATCACTTTTACCACTCAACTAACTACTTTTATAGTTTAAATTGATCAATGGCATTTTTTTGGAAATCTTCTAAACTAATCAACCATTCAAAAGTAAAAAACCATTTTTGAGAAGTATTTTCAGAAATTTGAATGAGAAATTCTAAATTGAAATTGAGGAATGAATTAAATTTTGACTTTAAAAGCTTTAAGCCAAACTTTAAAAGATTTTTACTTCTTTTTATTGATACAGACTTCTATTAGGTACATGCATAAGAAATGATTTCAACATTTTCATGAATTTCCAACGATAGAAACCTGATATCGATGAATGTTATAAACTATTTGAAAGTTGTAAATCTCCTCTACAAAATAGGCTAGAATGTGTTTCAATTGATCGAAGAAAATGAAGAAATTGAAGAAATTTCGAGGCCGAAATGCGAGTGACCAAAAAAGGGAACAAAGAAAGAGTTTTGCAGGAGAGAAAAAATAAAAAAAACAAAAAAGAGTTGGGGATCAAAAAAGGAATCGAGGCACTTTAGGGATAAGTTTAGTGTGGTCAAAATAGAGTTAGCTTCCCAAAATTGAAGATTTGAAAGGAAAAGGATAACTATATATCAATTCATTAAAAAAGTCTAACGGAAATGCATTTACAGAAATTTGAGTGAAGGCGAAATGAGTGAGAAAGCGAGTAACCAAAAAAGGGCACTTTTTGAAAACCCCACTTTCACAAGAGTTCAGTTTTGACTATATAGTGGAAAATGACGGCCCTAAAATCATTATCCTAAAAATATCATTCAAAATAATTAAGAGTTGGGATCATTTCATGGAAAAACTTTGTTTTTACAATAATTTTTCTTTTTTGAGAAAAAGCCGATTTTTTTGACAATTTTGCGGGTTTTGAACTTACGCTCCATCTCAATTTCTGTAAATGCATTTCGTTAGACTTTTTTAATGAATTGATATATATAGTTATCCTTTTCCTTTTAAATCTTCAATTTTGGGAAGCTAACTCTATTTTGACCACACTAAACTTGTCCCTAAAGTGACTCGATTCCTTTTTGGGTCACATCCAACTCTGAGCTCAAATTTCTTGGTGTTAGGCTGTTCAATTTAAATATTCTTGGTATCATTAGATGCGTCAAGTCTTTCTCGATCGATTGGTAGAAGAACTATTTCAATTGAACAGCCGAACACTAAGAGTTGGATTGTCAGTGGCAAAAGGGGCGGTCAAAAAGTGTCCTTTTTTGGTCACTCGCATTTCGCCCTCGAAATCTCTTCAATGCTTCGATCAATTGAAACATGTTTTAGCCTATTTTGTAGAGGAGATTTACAACTTTCAAATAGCTTATAACATTCATTGATAACATTCATCGATAGCAGATTTCTATCGTTGGAAATTTATGAAAATGTTGAAATTCGCATTTCTTATGCATAATACCAAATAATTCAGACTCAAACCCCTAAAATTTCAGAGATTTTAAAAAACTTCCTTTCTGTGCCCACAAAATCTAACTTAGAATTGAATTTAACTCATTTTTTAGCTTGCATTTTGATTTTCTCTAAGCCCATATCTCCAAACAGTTGGCCTTTTTGTCTTTTTTTCAAATTTTGCTAGCAAAAAGTGTGCCTATTTGAAAAATCGCTCATGAATTATGATGGCCATTGGCTTTGATTCCCACCCTTGGCCTCACAAAAAAACGAAAGAGATTTTTGACTTTGACCTTAGAAAGTTTCAAAGAAATATTTGACTTCGCTTTGGTTTGATTTGATTTTTAAAATTAAAATAGAACGGCTCAAATCAAAAGAACTGCTCAAATTTTTGCTTAAGCTCTCTGGATTAGCGCCATTGAGACTCAATTTGTTTATGTTTTACGCGCATTTTGGAATTTAGGCTTTTTTTCGACTCATTTCAGCACATTTTCCCTAAAAGCTTTTTAAAATCAGATTTTCGAAACAATATTTGAACAGCTTACGCTAATGCAATAAGAATTTCTTAAACTTGTGCCTTTTCTAAAGCTTTCAAAGCTTTCAAAGCTTTCCAAAGCTTTCCAAAGCTTTGTCTTCTCAAAAATCTCGAAAATCGTTTATCTTACTTACCAATCTTCAATCTTTACTTATCAGTTTATAGTCAAAATCATTTTTTGATTAGTTTAAATCAACTTAATCAACTTCTACAACTTTTTCCTTTCTTTTTACTTTTTCCTTCTGAAATTCTCATCAAAACCAATTTGACTTTCAATTTTTCCCCTCAAATTCTCGTCTATCCACCGTGAGAATTCGGAGATTACTTCAAAGCTTTTACTTGGTCGAGATCTAGATCTAAAAGACAAAAATTTACGCTAACATTTGTCACTTATTAAAGAAAAATTTAGTTTTAGAATTCATGGACACACAGGCTTTTCCGCAAACGAAATCATACAATTACCAGAAGAAATTACTGAAGAAAGCTTCAAGGAAAGTCAGCTTTTCTCCATTGGCGCTGACAAGTCAACTCAATGAAGGACAGCCATCGAAAACAGGTGAAAAGAACTAAATACAAGTAATTACATCATTTTAATTTTATTTTCATTTTAAAGATTATAAAACTCAAATCTAAGTCCACCTTTTATCTTCACAAGTGACCCAACTTCACAGTTCAGGGTCACTTTTATCGTTTACGTTTTAAGTAAAGCTTTTGTTGATGCATAAACGTGGAATCTTAAATTTGACTAAGGAAAAGTGGAATTAGTTTTGTATACTCATTGATAAAACCATAGAGATAAGCCGTCTTGAAGAGTAGTGCACTAAAGCGTCGTTCAATTTTATCCAAGTTGATTGGCTTCTGTAGGTAGGTAGGCCAACTTTGATGCCGTTTTTCTCTACGTTCTTACAGGTGAGTGTACAAAATAAATTGCACTTTTTCTAGCCAATTTTAATGAGAATTCTTTTAAGACTAACTGCAAGTTGATCCGATTGCCGGAAGTCGAGATATAGAGTAAAATAGAAAAGCGGTTTATAACTCGAGGCACAGGCATTGGATCGACTTGTTGTTGGTTTTAAAAGAATCCTCATCAAATTTGACTAGAGAAAAATACAATTTATTTTGTATACTCACCTGTAAGGACATAGAGAAAAGCGGCTTCGAAAAGTATTGCGCTAAAGCGCCGTTCTTCTATAGTCAAAATGGCACTTTAGCGCACTTTTCTATTTTATTCTATAATTCGACTTCCAATTATCCGATCGATTTAAGGTTGATTTTAAAATGATCCTTATTAAATTTAGTTATAGAAAAATACAATTTATTTTGTATACTCATGTGTAAGAACATCGAGAAAATTTGTGTCAAAGTTGAACTACTTATATAAAGAAGTTAATCAAGTTCAACTTGATAACTCGAGGTATAGAAATTGAATCGACTTGTAATTGCTTTTAAAAGAATGAATGTTAAAACAATACATATTGTTAAAAAGTTCATTCCGCGTCTTTTTTCTAGTCAGTTCACCATACCTCAGAGCATCAAGTTCTAAGTTCTAAAGTTTTGCATTTTCGTTTGTTCGTGCTGAATTTTTAGCCTTATTTCCAAACGAGACATTACTTTGGTATACTGTAGAGAACCCAACTTCACACTTCAGTTCAGATTGGCCAAGCGTTGTCACAATCTATCTCTGCTGGGCTCTCGTTGTTGTCACAATGCCGTTCTCGCTATTTTTTTGTATAAAAATCGTGACAGAGTATAGAAGAATGGTTTGTTGCACGATGAATAAGCCAATTAGGTTTAGGTAATGTATTTGTTTGTTTGTTTAGGTAGTGTATCGACTAGGCCGGGTGCCCAATCGTAGGCCAAAAGGTCCGGGTGTTGTCTTCCTTTTGCCGTGCATTGATGATTATCGAATAGTTGATCTTAGGTTAGTTGAAAAAGTAAGCAATCCAGTTAGAAGTCTTTTAAAAAGAGAGCTAACAAAGGATCACCGTTTATTAGGCTGTCGTTTTTTATTAGGCTGTCCAAAAAAGTCTTTTCGTAGCTTTTCCATTGAAAAATAGCAAATTCACTAATTAAGCTTTTTAAAATTATTGTCGAGAAACTTCTGTACTTCTAAACTGTACTTCTGTACTCCAACTGCAATTTTTACTCTTAAAACAAACAGACCAATGTCCTTCAGAACAATGTCCTATGATGTGCCTTCACAAGAAATGCTCACAAGAGACTCGGTGACCGTGTCAGTTGATGCAGCTGTCTACTACAGAACACAGTCAGTTCAAAAGCAATCACTAGTGCTTTAAATATTACTCTAAGCCTTATTACTCTAAGCCTTATTACTCTAAGCCTTACTCTAAGCCTTATTACTCTAATATTACTTTACCCAGTCCAACATAAACACTAAGAACTGACAAATTTAGTGATCCTGTTGCCAGCATTTCAGCAATCACTGACGCTCACTATTCAACAAAACAACTCGCTCAGGTCTCTCTTTAAGCTTGAGATTTTGAGATAAAACAGTGAAAAATCAAGATCTTCATCAAGATCTTGATCAATCAACAATCAAGATCAATATTTAGACAACTTTGAGAAATCTGGTGGGCACAAGGACTCTCACCGAGATGATGGCCGATCGAGAGGGAATTGCCATCCAGGCAAAGTTCATTCTTGACACAGGTGAATTTCACCTTTGAATTTGGATCTGAATAGCCGATATTTTGTTATCTTTTCATCAATATTTGATGTGTTGATGATTTTGTTATCTTTTCAGCTACTCATCTATGGGGGATCACAGTTGAAAGAGTCGAGATTAAAGACATTCGATTACCCACGGAATTGTGTCGATCGATGGCCGCTGAAGCGGAAGCGGTCAGAGAATCCGACGCCAAATACGTCTGTGCTCAAGGAGAGCTTAATGTAAGTGTCAAAAACGAAAAACATTTATTCACACAAATGATTTGGTACAAATAATATGGTACAAACAAATCACAACCCTTAACTAGGGAACCCTTTAAAGATACTTGGCGATCTCTGGGCCCGATTTCACCACCATTTTAAGTCAATGACTTAGGGAGAGGTGTCTTAAGTGTCAGTGATTAAGTTAAGTCAGTGATTTAGCTAAGGTGGCCACTCAGAAAAAGAAAAGAAATCCAGGCAGTTGTTTTGGCAGAACTCTTGAACTTTCTTGGATTTGTGGTTTGGTCCAAATTCTCAATCTTGCTGATAAGTCCAAATGCGATTTCCAAAATGTTTACGAGCCCAGGGCAAGAGTTCATCCTTGAGAAGAGCCAGGTAGTTATCGGAATTGACTTTCACACCTTGGGCAACAAATAGGAAAGGAGTCTTTTCTGTTACAGTGATGACGCCGAAAACCATCACAGATCGCTTGATTCGATCCCTCACTCGGTTGATATTTGTCTTTGTGACAACATTTGGGCGTCTACCGCTTCTTGGTGGATCAGCAATTGTTCCCGTAGTTTCGTAGCGTTGAATCGTCGTTGAATTTGCAGAGTTGAATAGGCGGAAAATGACACTTCTGTCGACTTTAAGACTCTTATGAATCTCCGGCGCCGAGACTCTTCGCTTTTGCAATTTGATGATCGATTGTCGATCGGGATTTTTCAGCCAGTCTAAAAAACAACACATTTTATATGAAAAAAGTTTCAATTATATTCCAAATATAATAAAAATACGAAAAAAACAGAAATGAAGCTTAAATCAACGAGTTATTGTCCTTGAACGCGCGTGATACCTTGTTACGACAATTATGGCGCACCCTGTAAGTGGAGCAGCTTATTAATTGAATCATTATTTTGTTTGTTTTCTAATAAAGCTTTTCACTATCCAAAACAGAAAAACTGAAAAGTTCTTTAGGTGCCAAAAATAGCTTCTAAAAGTTTAGGCGTCGATGGCTTTGAAAGCAGCCGCTGACGAGTTAAGCGAATCGGAGGGAGCCGTCCAACTACGGGTTCTTCAATCGTTAACAAAGGTTAATCGCAGCTATATTCATTAAAATATTAACCATGACTTTTTTGAATTTAAAAACAGATATTTGAAACTAACCGTTTCAAATATCTGCTTACCGATCTAGTATTGGGTTGGTGAATTGAAAACTGCCGGCTATTTTCATATGTGACAGTTTGAGCAGTTTCTTTGAAAGAAACCCAGAACAAACAGATGAACAGACAGACAGGTAGGCAGACGAACAGACAGGCAAAGGAACAGACAGGCAGACAGGCAGGCAGGCAGGCAGATAGGCAGACGAACAGACGAACAGACAGACAGGCAGACAGGCAGACAGGCAGACAGGCAGACAGAAAGATAGAGGAACGGGCAGACAAACAGACACACAGACGGACAGACAAACGTCTTAGTCCCTTTATATATAGTAGATCTATCAGATTCATATTGGGTTGGTGAATTGAAAACTGCCCGCTATCGTCATATGTGACGGTTTGAGCCCTTTCTTGAAAAGAAACCCATTTTGGTGTCAATGGAAAAGTTGTAGAGAATCAAAAATGAAGCTTATATCCAAATTTTCAGAACGATTCAAAAACTGGTTTTCAAGAAATGCCAAATTTACGAATTTTCACAAAACTTGCCTTTTAAGCGAAACTACTAAGTGTAGCTTTTTGGAAATTTGGCTATAAGCCTAATTTTTGATTCTCTACAACTTTTCTAATGACACCAATATGGGTTTCTTTTGAAGAAAGTGCTCAAACTGGGCTGACAGCTGACATCTCCAGTCCTCCATTTTTGAGTCTCACACTTGTCTCACACAAACCAAAATCCTACTACGAAAGAGGAATCCGCAAATTGCCTGTAAAATGGGCAGAAGTCGTCAATAATAATGCAAATTATTTGGAATGAATTTATGGTTTTATGTTGAATAAACTTTAGTTCAAAGTCCCGCAGTTTTCAATTCACCAACCCAATATTAGACTAAAGCTCCTCACGAGTTGAACACTCGGTCCAATCGGTCAATCGGTTCAATTCACCAACCCAATACTATTTTAGATCTCAGCTGTCGACAATCACACAGTGATCCTCCCAATCCCAGTCGATCTCATCAGAGCCGTCATGAAAAAAGTTCGACCCCATTTTTTTGCTAATAAATAAGTGCTTTTTTGCTCTTTTTACTCTTTTTTTTAATAAAATCAGTCGTTTTTCTTCTCAAAATTGCAAAAATTCACGAAAATCTCGAGAAAGCTCGCAAGCTGTTTGTAACATTACGCAAAGGAAGGCTGGGGACGAGAAAATTTGGGTGCTAAACAAATTGCTTTCTTGAGATAAATGATCGGCCATGTGATGGTCATTTTGTCAAATGATAGCTAATTTTAAGATTATATAAAAGAGAACTAAAAAAACTACAATGAAATTGGATAAAGTTGACAAAGAAAGTTAAGTTAAATAAGTTTTCATTGAGTTAAGTTAAGTTGAGGTGAGTTAAGTTAAGTTAAGTTCAGCCAAAAGCTTTATGGATAGCTAAAACTTCATTAGAACCTTTATTAGAAACTAGAAATGTTTATTAGACTGCTATATTGAATAAATTGTTATAGTTGCTTAGGTTACCGTAATCTTTAGCCTAGCTTCACTTTTGATTATTTCAGAATGCTCTTCTTGTTAGTATTGTTAGCGATTGTGTCTGCTTATCCTCAATATTTAAGATTTCCGCCGTCAAATGGAGGATTTCAGATATGAAAAGTCATAATAGACTTTAAATTGAATAGACTTTAAATTGAATAGAGTTGAAACTGAATAGACTTTAAACTGAGTAGACTTTAAATTCATTGTGAAAACTTTTGAAAGAGCTTAGGCTTTAGTTTCGTACTTTTGTAGCAGTTTTACAAGATTCTGCACACCGTATTCTACTAGCAGACTTGGATCTACTAGCAGACTTGGATCTACTAGCAGACTTGGATCCAAGTGTTGAGAACTGTGTTTTGCGTTGAGTCAAAGTGAAATGTTCTGAGGCAACTCTAGTTTCTGAACGTTGATCTGACTTTGATCTGACTTTGATCTGACTTTCTGACTTTAACTCTCTCTTTGGCTCCAAGTTAACGAGCTAGATCAAATTTACTCTAATCTTTGTGCTGATTCTTAGATTTGACAAAACATTACGTAGTTTCCAGGGTGGTTTCCCGGCGCCAAGTGGTTTCGGTGGACCAGATAATATTGTTAGTTAGAAATTACTTGAGTTGAGTTACAGGAAGATGTCATTAAGTTAATCAATATACTTTTTTTTTGCTTAACACTTCTACATACTTTAGTATACTTTTAAAATAAACCTCAAATCCTTTTACTTCCAAAAATCTCTTGCAATTTTTCCTTGCCAACTCTTCGCAACGGCAGTTGGCCACAATTTTTGGGATGACTTTTGTGAGTGTCGTTGATTTTGGATTTCCCATTGAAAAAGGTTTTTTTTTCAGCAAAAAAGAGCTGTCACTCATCTCAAAAATATAAGCGAAGAGGGCCAATCTTGCGGAAAGAAAAAAAGGATCACTCAAGAAAATAAGAAAAAGTCTGAACTTATTCGATTTCTTTGAAATCTGAACTTTTTGAGGCCAAGAAATGGGATCAAAATGAGTCATACGAGTTGGGAATCCTGAGAAATGATGACTAATTGAGATTGAGAATGCGAAAGGAGAAATGAGAAAAAGAATATTGGACTAGCAATAAGCCCAACTCATAGACTCATATAATCAAGGGAGAACAAGGGTTAGAAACTAGTAAATTCAGTCCCAAGCTAAACAGGCATGTGTTTCATAGGGTCGGTGAGGTTGTGGGGCATCGATTGACCGTAAATCGATCTAAAACCCATAGAAAGGAAGTGCTTTTCAACTGTTACACGAGAGTATCCAGCCTCAGCCAAAAGAAATCACAAAAGAACGAAAGAAATACGAGAGTTTTCGTGAATTTTTTGTTTTCCTTTTCTCTGAAAGTTTGCAGTCATAATCCACTTCTCGTCTCCCACTAATCGCAGCAAGAAAGATCTCCTATCGTATCTGGAAAGAAGGGTAGTGGCAAGGACGATTTCCTCTCGTATCTGGAAAGAAGGGCAGCGGCAACTGATGCAGCGGTAACTGATGCAGCGGTAACTGATGCAGCGGTAACTGATGCAGCGGTAACTGATGCAGCGGTAACTGACGAAGTCTGCCCTTTCATAGGGTCGATGAGGTTATGGAGCACCTACTTGGGCCCTTGGGCACCCTTTTTTAAGCTCGTACAACATTACATGGCGTAAATGTGGAGTAGATATTGATAGATAGATTGGTTGATCAATGTGGAGTAGCATTAGAATAAATAATCAATAAAAAAGAGCTTTTGGCTTTCTGGATTTTGTTTTTGAATCAAGAACTGATAAGTCAATAACTTGAAAAACAAGACGCGCCCTTACTAAAAGTAAAAAAAATTTCGAAGCTTTGCTGAGATGTTCAAAAGTTAATTTACAGCCTAATACTAGTTAAAGCTCGTTTTTTAAACCAGTTCTAAACGTTTTCTAAACGAGTTTTTCTAATGACTCATCTTTATGCAAATCCATCTTCCTTTTCCTCGATAAACCAAAGCTTCTTTTCATGCATATCACTATAGACTCATGGATTACAACGAACAGGCAGTCGCGCTTTCTTTTTCTTTTTCCCAAGCTTTCTTTTTCCCCCTCAATGGCTTGTCAAATCAACCAAAAGACGGAGAAAAGTTGGCTGAGGGAAAAGTGAAGAAAATTGAGGGGAGGCGGTGTCTCTCTTTCTCAAGTGAGGGGTTTGAAATGAGAATTTCTGGGGTGGAGACAGACTGATCCGTGGTGATCCGTGGTGTTAAGAAAAGCTCACTCTTTTCTTGCTCCTAACTAATCAATCCCTATTTTTCTCGATCAAGACACATGCGCGAGTTGTTCGTCGCATTCTTGGCCCTTGTGGCCATCGCTGAAGGAGGTGAGTGAAAATCTTTCAAGCAATTAGTTGCTTTATCTTTGTTTAGAAAAAAATTAACCTTGATTTCACTGACGCTTATCTTTGTTTGACTAAATTCTTTTCATAACTTTATTCTTTTCTTTCATAGTTTTTATAAGGGATTGTTTTGATTGTTTTGATTGCTTTGACTCTTTTGATTCTTTGATTCTTTTGATTCTTTTCATTCTTTTCTACCCACAACACTTAGAAGTGAAGCCAGAACACTTAGAAGTGAAGCAACAACACTTAGAAGTGAAGCCAGAACACTTAGAAGTGAAGCCAGAGCACTTAGAAGTGAAGCCAAAACACTAGAAGTAAGCCAGAACACTTAGAGACAGTAAAGCAACAACACTTAGCAGTAAAGCCAGAGCACTTAGAAGTAAAGCCAGAACACTTAGAAGTGAAGCCAGAACACTTAGCAGTAAAGCCAGAACACTTAGCAGTAAAGCAACAACACTTAGCAGTAAAGCCAGAACACTTATCAGATCAGTTTTCAGCTCTAAAACAAAACTCAAGTAACAATATTTTGCTAGAGCCTTTTTTCTAGAGTCTAGAGAGAGCCGCTAAACCTGCTAGACCTCTAAACTGTTCTCATTGTTGTCACGAGTGAGTTCATTCTTATCAAAACTTATATGATCGACTGAGTGAACGTTTGAAGGTCATTCAGTGACAAGCTTTGACATCTTTTCAATAGAAAAATGGAATTCTATGCTAAAAATCTATTTACATCGCCAACGCCAACTTAAAGTGAAATTTCAAAACAAAACCTTTCCCAACTTATTCAGTTTTTTACGGGCTTTCCGAATCCGCTTTTGGTTTTTCCTAAATGATTTGCAAACGCAAGAAATTTAACTTTAAAGTTTTAGCCTTTGTAATCCCTGAAAAATGGCAAAAAAAACCGATTTTTCATCATTTTTTAATAATTTTGTTCTAAGCGCTGGTTAATGCTTAAAATCTGTGTTTTATCTAAAACAATCAACCATCTTTTCTATTTGAATTTGATACCTAAACGTGCAGAAACAAACACACTGTCGCTGAGATGTGAGCGAGTCTTTGAGTGTAAATTTAAACTACGCGACACTCCTATAGAGGCTCTGTTATTAGTTCTATAGAATTCTAGTTATAGAAGTAAGTTCTATAGAATTGAAAAAACTAAAAAAAAGTGAAAATGTTCAACTTAAAGCACAAAAATCTCGAAAACTAGATGAAAAACTCGAGTCAAATTTTTTCAATTCTTCTTTCTCGAGATAGGACAAGTTTTGTTTTGAAATTCCATCTTAGTTAGGTTAGTTATTTCCATTTTAATTAGATATCTATCTATAATATAATTAGATATCTATCTATAATATAATTAGCTATCTACACTACTGTACAATGAAATATCATATTTGAAAAACGATCGTCACTTTCGCACGTCTGTAACTCCCTTGTCTTTACCGTATTTCTAAATATTAATATTACCATTGTGTAGCCATTGAAAAGAGCGTTCAGAAAATGTATAACACTAATAGTTTAAACTCAAAGACAAGGGAGTTACAGACGCGCGAAAGTGACGATCGTTTTTCAAATATCATATTTCATTGTCCAGTACTCTATCTGTCAATCCGATTCCCACAAAACTCTCTAAATATTAGGTAATTAATATCTAAAATCTTCAAAAATAGGGGAGTTTTCTCTAAAAACTAATAACAAATTCAAATTCCTTGACGTCGAAAACCCTTGGTTGCAAAGTTTTAGCCTAATTTGCATCAAAAATGCCTCAAAAGTTTCATTGTCCAGTACTGTATCTATAATATAATCAGCTGTCTATCTATAATATAATTAGCTATCTATCTTAGCCCGATTCTCGGTGTCTCGAGGTGGCAAAAATGTGACGGCCACAAAGATGGAAAACCTATGCGCGAGGATGCACAACAACACCGCTTTAGAGGTTGGATTCAATTTGTTTGGATTCAATTTGATTAACTGTTATTGTCTGTCGTGATTTGATTAACATTTAAAAGTTTCAGGGAGTTGATCCGATTGAGATGTTGAAAGATACAGCTTATGAATGTCAGCGAAAATGTGTGGATATGTGGCCTGGATGCTCGGCTGGTTGGTTTTTCGTTGTCTGTTCTGTTGTCTGTCTGTTCTGTCTGTTCTGTCTGTTGGCTGTTCAAAAAGAAAACAAAAACATGTGATGTTTATGCTGTTAGGAGAACCATTTTCCTTTTTTTGATTAAGTTTTCCAACTCATTCCATAGATGATTTGTCGATTCAACTTTAACAAGCTATTTGCTATATTGTTAGACCAATATTAGACTGTCTTTTCGTTCCTTTTCATCCTTCCTGAGAAATAACAAATTCACCAATGAACCGATGGTTTTCTCTAAATAAAAAGTGTTTATTGTTCAATTTTCCATCTTTTTAAGTCAATTTGGCTCAAGTAATTGAAGGCAATTCAAGCAAATTCGAGAGTGAAAAACTGATATTAGACTATCCAGAAAATCGTTTCGTTACTCTTTGTACTTCTGTTTCAATTCAACAAATGTACCAATTGAACTATGGTTTATTTCATTAGAAAGGCCAATTATTTTCCTACAAAATAACATTAAAACGGGTTTAAAACGTCTTTTGTCTGAATTTTTTTGAGAGCCTCCAGTCAGCTAGTTAAAAAGAGTGACGGTTGAATGATACGGACACTTTAGCTTCAGAAAAGACACACTTTAGCTAAGGAAATCTATCTTGGTGTTTATAGATAAAAGATAGAGCACAAAAAGTTCAGTGTATAGCCAAATTTTCATAGAAATTGATTCAGCCAATTCAGCTTTTTCTAGACATTTACGAAAAACACGTCGTCACTCTCGAACTTGAACCCAAATTGACTTAAAAGGATAGGAAAGTGGACCCAAATTGACTTAAAAAGATGGAATTTGAATAATAAACCTTTTTATTTAAAGCAATTGAACAATAAACACTTTTTATTTAGAGAAAACCATAGGTTAATTGATGAATTTGTTATTTTTCAAGTATGAAAAGGAACGGACAGCTTCTAGACAGCTTAATACTTGCAATTGGTAGCTTTTATTGCATTCATTTACCTAGTTTCATTTGTTTAATATCCTTTTCCAGATCAAAAGCAAAAAAAAGCTCAGCGGTCAGTCTAGTCCAAACTACTTTCCCTCTCGCTGAGCACATAATTTTCCCGGCGGCCACCTCATTCCATGGCCATAAATCAAAAGGGAAGACACAACTGATAGAAATCCGCTAAGAAAAGATCGTTGCTTTTTTCCCCAGCAATGCCTTGAATGCCACAATCGCAACACCAACTCATCCATCTCGATCTCGGTGCAATGGATTGAGAAACAAAGAATTGCTTGGGGATCGAGAAATATGGCTGAGAGTTGAGATGGGTGAATCAGGGATTGGGGATGAATCAGAGTTGTAGTGAACGGATCAAGAGTGCAAAAATAAGTGAAAAGTCTTCAGATTCAGTCAAAAAGTGTTCAGATTCAGTCAAAAAGTGTTCAGATTCAGTCAAAAGTCTTCAGATTCAGTCAAAAAGTAGTTAGATTCAGTCAAAAAGTGTTCAGATTCAGTCAAAAAGTAGTCAGATTCAGTGAAAAGTAGTCAGATTCAGTGGAAAGTGTTCAGATTCAGTCAAAAAGTAGTTAGATTCAGTCAAAAAGTGTTCAGATTCAGTCAAAAAGTAGTCAGATTCAGTGGAAAGTGTTTAGATTCAGTCAAAAGTCTTCAGATCTAGCATTTTCACATTTCACAGGAATTTCTAATTTCAGTTGTCTACTACTATTTGCACAATGAAACCAAGCACCACTACTGTTATCTTTTCGAGTTGAACTCGGTTCATGAAAAGGTAAACTTTACCATTTGCTCAAATGAAAAGATATATTACCATGTGTTTCTTTTTTTTTGAAACCGGATCTTGAGCTATTTTCTTATGAAAAAGATCGAAAGAAAAAGAAAAAAGATCAAATTTCTCAACAAAAATGAACACCTGGGTTCAAAGTAGACTAAAAAAAATAAGTTCCAGATCTAGAGATCAAAATTGGAAAATTTTAGGTGACCTTGGTCGAGCAAAAGCCGGAAAGCAAAAAGGATTTGGTGAGAATGTTGGAATTGGTGGCTGATTGTCATCAATTTGATGCTCATCCACCATTGGATGAAGATGGAATTGCATCGAGTACCGATAAAGTTGACAGAAAGAAGAGACGTGGGTGAAAGATTGCACATAAAAATAATAAGAATTGCACATAAAAATGCTTTCAGAGAACAACGATGAAAACGACGTGAAGAAAGCCGGTGATTGGACCGATTGGACCGAGTGTTCAACTGGTGAGAAGCTTTAGTCTAATATTGGGTTGGTGAATTGCCCGTGAATACAAACTCTCCCTTTCCTGATATCCGGCCTCCGCAACCAGTCATCCCAGAAAATCTCGGGAAATCCGTTACTCAGCTCTTGCGAAAGCTCTTTGCTCAACATCCAACCTAAACTTGTAAGGTTTAGGATCAAGATTTAAGACAAAGTCAGGTGTCTAACCTAAAGAACTATTGGGGTGTTGCATTGAAAACTGCCGGACTTTGAACTAAAATTTATTCAACATAAAACTATCAATTCATTCCAAATAATTTCCATTATTATTGACGACTTCTGCCCATTTTACAGGCAATTTGCGGATTCCTCTTTCGTAGTAGGATTTTGGTTTGTGTGTGAGACAAGTGTGAGACTCAAAAATGGAGGACTGGAGATGTCAGCTGTCAGCCCAGTTTGAGCACTTTCTTCAAAAGAAACCCATTTTGGTGTCAATGGAAAAGTTGTAGAGAATCAAAAATTAGGCTTATAGCCAAATTTCCAAAAAGATACACTTAGTAGTTTCGCTTAAAATGCAAGTTTTGTTGCAAGCTTTGTGAAAATTCGTAAATTTGGCATTTCTTCAAAACGAGTTTTTGAATCGTTCTGAAAATTTGGATATAAGCTTGATTTTTGATTCTCTACAACTTTTCCATTAACACCAAAATGGGTTTCTTTTGAAGAAAGTGCTCAAACTGTCAGATATGACAATAGCCGGCAGTTTTCAATTCACCAACCCAATACAAAAAGCTATTTGTTTCTTTTTCTAGCTACCTTTCAATGCAAATTGCTTTTCCGTATCATTTCTTTTATCACATTGAGGAGTTGTTTACAAGTTTTATAAAGAAAAACTGATTGGGAGTTTGAGGTATTGGCTTTGGAGTATAACTGGCTTTGGGGTATAACTGGCTTTGGAGTATAACTGGCTATAAAAGTGTTATGAACTAAGGTGACCATAATTACAGTCATGTGCTTTTATAGTCAGTCAAATATTACAGTCAAAAGTCTTTTCACATTCAATTTTCTAAAAGGTTTCATCAATTTTCTTTGATAAAATTAATGGCTATTTTTAAGACTCAAAATCTAAAGAAGTTATTTAAAAACTGTAATATGATTTAAATTCTGTTGAAAATTGGCTATCTTTTGGCTATAAACTCGATCGATCTATGAAATAAAATCAACGAGGAAGCTTTTAGAGAGAATTCTGAAAAGGACAGAACTTTTGCGGCACCCTGTAAGACAAGACAACTATTTTTCAGGTCTCAACCACGCCGTTCGATCACAAGCCTGTGAATATGGGCGAAAAATCCAGAGAAGAGGATGCCCGGCTCGAATGATTCCCCAAAGAAACGATCCGCGATTTCAGCAACCAGTAAGTTGTTCAAAACTTTGATATCTTTAAAGCAAGTACATTTGGAGTACATAAAAGTACATAAAATCAAGTACAGCAAGTACATAAAATCTGAAAAAAGTGAGTAAGGATGACGAACAATAAAGAATTGATGTTTTGGATGATCTGGCTATTGTAAGCAATTTCAGTTCGCTCCTCAACAACCGGCTATTGATCCCCGTCAAGATCCACGATACTTACAGGTTCTAACTATTTCACCACTGTTTTATAACACAAAAATCCATTCCTTTTCTAGCAATTTGAGGACGATTTATTAATGTTTGATGAGGTAGAAAAGACACAATCCAGCTTTTTTCTTTGCTTTTGCACACTTTTTGTACACTTTTTGCACACTCGCTTTAGCACCAGCAAGCACAAACCGCTCAAGTGCAACAACAGAGACCCGATCCAAGACAAGATCCAAGACAAGATCCACGATATCAACAACAGGTTAGCTGATCGTTAACTTGAAATAGATTTGGTAACGTAGTCTTGCTTAGTCAGTGCTTAGTCATGCTTCGATTAGCTTACGAAAATGAAAGCTTTGAAAGTCTCACTCTCTAGTGCCCCACTCTTTAAGCTTGAAAGCTTTGAAAGCGCAGCTAGACTGAGCTAGACTCAGCTAGACTGCTAGATTGAGCTAGACTGCTTGATTCACCTAGATTCAGCTAGACTGCTAGATTCACCTAGACTGCTAGATTCAGCTAGACTTCTTGATTCAGCTAGACTCAGCTAGACTGCTTGATTCAGCTAGACTCAGCTAGACTGCTAGATTCAGCTAGACTGCTAGATTCAGCTAGATTCAAAGTTATCTGCTGATAGCAAAACACCATTACGATCAATATTACGATCATTTTAGGAGCAACAACGCCAACTCCAACTCCAGCAGCAACAGAGACAACCCCAGGCCCCACCACAGGCTCAACCACAGGCTCAACAACCCCAAGCCCCACCACAGGCCCAACCCCAACCGGTATTTGTATCTGTACAGTCAAAAATACAGTCAAAAATCGATTTTAGCCACAAGACCCTCGACAGGATCCACGATATCTTCAACAGGTTTGACAAAGGGCAAAGTTTAAGCAACAATAATGACTTTCAAGTAAAACTAACTGCACAACTAACTAACTAACTGATAAATGCAGTACCTACGTAGATTCTATGATCACTGTGATCAATACGCTTTGGTGCAAGTTTGACCTAACTCTACACTAGACTTGCAACGAAAACATCTGTCGGTTCTTTTTTGCTGTTGGCAATTTAAGGTTTTTGATCTTTTTCTCAACACCAACCCTTCTATTTTGATTATTTTGATTGACATTCGATGCAGAATAGAATTGCGCGTCGAATGATACCAAAATTAGCTCAAAATCTAATATCCACGCAAAGTTATGAGTCAAAAGGTTAAGGTCCGCCTGTAATGGACGGACTTAGGTTTTTAGCCAGCAACTTTGCGTGGATATTAGATTTTGAGCTAATTTTGGTATCATTCGACGCGCAATTTTATTCTTCATCTAATGATAATCAAAATAGAAGGGTTGGTGGTGAGAAAAACACGAAAAACCTTAAATTGCCAATAGCAAAAAAGAACCGACAGATATTTTCGTTACAAGTTTACTCTACACAAATGTCTTTGCTTCAGCTAGCTGAGCATCAGCGCCGCTTGCAACAACATCAACAGCAAGCACAACAGGTGTGTTAGAGGAATAAACAAGATAATTTCTAGAGAGCTGGAGCCCCGCTTACTGTTCAACAAAACGTAAGCCTTGATTAACTTTTGTGAACAGTTAGATAATGAATCTAAAATTGTGGCTGATCTGAGCCTGACAATGGAGCTGACAAGAGTTGACAAGTTCACTACTAAGGTACTACCAAGTTAAGATGAGCTTTTGAATCGAGAGCCAAACCATTCGATGCAGAGATTCCGAATTTGCTTTCCGTTTTTGCAAAATGACTCTTTATCAATTAACATTTAAAGTTTGTAGCCAAAAAATGAAATCTTTCTGGCAAAAAAGGGATTCCCTCATAATGGGATTCTGCTTGAAATGGCATAATGGGCTCTAAATGGGATTCTTCAGTGCCAGCTAAATGTAGACTGACGTCGCAGTGGGTAGAGGGCTTCGATACCAAACGATTTCCTCATTTTTTTTGTTTGGGTTCAATTCCATTGCTTGTTTTTCTTGTTATTTTGATGTTGAAGAAGGGCAAAGAGAATTTCCCAATAATCGCCGCAGGATTGTTAAATTCCATATCTAAAATCTAAAAATAAAACAAATTTAAGTGTTGTAACCTCAAGAAAAGAAGGGATGGAATTGAACCCAGCCAAGAATTGAACCCAAAAATGAAGAAATCTTTTGGTATAGAAGTCGTCTACCCACTGAGCCACCAGTCGACGTTTGGCCGAACTGAAGAAGCCTTATGAAGGTCAGGAAAATGTCCAGGAAAAGGAAAAGGCCAGGAAAAGGCCAGGAAAATGTCCAGGAAAAGGAAAAAGCCAGGAAAATTTCCAGAAAATTTCATTTTTTTGCGACAAATTTTAAATGTTTGCAACTTTTGATAGAGAGCCATTTTGTAAAAACGAAAAGCAAATTCGGAATCAGCGTGAAATTTTGTATCGAATGGTCTATGATTTATCTCATTTAACCACATCCTACTGTTGCCTTTTCCCTGTAAGCTCGTTTAGCATACGATATTGTCAAAGCGATTCAAAAGCTCACCTTAAGTCGGTGCACTTCCTTTATGAGCTTGGCACAACCGACCGTAACCCAAAAGTCAATGGTTTTGTTTGAAATTTCGATTTCAAAATCTTTGAATTAAGCTTAAAACCTTGATATTTACTTGGCTTTTCCTAAAATTTAGAAAATTGAGCAGAAATTGACGCCTGGTCGGGAATTTGCTCTTTTTTTGCCAATCCTAATCCAATGCCAATCAATCGTGACTTTTCTGTACCAGTCTTACTTTAAAGCTTCTAACTGTTCACAAAAAAACTCAAACTTCCCTCAAGCTTCAATATTTGAGTTGCATCTTTCCCTCGTTTTTCTTTGTAAACTTTTCTCAATGAAATCCTTGAAGGGTGGGGAAAATGCTCCTCATTTGGTGTTGCTCGAAAATCTCGTCAATCTCCGTCAAATCAACGAGGTTCTAGAGTGAAATAAACTGAAAGAAACTAAAAGAAACCATATGCAAACTTTCCCAATACATTTTCCCCCACCAACCCATTGCTTTTCTAACAAGCCTTTGTTTCTTTGACTGATTCACAGCTTTCCAGGCACCTCAACAATTCGCCCAACAGTACCAGCAGCGGTAAGGTTTTTGGCTTTAAAACTAAGAAAGTTCGAGTTAAAGTTCAAGTTAACTAAGTTCAAGTTAACAACATGAGAATTTGCCTCCAGTTTTGCTGGCCAGAAAGGCTATAACTTTTGTTGTCTAAACACAGTGCTGCTTTAGTGTGAGTGACATGCGTCATCCAGCTCAACCTCAAGCTCAACCATGCTCGGGTGGAGTGTGCAGGACAAGGGTTTGCTTTGCTTGAAGCTTTTTCAAAAAGCAGCCGAACTTACTAGGGAATTGCTTCAAATTAGCATCGATTTGGGATATGGGAGCTAGGGCAGAAATGCTTGAAATTCTAAGGGATACGTGTTTCCCTCCATAGCAGTTTTCGAGGGAAATATTGAATACTTAAATACTTTTGAAGTCTGGGCACTTTTTGGAAAAACGGCGTCGCCGCGGTATGGAACTGAATATACCTATACATCTGACTTATACCCATACCTCCGATAGTGCGAGGTGATCGGATTGTGTAACGGATAGTGCTCTGGCCGTTCGCGCTCGAATTCGCGCTTCGTTGGTACGAATTCTCTCATTCTGAAAAGCTTTTTGCTTTGTTGAAAGGATTTGAGATTTGAGACGACAGTGAGAGGATTTGAACCAGGGACAAACGGCACACAGGGCGGCACACAGGGCGGCACACAGGGCGAGCACACTATCCTTTACATTATTCGGTCACTTCTCGAAGGAAAGTAATCTCTATACCGCGGCGGCGCCGTTTTTCCAAAAAGTGTCCAGACTTCCTACTAACTTCAAACGTATTTTTCTCGAAAATTGTAAAACTGAAGTTGAAGCTGTTCCCTAGCTAGCTCAATTTTTGCTTAAAAATAAGCATTTCTGAAAAGAAGCTAGGCTTTTACTCTGACTCTCAATGCTTTGCTTTCAGCCCGCCCCACCACCGCCACCCCCACCAGCACCAGTGACTCAAGTGAGCCGACTTAGATTTTGATTTAGCCAAGATTTTGACTGAATCAAGACATTTAAAATCTTTCTAATATCATTGAAATATCATAATTTCATTGAAATCTAGGCTCCATTCCAATACCCACAACCAACTCGATATCGTCCAGCTCCTCCACCACCACCAGCTTGCCGTGGAGATGGATGTGCTCAACCACAAACTCAAGGTATATTTACCGGTAAATACAGACTTATCAAACATTCAGGCCAATGGCACGACTGGTCCGAGTGGAGTCAGTGCTCGTGTACCTGTGGTGATGGAATGAAACAAAGGAGAAGAGAGTGCAATGGGAACAATTGCCAGGTTAAGACAATAGATTTACTATTTAGGTTTTAAGACAATAGATTTACTATAAGATTTGTTAGGGACAAGATTTCGAGCAGCAACCATGCAACATGGGCCCATGCCAAACATGGTCCGAGTGGTGTGAGTGGAGTGAGTGCAAGGTGAGTAGGACATAGAGTGCTTGCCTCTCAAGGAAAAGGGAAAGTTCACTTTTTTAAAGGAATTAGCCTAGGGTTTATTAAATAACTTTGTTTTTTTATATCGTTTTACATATTTCTATTGAAAGAAACATACCCTTGAAAGGGGGGGGGGCGGTCAAAGGGGCGAGGCGGGGCGGGACGGGGCGGGGCAGACTTTGCACGCTACTTACAGCTAGTTTATATTCAATTAAGCTCTTCAATTAAACAACTTCGATGAAAAGTTGAAATCTTTAAATTCTTTTCGATTATTGTACTTAAATTGTTAGAAAAGAAACTAATACAAATGAAAAAGTTAAGTGAAATCTTTAGGGAACTTGTGGTCGTGGTGAACGAACCCGAACTCGTTTCTGCTTCCTCGGCACAAAGAGATGCGAAGGCAGCGATTTTGAGGTAAACAACTCTGCAATAGTTTTGCGCTTTTACTACACAGTGAAACAAGCTCTTTTACCACACAGTGAAACAAGTTCCTCACAGTGAAACAAGCTCTTTTACCACACAGGTGAAACAGTTTGAAACAGATTCAACAACCTGAAAACAACTATCACTTCATCTAGATCTTTCTTTTTTTCTCTAGATCGAGGTCTGCAACGCGGGCCCTTGCCCTGAATGGTCCGAATGGGAGGATTGGTCAACTTGCTCAACAACTTGTGGACATGGAGCTCAGAACAGACAAAGAACTTGCCTTGGTGGTGTTCATGGAGATCATATGTGTCCAGGTAAAGTAAATTTCATTGTACTCTGTTCGCTTGGCTTATTATTTGAGCTTAAACACTTTGAATCGTAACTTTTGATCGTAAATCGATGCTTGATTTGTTAAATGATTTAAATGGATATTTGAATTGCTACTTGTAAAATTGGTTTATGTTTCAAATTCCACTTTTTATCATAAATTTTTGCTCCTAGGAGTAAACGGACTAGAATTTGGGTTAAGTTAAAGAAAGTAAACCCTTTTTTGATATCCTGCCATTTCTAACACCTCGACAACCCGACTCAACTCCTCCAACGTATTAGAGGGGAATCCCTGTGAAATGACCGACCTGAACTGCATTTGCATAGACCTGGAAGATCTGTATCTTTATTCACACTAGTACGATAGGACGAATAGATTACAAATGAGTGAAAGGGGGGGGGCTCCAAGTGAGAGCCTCACTTGTTCTCCTAGACAATCCAAAGGACCGCCCCTTCTCCGGAACAAGCACAGGGGAGATCACATTTACAGAGGAATAGACAAATCATTCGATAATAACAATAGTAACTAAAATACCAGTTTGGCTCTTCTGACAAAGAAAAGAGCTGAAATCTTATCGGTTCCCTCTTCTCTTTGTTAAGAAATCTCATTGCTTTCCCTTTTCCCTCAAAATCTTTGTCCAACCCCCGCCTCCCATGTGGTCTAGTGGTTAGGATTCGTGGTTTTCACCCACGCGGCCCGGGTTCGATTCCCGGCATGGGAAGATATTTTTGCATTTTGACAAAACAATTGAAAAGGTTGATTGAGGTCTCAAAGTGGAATAACAACTGTCAAAAATCTGATATCAAATATCAAAAATCTGATCCATTTCAGGACCAAGAACCGAAGAACGTTCTTGTGATCATGGTCCATGCTCTATTTGGGCAAACTGGGAAGAATGGGGTTCATGCAGTGCTTCGTGTGGAGATGGAATGAAGAGAAGACAAAGAGTTTGTCAGTATGGAACAGATTGTCAAGGACCAGCTGAGGTTTTGTGAAAGAAATAAGGATTTAGTGGCTGGCCAAGATACTGGCTGACCCAAGATAGTGGCTGGCCGAAGATCGTGGCTATCTTGGGCCTTGAAAAGTCTGGTAGATCATTTACAATACCTTTTCTAGGAAACCCTGTTCTGCTATGGCCCACCATGCTCTGCTTGGACCGAATGGTGTGAATGGTCGGCTTGCAGGTGAGAAAAAGAATTGCTAAAGCAGCTAAAGCATAATTGCTTTAAAATCTGAATCTACCCTATTTACTCGAATATAAGACCGGTCTTCTATTCGAGACGGTCTTCTATTTTTTTTGATCATCCCCTAGATCCCGTCTTCTATTCGAGTCTTATAATCGAGGCCGGTCTTCTATTCGAGTAAATCCGGTAATAGTTATCTTCTAGTTTATGATTTTTTAGTTTATGAGGTTTAGTTTTGCTAATTTTAGCACTCGATGCGGAGCTGGTCAACGATCCCGAACCCGTGCCTGTCTCACTTCGACCGGACAAGAGACAAATGAATGTGCTGGACCGAGTCATGTAAGCAAAGCCACTGCCAGCCAGCCAGCCGGCCAGCTGAGAAATGTCTCAGCCACCAAATTTAGGAAACAGTTTTGTGCAACGAGGGTGAATGCTGTAGTTGGGCCGAGTGGTGCCCGTGGTCGCAATGTGATCGAGACTGTGGCACGGGACAGGCATTCAGGAGCAGAGTTTGCCAGAGGAATGGAGGTCAATTAAAAGCTTTCACCCAAAAATGTCTTTCACTTTAACACCAATTTGCGTATTACTGTCACTTGCTCTTGCTCATTTGCTTATCACTGTCATGTCACTTTTAAGTACAAAGATGATTTCAGTGACTGATCCATCTTGCGAATGTGTGGGACCTGATCGCGAGACTCGCGAATGCAACAATCACGCTTGTCAGGTAGTTTAAGTCAAAGAATTTTAGAAAAAGAACAGTCTAGAAGATTTAAAACACATCCAAATTGTTTAGTTTGATATCTGAATCATTTTAGCCTCAATGTGCCTGGACAGAGTGGTGTGCTTGGAGTGATTGCTCGACTCAATCAGCTTGCGAGCTCGGAAATCAGCAACGGTAAGAAAGGTTTCAGAAAACCATTTAGTAGTAGACAAGGCCAAGGCCTAGTAGACAAGGCCAAGGCCTAGTAGACAAGGCCAAGGCCTAGTAGACAAGGCCAAGGCCAGCAGAGCCCAGATCTTGTCCTCGCTTCTAGCCTGAACAAATTTAATGTAAAGCTCTATATTCAAAAGTTAGACATGCTATTAGTTTCAGTACTAAGTCTTGCATTTCATTATCTATTAGAGTTGTCCATAAGTTCTTGCCGCTTTTAAATCTGTGACTTCATCTGAAATTCCTACTGAATAATCTATAAGTATATGCTAAGTAGTAGGCAAAATTTGATAAAAATTGCTTGGTTCAATCGAGAGAATGAGATATAACGCTTCAATCAAGTATTGGACCTTACTTTGAGGGCTATTGTGAGAGAAAGTTTCCATAAAAAGATAAATCAAAAGAGCTAATTGAAGTTGAATTGTATTCAGATGATGACCAAGCCTCTTAAAATGCTCTCGACCCTGTTTTACATTAGTGCTTCTACAGAGCTAAGCGAGTTCACAAAGAGTGACACATCAACGTTAGAAGCTCAGTAATGAAACCACATTTCAAACCCTTATTTTAGGCTTCATTTTGATACTAAATAGGTTCTGTTTTGTCTAGGCTAGGTTCTGTTTTGTCTAGGTTAGCCTCTGTTTTGTCTAGGTTAGGTTCTGTTTTGTCTAGGCTAGGTTCTGTTTTGTCTAGGTTAGCCTCTGTTTTGTCTAGGTTAGGTTCTGTTTTGTCTAGGTTAGGTTCTGTTTTGTCTAGGTTAGCCTCTGTTTTGTCTAGGTTAGGTTCTGTTTTGTCTAGGTGAGGTTCTGTTTTGTCTAGGTTAGCCTCTGTTTTGTCTAGGTTAGGTTATGTTTTGTCTAGGTTAGGTTCTGTTTTGTCATTCTTTAGATTTCGATCAATCTTTCGCCGGACTCGATAAGCTTAATCAGTCCAGAAAACTTTTTCTAAATGATCGAAATCTAAAGAATGGCAAAACAGAATCTAGTCATGTTTACTATCAAAATGAAGCCTAAAATATGGGCTTATGGGGGAACTGGGTTTCATCCTAGAAGGAGCTTTGGGTAGTAAAAAAATCGAAGAGCAAGACTGACTGTCTGAAAATTTTGCTCGGACTCGTTAAGCAGGCTTACTCTCGATTGAACTAAGCAATTGTTATCAAATTTTGAAAATTTTGGCTGTAGATCTAACTGTTTGTGCTTTATCTTTTATATTTTGTCGTTAGAATAGCTTTTATTGGAAGAAAAGGTCCAATTTCGCATCATCGGCTTGTCGTTTTTGAAAACTCGGCTTCTTTCTAATGAAAAACCTTTAAAACAAAGCTTTTCAAAAACTTTCAAAAGAAAAAGTCAAAGTTTACAGTATTTCAAAGTTATCAAAAGTCAATGATTAAGCTATCAAATGAACAAAAACCCTATTTCATTTGGTAACCTGAGACTTATTCAATTCGAAAATGAATTTGGATGAAAGATTTAGTGCATAACGGAATACTTAAGTGTTTTCATAAGTTTTCTTAAGTTTTCTTTTCTTAAAGTCTTCTTTTCTGTGTTCTTAAGTGTTACTCAGATGTTTTCTTAAAGGTTTTCAACTCTAATATCTTTAGATCAACTCTAAAATCTTTAGATTAACTCTAAAATCTTTAGATTAACTCTAATATCTTTAGACCAACTCTAAACTCTTTAGATCAACTCTAAAATCTTTAGATTAACTCTAATATCTTTAGATTAACTCTAATATCTTTAGATTAACTCTAATATCTTTAGATTAACTCTAATATCTTTAGACCAACTCTAATATCTTTAGATCAACTCTAAACTCTTTAGGTCAACTCTAAAATCTTTAGAATACCTCTAAACTCTTTAGATCAACTCTGATATCTTTAGATTAACTCTAAAATCTTTAGAATACCTCTAAACTCTTTAGATCAATTCTGATATCTTTAGATTAACTCTAAAATCTTTAGATCAAATCTAAAATCTTTAGATCAACTCTAATATCTAATACCTTTAGATCCCGTCAATGTGTCGGTGAACCCGGATGTCACTGTCTTGGATTAGCCGAAGAGAAGCAGCAATGCCGTGGACAAATCCCTTGCTCTCCAAAGCCACCGTGCTAAGCAAAATTTTCAAAATTTTCACCTTCTAGCAAACATTTTCCATTTCACAATTTTCATTTCATTTCTAGTCATATTCTTTTTTGTGCTCATTCGCTCAGGATTCTCTCTTTTTACTTGTTCAACTGCCATGTTTTGCCTTTTTCAAATCTTTTATATTTATCAAAAGAAAGATATTCGAAAGATTATCACAGGGTTTCTTTTCGAAAAAAATTTTGTATATCAAAATTCTTTAATCATAAAATACCAGTAATAAAAGTTCACCAGAATGTTGCTGAAATGAGGGGGAATGGGAAGGCTGATGAATGAGTGAAGAGATCGGAAAGATTTTAGAGAAAACCGATGAAAAGACAACGGAAAAGACAATGAAAAGTACTGATTTTTCAAGATTTAAAGAAGTCAAATATTTATCTTATAATAGATTGCTATTGTATTATAATAATTTAGCTATAATAACATAATATAATAGGTTTTAACTTATAGGTTGCAGGCTTATAGTCATATCTAGGGTTTGTAAGCTAAGCAGACTGGCCAGCTCAGAACCAGGCTCAGAACCAGGCGCAAAACCAGGCCAGTACCAAGCTCAGAACCAGGCTCAGAACCAAGCCAGAACCAGGCTCAGAACGAAGCCAGAACCAGGCTCAGAACCAGGCTCAGAACCAAGCCAGAACCAGGCTCAGAACCAAGCTCAGAACCAGGCTCAGAACCAATCTCAAAACCTGGCTCAGAACCAGGTTCAAAACCAGGCTCAGAGCCAGGCTCAGAACCAAGCCAGAACCAGGTTCAGAACCAGGTTAGGGTCTGGTAGCAGGTCTAGATCTGTGTAAAGTCAGGCCCAGGTCTGTATCAAGTCAAATGTTGCCTGTAGCAAAGCTAGGCAAGCCAGAACTGAGTTTATAAGCTTTTAGACTATACTTGGGACTTTAAAACTTGTCTTTGTAGTTTGTCTTTGTAGGGTGTCTTTAAAGTTTGCTAGACCTTTAAACCTTTTGTATCTTGGGGATAAATTCGAGGGTATTTATGGTAATTAAAGACTTAGTTAAAGGCTTAATTAAAGACTTAATTAAAGACTTAATTAAAGTTAATTCAAATTCAAATTCAAATCCACAACCCGATTCGATTTTTGTGAAGGAAAGATTCCCCGAATATGCGAGAGAAGATCGATTAAGTGGCAAGAGAGGAAGTTAGTATTCAAAATCGACTTTTTAAGTATTCAATGGCATTCAATGGTAAGTGAAATGTGACTAGATAAGTAAAATTCAATATTCTCCTAATAAAGCTATTCAAATGACAATCATTTTGCCCCAATTTGCCAACTTTATCCGCTTTTTCCGGATCCATTCGGCCATCGCTGGATCAAGTGGGTCACAAACGCCTTTCCACCTGGAATTTGGGCTAATTTAGAGATTGATTGGGTAAATTTCGATATTAATCTTAGCTTATGGATTAGAAATACAATAAATGTAATGTTTAAGAGTCGAAATTATCCAAGCCTAGGATCCAAGTCTAGGATCCAAGTCTAGGATCCAAGTCTAGGATCCAAGTCTAGGATCCAAGTCTAGGATCCAAGTCTAGGATCCAAGTCTAGGATCCAAGTCTAGGATCCAATCCAATTAGACTCACTTTGAGACGCAGTACTGCCGAGCGAATTCGAGATATCGACCCTGGTGTTCCCAATCTGGATTGTACACTTGCGAGTGGCTCTGAAATGTGGAAATTGTTTGTAAATCGTTGTTACTAACAAAAATAAGCAATCATTTAAAACTTTTATTACCTGGCTTCCAAACTCTTCAATGTTCGTGAGCTCGGAGACGAAGAAAACCCGAGTTCCATTGGCGAGAAACGTCACCACGCCTTGGTAGGCCGTTCTCGGCATACCGGACTAAATTCGGGTTGATAACTCGATAAACTAATAGTGAATAGGTAGAAAACGTTTAAAATGCAATTGTTGAATGATTTTTAATAGATTTGTACGAAAACATCTATTGGTTCTCTTTTGCTGTTGGCAATTTAAGGTTTTTGATCTTTTTCTCACCACCAATCCTTCTATTTTGATTATTTTGATTATCATTCGATGCAGAACATAATTCCGCGTCGAATGATACCAAAATTAACGTAAAGTGCAATATCCAAGCAAAGTTATGAGTCAAAAGGTTAAGTCCCGCCTGTAATGGACGGACTTAGGTTTTTAGCCAACAGCTTTGCGTGGATATTAGATTTTGAGCTAATTTTGGTATCATTCGAAGCACAATGTGGTTCTGTATCGAATGATAGTCATAATAGTCAGAATAGAAGGGTTGGTGTTGAGAAAAAGATCAAAAACCTTAGATTGCCAATAGCAAGAAAGAACCGACAGATGTTTTCGTTTCAAGTCTAATCTTTAATGTCAAAAAAGCTCTGGTACTTTGGTATTGAACGCTAGAAAGTTCTTGGCTAAACCCAGGCTTCCTCACAAGCTTTCTCACTCACCCTTAAATCGTACATCAGCGAATATTTCATAGCAACATCCGTGTAATGTCTAGCATTCCCGAAAGTGGCTCTGAAATTCTTTCTATTATAGCTACTAAGTTCACCCACCGATAAGCACTCTGGGGATTCAAGCCACCCAAAATCAACTCTCCTCGTGTGATCACTTTCGCCTAAAGTTTTACTTAATATTTCAAATGCTAACTTTTTTTTTACCTCTTTTATGAATTGTTTCTGTCTCAAGTCATAGTTTTTCTTCAACAAATAATCTAAATCCATCGCGAGAAAGTTGACCGGTTCAACGGGAAGAGTGATTGCTTCAAGGTATTTCTTGTAGAGACCCCTAAATGACGAGTTTTTTGGTTGAGTTGCAACCATTGATTGTTCCTTTTTTTTGTTACATTTCTTCGCCTACTCACTTGCTGCTTCCTTTTCCTGCCACTTCCATGTTGTGAGCTGTTCGACTGACTTCAGGCCTGATACAAACTCTCCCTTTCCTGATATCCGGCCTCCGCAACCAGTCATCCCAGAAAATCTCGGGAAATCCGTTACTCAGCTCTTGCCAAAGCTCTTTGCTCAACATCCAACCTAAACTTGTAAGGTTTAGGATCAAGATTTAAGACAAAGTCAGGTGTCTAACCTAAAGAACTATTGGGGTGTTGCATTGAAAACTGCCGGATTTTGAACTAAAATTTATTCAACATAAAACCATCAATTCATTCCAAATAATTTGCATTATTATTGACGACTTCTGCCCATTTTACAGGCAATTTGCGGCTTCCTCTTTCGTAGTAGGATTTTGGTTTGTGTGAGACAAGTGTGAGACTCAAAAATGGAGGACTGGAGATGTCAGCTGTCAGCCCAGTTTGAGCACTTTCTTCAAAAGAAACCCATATTGGTGTCATTAGAAAAGTTGTAGAGAATCAAAAATTAGGCTTATAGCCAAATTTCCAAAAAGATACACTTAGTAGTTTCGCTTAAAATGCAAGTTTTGTTGCAAGCTTTGTGAAAATTCGTAAATTTGGCATTTCTTCAAAACCAGTTTTTGAATCGTTCTGAAAATTTAGATATAAGCTTGATTTTTGATTCTCTACAACTTTTCCATTGACACCAAAATGGGTTTCTTTTGAAGAAAGTGCTCAAACTGTCAAAGCTGACAATAGCCAGCAGTTTTCAATTCACCAACCCAATATTAGGTTGGCGGGAAAATAATGCGAATTTTTTTGACCCAAATTTTTATTTAAAAAAAACAATAAATAAAGAGGATTAATATAAAAGGTATTCTCCATTATTATTTAGGACATTATGTCATCTTTTGCTCAATTCAATAATTCCTTCTTCAAAGAACTGGGGACTTTTTAACGAAAAATAGTTGGTGACCGCATTTTCGACTTCCCGGAAATCGTTGAACAGCTGATCGGGGCTGAACTGCTTTAGAGACCTGAATAAGTGATAGTCTGATGGGGTCAAGTCAGGGCTGTATGGGGCGTGAGGTAGAAGCTTCCAACCCAGCTCTTCGATTTGTTGGAGGATCATATTTGCCGTGTGCGCTTTTGCATTATCACGCAAAAATCGAATTTTTGAAGTGTCATGTCGAGATTTCGGTAAAGCTTGATTCACACGCTCTAACTGCTCACTGTAAAGTTCAGATGTGACAGTTTGAGCAGTTCAAAATAAACCAATCCACGATAATTCCACCATACGCACAACATCAACTTCCTTCCATGCAGACCAGGTTTTGACATGACAACCGGGACTTGCTTTGGTGATGGCCATTGGTGCTTGCGCTTAACGTTATCATATAATATCCACGTTTCATCAGAAGTAATAATCGATTTCCAAAAATCATGTACTTTTGATTTTTGAATCAAAATTGAACAAGTGTTCATACGGGAAATTTTGTGATTAAAGGTCAGTTCATGTGGGACCCATTTTCCGCATCTGTTTCACTTTCCAATCAAATGTGAATGCTCTTCAATGGTGCTATGATCAATATTGAACATTTCCGACAACTTCCGAGTGATGCAAGTGGGATCTTCTTCGATAATTTGCAAAAGTTGAGACTCATCCAGCTTTTGAGGACGTCCTTCATGACGCTCATCTTCTAGGCTCTCGTTTCCATTTCGAAATCGCACAAACCATCGATAACATTGGCTTTCGCTAATACTACCTTCGCCATAGGCCTTTGAAATAGAATTATGCGATTCACGGGCAGATTTTCCAAGCTTAGAGTCATAGAGTAAAGCAGCTCGAATAAGGAATTTTTGTTCCGTCATTTTTTGATAACAAATGAACAAATGTTTTCAAATAATATTATGATTGTGTAAGCAAACACACTCTGCTTCTCTGTTACTATCACGGTTTTCTCTGTTTGTCGGCCATTACTTTCCCAAGAGCACAAGTTAAAAATTCGCATTATTTTCCCACCAACCTAATAGTTTGACTAGGATTTCAGTAGGATTATCTCTTTAAAGTATACCTAGTAGTATGACAAAAAGAATAGAAAGAATAGAAAGAATAGAAAGAATAGCAAAATGATCCAAATGTACTCTCAAGATTCTAGCTTAACTCACCCAATCCAGGAAAGAAATCCGTTCTCCACAGCATTCCCGAACGTTGTTTATCGATCAGATGCGCTCCTCCGTTGTCATTCCAAGCTGATATGCACCTAGAGATTGTGATTCCGCGCAATTCTAATAGATCTAACGTGTATCAAATGCGATTGAAATTTAATCTTATTTAGTAGCCTACTCACCATATTGTCTCATCCTCTTTGAGTAAACGCTTTGTGGCGGCAAAGTACAAGAAAAAGTCGGGAGCAATGTCGAGATCCTCTAAAAGTCAAAGAAATATTTTTTTAAACTTTAAAAACAAAATCATTCATTAGTTACATTGTACGTTAAGCTATTAGCTTACAAGGGAAGGTCAGCTAACTGAGTCGACCAAATGCTACACGACCTCTACCATTAGACGCAGAATTTGATGCTGATTCCGAATATATATTCCGCTTTTGCTAAATGACAATCTACCAGGAGTTATAAGACGATCTAGAGCCAGACCTCACAAGTTTGATCCCCACTTTGGGTTTAGCTTTTGTTTTTTTTGTGAGGTCACTTGTGAGGTCTCGCCATGGCGAATTAGGTCCGCAAGCAGACCGCTAAGACCCAAATGACCACATTGTCAGAGTCAGAACAAAACTTTAAACGCTTATAACTTCTGGCAGATTGCAATTTAGCAAAAATAGAAAAATATACCGCATTTTCTGTAATAGTAGTGTGCACTACTATTTTTTTCAACCCCCCTCCAGCCTCCACTATTATTACAGCCTGCACTACTATTACAGAAAATACGGTATCCGGAATCAGCTTCTGCTTCGAATGGTATAGCTCGTAAAGCATTCGACTGGCTTAACCAGTTGACCTTCCCTTGTAGGGTGATGGGAATGAAACCACCGCTCACATATCTTTTCAAAAATAAAAAGATTACAAGCCTCAGCCAATAAGTGTTGCATACTGTTCGAAAGCCCTCAATCTCTTCTACAAAATAGTGCAAAGGATTTTGAATTGAATTGGTTATTGAAGACTTTGGTGACTTTTAAGGGATCACAAATGACTATTTTCTGTGTTTCTGGCAATAGCCATGCCCGGGTTTTTCGTTAGAAAATACTGCCAATTAAAGTTATATGAAACTAACATAAAAGAACCCTTTTTGTTTGGTCGTCTTCTAGAGCTTCTGTTTTTCGAAAAAGCTTCATTTTAGGTCATTTTAAGCCACAAACAGCCATTTTAGGCTAACATCATCTCTGGTATTTTCCAATGCTTGAGCCTATTTTCTCGTTTGGTTTCATGAGTTTCTTGCTGCCCCTGCGGACCGAAATCCTTGGGATGAATCCAAAAATTCACAGCGGCTCCCTTCAGCACCCTTTTACAGGCACTTGGGATCCCATCTCGACCGACGAAGAACTCGCCATAGTGGTCAAAATGAGCCGGAACTGGGTTAACCAATTCTACAACCGAGGTTAGTTTTGGGAAGCGGTGACCACATGGGGCAGACAACGGATTGGTTACCGGATGACCCAAAATGGACGCTTCCGATTTCAGAGGTGAAAAGGGAACTATATGTGGAAACACGGGATGCTAGAAAGAGCGCGATTGTGCTCGCGCACAGAGAACAACCCGGCGATCTTTGTTGCATTTTAAAGTTCAGAACTTCAGAACGCGAGATATCTAAATTTTGGACTCCTTTTGGAAAAGCTGGCACATGTTCCCTGGTTTAGTGGATAGTCTTTTAGACTAGGGAATCTATTACGTTTTTTGTCCCCAAGTTCGAGTCCCACCCTTGCCGAACTTCTTTGCTTTTTGAACGTTGACTGCTTCTCTACATAAAGTCGAACCTCGTTAGTGAACTATGGAAGGGATCCTAAAAATCTTTTTTCTGCAAAAACTAAAAAAGGCTGAACAAATTAGTCTGAAAATTTGAATACTCTCATAACTTTACATGCTCTATCTTTTATTTATAAACATCGAAATTTTCCTTCAATGGAAAATGTATTGAAATCGTTGATTTGGGACAAGAAAAACATTAAAACTAACACTGTCAATCGATTCCCCAACCCCGAAAACCCTTGTTACACTTTTTCTGTTCAAAAATTTGAAGTTCTGAACTTTAAAATGCAACAAAGATCGCCGGGTTGTTCTCTGTGCGCGAGCACAATCGCGCTCTTTCTAGCATCCCGTGTTTCCACATATAGTTCCCTTTTCACCTCTGAAATCGGAAGCGTCCATTTTGGGTCATCCGGTAACCAATCCGTTGTCTGCCCCATGTGGTCACCGCTTCCCAAAACTAACCTCGGTTGTAGAATTGGTTAACCCAGTTCCGGCTCATTTTGACCACTATGGCGAGTTCTTCGTCGGTCGAGATGGGATCCCAAGTGCCCGTAAAAGGGTGCTGAAGGGAGCCGCTGTGAATTTTTGGATTCATCCCAAGGATTTCGGTGCAAGCAGGGGCAGCAAGAAACTCATGAAACCAAACGAGAAAATAGGCTCAAGCATTGGAAAATAACGGAGATGATGTTGGCCTAAAATCGAAGCCCTAAAATGGCCGCTTGTGGCCTGGAATGGCCTAAAATGAAGCTTTTTCGAAAAATAGAAGCTCTAGAAGGCGAACAAACAAAAAGAGTTCTTTTATGTTAGTTTCATATAACTTTAATTGGCAATATTTTCTAACGAAAAACCCGGGCATGGCTATTGCCAGAAACACAGAAAATAGTCATTTGTGATCCCTTAAAAGTCACCCAAATTCTTCAATAACCAATTCAATTCAAAATCCTTTTGCACTATTTTGTAGAAGAGATTGAGGGCTTTCGAACAGTATGCAACACTTATTGGCTGACGCTTGCAATGTTTTTATTTTTGAAAAGATATGTGAGCGGTGGTTTCATTCCCATCACCCTTATATATTAGTTGAGAAGTGCAAACCCACCCTCAGTAATAATCACATGTGAATACCCGCGTTCAAAGAACATCTTATCCAGCGCCCATTTGTAATGCGTGGCGATCTTATTGTAGTTGTTTTTCCCGCTAGCCTGGTGCTAAATTCAGTTTTGTATAAAGCTTTCAAATTTCCGGACATTTTGTGTGTACACAAAGTTGGATTCATTCGTGAATTGCTTGATGACTTCAGTCGCCATCACTGCGTGTCCATCCTGGCTGATCACGATCGGGAATTTGTTGGCCGAGGGGCGATATCTGATGGAAAAGATCTAATTTTGCAGATAGTTTCGAAAAGGTGATAAAGCTGAAAAGCTGTCTGGGAAATAAACTAATAAAGAAGCTAGAATTAAGCTAATTATTAATGAAGCTAATTATTCAAAAGTATTCACTTTAGAAGTTGCTCCAAGTGATTTTTGATTGCACGATCTCTTACAGCACAAATGACCAAAACAGCAGCCACAAAATCGTCTTTGATCTCGGTCTGAACTTTCCTTTTTGTGAAATGATAAAACTAAATTTGAATTCGATTTAGTTATTGGATTATGATAGATTGGATTATGATTTTTCCATTTCAATTTCCCACCTCTTGAATCTGGAATTGATTGGCGACTCCGTAGAAATCGGGCGGTTGAATCTCTTTCGAATATTGCCGCAAATTGGACTAAATTTAGAAAAATGAAATCAAATTAGTCTCGGAAATCTACAGTAAACTAATAGAATTACTAAGAAATTCTATTTATGAGGATGTTTATGAATGCGTTTATTTGAAAAGTGAAAGCAAACATTACAGTAATCCTGGCTACACTTGGACTTGATCAGCTCGAGAAAATGGTTCATTGGAAAAAAGTTCATTGGATTAGGTTTAAAAGATAGGACATTTTAACGACAAGTGAATCCATATACCGTATTTTCTCTAATAGTTGAGCCGAGTTGAGCCGAGTTGATGACTATTTTACGGTTTCCAAGCTTTCACAGAAGCTCAACACTCTAATCCCCCACTAGATCTCATCGTCAGCTACATTTTCCGACCCCACATCGATAGGTTCTGATAAGCGGTTCTCGAGATTTCGAGCAATTAAGGCGACGCTCAGGGTGCACTACTATTAGAGAAAATACGGTATTCTGTACTTTCTCTAATTGTAATGCCCTCTCCCCCTCCCTCCGGCCAAGCCGAGTTGGTGACTATTTTACAGTTCCCAAGCTTTCCCCGAAGCTCAACACCCTAATCCCCCACTAGATCTCATCGTCAGCTACATTTTCCGACCCCACATCGATAGGTTCTGAAAAGCGGTTCTCGAGATTTCGAGCAATTAAGGCGACGCTCAGGGTGCACTACTATTAGAGAAAATACGGTAATATGTAGAACTTGAATTTGTAAATGATCGAACCTGTTTCTTCGCTTCATGCCCCGTTTGATAGTAAACCAAGGCGACAAGGCAAAAAATAGCGAAAAGCGTCGTGGTGCGCACACGGTACAGGCTAAGTAATCGACGCCATTTCGCCATCAGATTTTTCTGAAAGATAAGTTAAACAGATTTCTGAACGCATAACACAATTTTATAAAACGTAAATCCTCTATTAGAGCGGCAAAGTCCATTAGAACGGCACCTCCCAATGCTAATTTTAACAGCTCCAAGATCCAAATTTTTCCAAGAAAAATTTCTCCGAAAGTGCTTAAAATGATGCATATGAATGCTAATTATGATTTAAAAGTCATAGCAGTAAAATTCAAATCGATCCTGGGAATAACTTTGACTAAACATTCTTTGAGAAAAAAATCATAAGCGTCCCCGCTCACATGGATTTTGAAGGGTCCAGGGTAGAACCATGGACATAAATTTTTGTTTTAAATTTGTTTTTCGTATGTTTTAGATCAAAATCGAGCTAGAGTGATTTAAGCAAAAATAATTTTTTATTTTCAACAATGTGGTACCCCCTTATGTGATTTTTTTGGTGGATCCGAAAAATATGCGGAAAAATAATATCCGAACAATAGAGCGGCATGCCGGCTTTAATAGAGGATTTACGGTATAAAAAGCTACATTTGAAGGCAAAGGCAATGCATTTGAAGCAATTTTACTGGATTTGAGACAATTTTCGGCTAACAGACTTGAGACTTTTTTCAAAAGACCCGGATTTCGTTCAAAAGACACGGATTTCGTTCAAAAGACACGGATTTCGTTCAAAATATCTGGATTTCGTTCAAAAGACCCGGATTTCGTTCAAAAGACACGGATTTCGTTCAAAAGACACGGATTTCGTTCAAAAGACCCGGATTTCGTTCAAAAGACACGGATTTCGTTCAAAAGACACGGATTTCGTTCAAAATATCTGGATTTCGTTCAAAAGACCCGGATTTCGTTCAAAAGACACGGATTTCGTTCAAAAGACCCGGATTTCGTTCAAAAGACACGGATTTCGTTCAAAAGACACGGATTTCGTTCAAAAGACACGGATTTCGTTCAAAAGACACGGATTTCGTTCAAAAGACACGGATTTCGTTCAAAAGACCCGGATTTCGTTCAAAAGACACGGATTTCGTTCAAAATATCTGGATTTCGTTCAAAAGACCCGGATTTCGTTCAAAAGACACGGATTTCGTTCAAGAGCCCAAAAATCTTCTAATCTTCTTCAATTAGATAGGAGAATTTGTATGAAAATCCTAATATTTGAAAATCTGCTTTTCTTGACTTTACAGTAGATTTTCCAAGGGTATAAAATAAAAAGCTATTTTTTAAGGCAATGACAATGCATTTGAGGTAATTTTACTGGATTTGTGACAATGTTAGCTGAAAATTAGTCCATACGAGATGAGAAAGCTCTCTTGATCAGTCTTGGATCAAAAGCTGAAAAAGCAAGTTGTAGATTTTACTTTGATCAGCTGAAATCTTGGACTTGGCTTTACAAAAACCTTTAGCTAACTGTTATTTGAAGAATTCTAAGAGAAAACTGGTCTAACGAGTTGATTGGTGAAGATGAATCTGATATCAAAGTGAAATTCTGCATCAGAAACACTTTGTTTCCAGCCAAACAATGTCGGGGCTCTGGTGGGGTTCTCTTGTGAGTTACACATTTAAAATACTTAGTCCGGGTAACTATTGAACATCCTGTATTATCCCATCATCGTGCAATAAGCTCACCAATATGATGATCATCAATTAACGGTATTTCTTTGTCGTCAGTGACTTTTTCTATGAAAGAAACGACATTGTTACAATGCAAACGTTTTTAGAAACAAATCAAATTATATTGTTTTTAGCGTTTCTATGTGTTGCAATTGTTGCAAATCGCTTGCAAATCTACAATTATTGAATACAATTATTAATTTACAATTATTGAATGCTCAACGAGTCCGGGCAAACTTTTTCTGAACAATTTCTGAATTTTCGATTTCTAAACAAAACAGAACGCATACCGTATTTACTCTATTAGTGGGGTCCTCTCTAATAGTGGGGTCGTCTGGAGGGGGGTTGAAAAAATAGTGGTGTCCTCTCGAATTGGAAGAAGATATTGGTAACGAAAGTGATACATCAATTGTTGATCTCTTGGATTAGTTCTTTTACTGTTTGTTAATGTTTTGTTACGGTTAAAGCTAAATAAAATATGAAGCCAAACTTGTTTTGTCAAGAATTTCGGAGAAAAATTGATATCTTTTCAATTTAAAACTTTGGTTTTATGTTCTTTTAAATTTCTCTAATAGTGGGGTCCTCTCTAATAGTGGGGTCGTCTGGAAGGGGGTTGAAAAAATAGTGGGGGACCCCACTAATAGAGTAAATACGGTAATACAATTTTATATATAAAAAGCTATCTTTTAAGGCAAAGGCAACGCATTTGAGGTAATTTTACTGGATTTGTGACAATGTTAGCTGAAAATTAGTCCATACGAGATGAGAAAGCTCTCTTGGTCAGTTTTGGATCAAAAGCTGGAAAAACAAGTTGTAGATTTTACTTTGATCAGCTGAAATCTTGGACTTGGCTTTGCAAAAACCTTTAGCTAACTGTTATTCGAAGAGTTTTAAGAGAAAACTGGTCTAACGAGCTGATTGGTGAAGATGAATTTGATATAAAAATGAAAGCAATGCCTTGAATTGCTTTGAAAAGTAATTTGTATACTTTATTGAGAATTTTCATCATCAACAAGCATTAAGCTACGAGTGACAACAGGCACGTAGCGATCGATAAGGGGAAAGTCTAGGCAAAGTCACAAATTCTTAACATGATGGTAAATAAGAGATCTGTAAATAGACTGTTTTATTCAGTAGTTTTCATTTTTGATAGGGAAATGATATTAAGCCAGAGATTGAAATCACATAATTGAAATCACATAATTTTCCTATTAAGAAACCAAGAAAATGTAAAGGATTTGTTCGCAACTAAGCCAAAACATTTTTACGAAAGAGGAATGACTTTTGCGACTTTTGCAGACTTTTGCTTGATTGATAGATTCAAGTTTTGGAAAATAATGGAGATTACATTGTAAATTGATTCTCACCAATATGATGATCATCAATTAACGGATGAGAAAGCTCTCTTGATCAGTCTTGGATCAAAAGCTGGAAAAGCAAGTAGCAGATTTTACTTTGATCGGCTGGAATCTTGGACTTGGCTTTACAAAAAGCATTTCTTTTATTGTCTTAAATCAATTCCAGAAATAACACAAAAAAAGGTTCATTGGGGTCGATTTGAGAGCAAAAAAAGATCGATATGAGAGCGCTTCCCATTTCCGCGCCGCAGCAACAAAACATCGACCTCAATCAAAGTCTCTCGAAATGAATCATAAACAACTCACACGTAAACTAAGCTAAAAAGAGAATGAAATAGTAAATTTGATATTTAAACGGCTAAATAGAACTGTTTACGATTGAAACAATTGGATTATTGCTTAAAAAGTAGTAGAATTGGAGTGATAGGGTGCTTTGAATCTAGTTCCACCTTTGTTTTCTCGATCGTTAGACCTCCAGCGGCAATTTTCTCAAAAAACTAACTAACCTATTAGATTTTTCTGATAAAAAATTTAAAATTGAACAAAAGTCTGATAATTTTTTTGTTAAAGACCTATTCGAAAGTAAGGAAAGAATCCTGTCGAAGTTTAAAAGCTCCACAAAATTTTTGAATTATACTTTTTCAATAAATGTCCGTTTCAATTTCAATTTCAATTTCAATTTCAATTTCATTACGACTAAAAGGATATTTATGATTTAAAGAAGGATCTAGAATCAAGAAAAGACATAAAATCATGATTTGAATTCAAGACAAAACAAATTGTCGACGTTATATAGAGGTTCGACTGAATTTGATAAACTGATAAAGTGTTTTCTGTATTTGCTGCGTTGCGAAATCAAAAGATTCCTTATGTCGTTAGTTGCAGCAACAAGTGCGATGTTTACGCCGCACCACTAGTACTAGGGTGTGTTCGTTTTAGAGTGTGCTCCTTGTTGACAGACAATTTGTCAGACAAATTTTCATTGACAACTTTTTTGTCAGACAATTGATCCGACAAACTTCCGACAACGCGTTTTCTAAAAGGTGCGCTTTTTAAGCAAAGCTATAAAGGTCGCGCGAAAAAAATTTGCAAACTTTTCTTAAAATATAGTAATGGATAGTTTTATTGAAGGATTTAGGTGTTTTAGGGCGTGGAATTTTTTTTTGGAATGGTTCTAGTGCAAATGTAGACAATAGGCCTGGTAAATTCGTAAATAATAGAATTTTTTAATAGTGTTTCTTAACTTTTCCCGTTTTAAATGTTTTCTTTAATTTTACATAGCATTTAAAAAATTTTAAGTTTTAGCGAAAGAGTAATAGAAAAAAAGAGCGCAAGATTTGAATGTAGAGTTGCATTTTGAAAAATTTCCTGATGCAAAGCATAGAGCTACGGTAGCTTATCCTTGGCGCGCACTTTTTAGAAAACGCGTTGTCTGCAAGGAACACACTCTAGTTCGTTTACTAAATGACCATTTGTGATTCGAAAGTGCTCTTGGAAAATCTACTGGAAAATCTACTAAGCCAAGAAAAGCAGATTTTCAAATATTAGGATTTTCATACAAATTCTCCTATCTAATTGAAGAAGATTAGAAGATTTTTGGGCTCTTGAACGAAATCTAGATATTTCGAAAAAATCCATCATTAAGCTCGTGGTCGATTAAAGTTTTCAAGTAAGTTTCAGTTCCATTAAAGTTTTCAAGTTCAACTTCTAATCATTTGCTTTATCATTTGCTTATTTAATTTTGTAAATTTGTAAATATTCTAAATAAATCTATCTATTTAACACTTAAAATATCGATTTAACAATCAAAAAATCCGGATTTCAACCAAGAATCGATTTTTGAAATGTTTAGACTAATAAAAAGCCAGATTTTCCGAAAGATTCAGCTTCAAAATCTAGCCAAAAATAATAGAATTATGCTACGAAAGAGGAAGAAAAATATTGGGATGAGTTTCATTAGTGAAATGGGCATTTTAGGGTGAGTGGGAATGCAGAAAATGGGGAAAAGAAACAGGAAACGAC